GCGAACGAAATACAAGAGAGGGAAGAGCAGAAGCAGAGGTGCACTCCAGGCTGCGGTAACCTCTAGTATCATACCTGCCAGAGGGCGACGTGGTGGGAAACGAGGTCGGCCTTCGACTCGAGGCCGTGGCGGTCGAGGTGGCAACAATGGTGCTAGACCAACGCCTAAAAAGAAGCGAGGCAAGCCTGGAAGAGAAAAAGGTCCTAGAGGACCTCGACCTGTTGCCGACCCAGGCGCAGAATGGAAGTCGTTGCAGCAACAGGCTAACGCAAAGTTCATCGCAAGAGACTATGAAGCTGCACTTGTGTTCGCTCAACAGGCTATTCAGTTGAACCCAGAAATCTTTGATGCTTACAACATTGCATCCGAGATCTATACTGAGATGGGTCGGGAGGAGGACTCACTGGCTGTACTACTGGCTGGTGCGCCAACTAAGCGTGATCCTGGTCTTTGGCAGTATATCATTGAGCGCATACAACAGCTCGATCCTGAAAAGCATCCACAATTTACAGACGACAACAAGTCGGCTGCCATTCTTCCGTGTTTGAACGAGATCATCTTGCTCAACAACGATTATGAAGCTCGTAGTCACAAGCTCGAGATCGAGGCACAACTAGGTCGTTCGTCCAAATGCGTAGCGCTCGGTCTGAAGATGCTCAAGACACGCAAGGAGCAAGGAGAAGACCCTGATACAAGTGTACTGAAGATCATGGCAATGATGGGTACTGCCTCTCCGAAACAGACTAGAATACATCTCAACAAGCTACTAAATAGCTTTGAAGAGGCTATCGATGTGTTCACACAGCCTGACCGGGATCCGGTCAACAATGAACTTGATTGGGAACTGATTAATATCTATCTCGACCTTTTGGATCGAGCGGGTAGCTACGAAGCAGGTGTTGTACGACTGAAGGAGCTTGCCCGGTGGAAGCAGGGTAGGCGTTCTGAGACATTCTGGGACAAACTCGAAGACGACTGTGAATTCGACATCGAAGATGAGCCGAGACGCGTTACTGTGCCTCCGTTTGTTCGAAAATCGCAGGATGCTACATATGGCTTAACTCTGCCATTGGAGATCAGAGTGAAATTAGGCTTGTTCCGGTTGCGCAGGAGCAAGGACGACTTTGAAGAAGCTATGGTAAGCCTCGAACTTGTGCTATATTCTGGACGTTGCTGACGAACATCTAGCGCCACCTTGAAATGTTGGAGCCGGACAACCATGGTCCTGAGGCTCTGATTTGGGACTACGAAGATCTTTTCCGTATAATTGGCGATGCCCTTCACGCTACAGGCAACGATGAGCATGCGCTGCGTTTCTACGAGCCTCTATTCGACAAAAACTCTAACGAATTCAACCTGCAAAGCTACATTGGCCTGCACACATGCTTCAAGAATCTAGGGAGGGCTGAGAGGGCGGCAGAGGTCATTCCCATCTTGAAGAAGTGGCCGGCAGAGAACTATGATGATCTCGCTGTCCTTGCAAAGTTCTTTGAAGATCAGGGCATGTGGCAGGAAGCTGGTCAGCGTGCTGAGACTATCTACCGCGACAAGTACGGCCACAAGCTCAAAAACCTGGGTTTCCAGGCATATGATGAGCTCAGGGTATACTACTATAACCAGCGAAGGCAAGCTCGTGGTAGATATGGCGTTCGAAAGAGTACGGTTCGGAGGAATAGGAAGAGGATGCAAACAGCTACCGGGCAGACCGGTGAAGACGAAGATTCTGTAGATGAGAACGGCAACAAGGAACTTCCTCCACTTGTCGCCCCGACCGAACGTCCTAAGAAGGGTTTCTTCCGCACGAGAAGAGCGAAGGCGCCAAAAGTTCAGGCTTTCTTAGCTGTTCGTGATGAAGATGCTGAGCAGCTTCCCGATATCGAACCGAGACGAACTACACTTGAAGGTACCGACGTGCCGTATCGAGCGATCAACAACAGACTGTTTCGTAACAAGCTTCAGAGACTGGTAACAGATTTTGCCGACGACCTCAAAGCCGCTCGAGCTCAGCATCGGGAGATTGTCTCGAGTTTCAAGCGACTAGACGAAATTTGGGAAGCGGCAGAGGAAAGAGACGAGGTTGCCGTACACGAGGTGTTGTCCATCACTCGGGAACTCATCGAAGAATTCTCTACGTTCGACTTGTTCTACTCGAACCGAAAGGAAGACCTAATGACTTACTTCCGACGAGTTACTGGTGGCGATCTATGGAAAGAGTCTTCACTAATGGTACTTGCTGTAGTAGCGAACAATGTCGAAGACGGTGAAACAGATCCTGAGCTAAGAGAGCGACCAGATTCAGCTCCGGTTGATTTCTGGGGCATACACTTCGACAAATGGTGTGATGCGTTCGGTCGCTATGCTATCCTGCTCGCCAGCGAAGGAGATGAAGAACAGTGTTTCGCTACACTCGATATTGCCACTCAAGCCAACGTCTTCCATCGCTCCCGAACCTACCACCAACAACTACAATTGTGTCGCCTTACTTGCGCTCTAGCAGCAGACAATTCACGTCAGGCATCTGTAGCGACGCGCTGGCTCCTAAAAGAGTACCCTTTCGGGACAGACCTCTTCCGTCTTTATGGTGCTGTTAACCGTCTATGTTCCTTCCCCGAAGGATTCGCGACTGGCCCTGCGTACAAAGTGCTTATGCGCTACATCAAGACTATCGACTACGCGCTCCTGACCCCAGCACAGCGCGCCGCGTATAATTTCCGCGATACAAAGAACAGCAAAGGAGGTTTCAGAAACAACATCAACGTCGAAGATGTCGACAGAGCCAAAGACCACGATCCCGCACTCTTCGCGTTGTATGGACATGTTTTGATGTGCGGTGGTAGTTATGTGGCGGCGCTGAACTATTACTTCCGTGCCTTTACCATCTCGCCTGAAGATCCAGTATTGAATCTAAGTATTGGTGTTGCTTACGTTCAACACGCCATGAAACGGCTCTCCGAAAATCGGCAATACCAGATTCAACAGGGTCTGTCGTTTGTGTACAGATACTATGATCTCCGCAGCAAGAGCCCGCATGCAATCCATCGGCAAGAAGCGGAGTACAACGTGGGAAGGATGTGGCATGGGCTGGGTCTTGTCGCGCTAGCGCTTCCAGCGTATGAAAGGTGCTGTGCGCTTAGTCACGACGTTAAACAGGAGGCAGGAGATGGGTGCCGGGACGGCAATTGGGGGTACGAAGATTTCAGCACGGATGCGGCGTTTGCAATGCAGAGCATCTATGCCATCAGCGGTAATTTTGAGGGCGCTCTGGATGTTACAGAGAGGTTGCTCGTCATTGAGTAAGGAGAAAAGGGCCCGTGTCACCCATACGTGACTTTGTTCTTCCTCCTACAGAACTAAATCGAATTACACATGAATATCGCCCCCACGCTCACTAGCGGGCCATCTGTCGTCTTTGTTTCTTTCTTTCCCACATATATTCACACCAATACGTTTTCCAAGAAATGTGATCCGACTTGCATATAGATTATGCAAGGGCGCCTTAATGCATCCGATACGAAAAGCACCGGGAGATGGAGAAGTTCCTCGCTTATCGATCCCGTGTATACACGCTACTGCAGCTTCAACTGCACCGCGCCCCATATCCGCGTCCGCGTCTGCAAGCATGTATGCGGCGCGGCAGACAAATTCTTTATTCGGATATGAAAGATCCCGAAACTTATGAACATGCCCTTATGCAAAGCCGTTTGTGAATGCCTAATCTACAGTGACTGATTCCTGTTGGCTAAAACATATCATTACGAATCCGCCATCGTGTGTCCGAGGATTCTAGCTGCCTGTGGCGTGTCTAATGGCGCAGCTGCGGTGTTTGTAGACAACTTTGGAAGACTGGAGTGCTCACATTCAATTGCATGGGCAGTATGTGTAGATCTGAATGAGGCCAAGGACATATTGATTCGTTGGTACGTCGAGCAGCAGTATCAGACTGACCCTGAGCCATCCTCTGTCAGATTGGCCTTCCAACATCATTCTCAACCCCAACGAACAGCCGCCAACGATGCTCTGCGATGGCTCAACCCCAAAACACAACAACTAATACACACACGTAGTATTTCCCATCTATTGTAACCCGTACGTTTCCTGCTCGCTGCCAATCCGAAGAAGCCGCCAAGGTTCTCCGCCAATATACCGAACTCCAGGTTCGCCATCGATTTAGGTTCATGTTTGGAGCTGAGTCTGGGAGCAAAACTCGTGCCGAGTCTTCTGACGTGTGATGCGGCGGATGATTAGACGTGAGATCCAAGGGCTGGTTTGCCGTGGGCGCTCGAATTCGACCTAGGCAAGACGTCAGTGGTTCTTTCATGGCCAAGCCAGAAACCAGGCTCATGCGTGTGAGATTATTTGCGACCGGAGCTACACTGCCTTGTAGAGTCAGATCGTCTGAGCTTGGTTAGCGCAGTCTGGTCGAAACATTGAGTAAGAACCTGCGGTATCCTGGGTTCGGCCATCGCCTCCCTTGAGTCCAGCTTCAAAAGTCGCATGCCGCCGACGCCCGCCATCTGAGCAGCCGATAGCACCGTTGTGCTCTCCAACAAAGTGTTGGCCTTCGACATGGCTGAAGACGACACAGAACCATCTCCTCTGTGTTGCTCAACACGACTGTCGCAGTCGAATAGATCCTTGATTTCTCCCGAGCCGCCGCAGTCCACCGTATCCTCCAGTTCGCCTTCCTCTTGACCTCCTGCTCGATATCTCCACCCAAAGCTCAGTCTGCTCCTTGTGTGATACCGAAGGATGAATGCCAGGTACTTTGTATATTGACCATTCGGCTCGTGTTCCTCTACCGCTATTTGCAGCTGCCCATACTGAAGGCTTGACCATGTACAGGAGGTTCGAATGGTCTTCGTGCTTAACGAGGAGTGCGATTCGACGTGGCGTGGCGGACATGCCTAGACATGCGACCAAAGCGATGAAGAGTTTTCGTGAGGTTGAGAGATATATCGTTCGGGTGAAATATCATCGCGATTCGAAGTATCCCAGTCGTTCTATGGATTCTCGTAGAGTTCTTCAGCTACCGGCCACCGTGTGTAGGCAATGTTTTCGCTGTTCAAACAGGGTTGAGGCGAGCCGGTGCGAAGGGTGCGCGACGCGGATATGTCGCTCGTACTCCCGAGGTCACTTCCATCAGCCTTCCCATACAGATCTCGCTGCCTCCACTGACCCAAAGCTCTCTTAGTACCCTCCGCAACCAATTCAAACAGCATCCTGTTGACTAGTCGGACTGGATGCTGGAGCGCAAAGTCAAGGTATATGAACCAGTACGACCTTGGCGTAAAGAACACTCCCATGAACTCGTTTTTCACGGTAAAGCTGTCACCATTCGGATCTGGATTCGCGAAGCGCTTGACTGGATAGAGGAGGCAGACCATCCCCACCCACGTGAAACTTATCATATAGAAGATATCGAGTGGAACTCCCAAGAGAGCCTCTAGGGACCACCATCCGTCCCAAGGTGGCATGTAATATTGGCACGGCCGCCGGTAGCTAAAACAATCTCGAGATACGAGGAAGTCATGGTCGAAATTGGCTGAAGAGATGGAGAAAGGAAGTGTGATGAGAGTGACGGGCCACTCTTGGAGATGAGAATGCCAGTACGCGCGTACGTACTCGCACTCGGAGATTACCCAAAAGGACATTGCGAAGTGGAGAGTGCATTCTTGAATGATTGCGCTAATGTCTTTGGCGAAGGTAGGTGGGGAGCCAAGGTAGGTTCGTGTCCAGATTGCGATCTGACCGAGGTGGACAAGCGTCATCGAAAGTAGTATTGTGTATGATGTTGGAGGACTCGGGTCTACGTATCTTGGACCTTGATCGTTGGCATCGTTGCTAGAGTACTCGTTTATATTGTAGAACCTCAGGACGACTCATGAGTATGCCAGGTGCGACTTGTTTACCTTTCCAGAACCTTCTACAGAGGCACGGAAACCCTTGTTGGTCTCACACAGACCCTCTACTTCCTCTGCTCCCATGAACGCTGGTGACTCCGATGTGACCCCCTTCGTAGTATTGGTGTACGAAAAAATACCAAATAAGCAAAGAAATACGACCAGCGAGCCTTCTTAGGTTCATTCATGTTGAAAAAAAAACTCGACATTGTGCCGCAGCTGGAGGGTGCCGATCTATTACCATGTGACTCTTGCTTCCAGATGGTCTAGCATCCCTTCTGGGTACGCTCGAAGAACTGCGTGAGTATGAATAGGTTCTGCTATGTTTGCTTACCCAATGCAGTGCTCAGGTAAAGCTTCCCAGTAGCGAACCTATGCTAACTTTCTTATCCTCACGTAATTTCCTTTTCTTAGTATCGGATCGAGACTTGTCTTGTTGGACACGCTTCACGGACCGAGCAGGTTCATCTTTCAGCTCACGGACAAACCATGCAATCTCTGTAGCCGTGCCAGGCATACTACATTGGATGTAGTGCATAGATAATGATCGGTATGTTTCACCACCAGGACATCCGTCTTGCGACAACTCGAGCGAGGCATCATATAATCTTCGCATGTCGGAAGCCATTGTGGTTCTAGACCTTGTCTCCCCGCCGTCTGAGTTTGTCTTGTCCCAACGGCTAAAAAACTATGTTACCTCGATGAGCCAACGTCTGGATCTAGGTCACTTACTCCAGATGAGGATGTTGGCGCCAATTCCCCAAGTAAGGTTCCTCTTCAGATGGATCTGGTTGGCCGGAGATTCCAACAATGTTCAAGCTGGGGAAGCTGGAGATGGACGCTAAGACATGAGTTGTCGGTAATGAGTTGCAACCGTCAATAAGAAGTACTCGCAACTTTTTAAAAGCACCACTTTCGCTGACGCTTCGACCCCAGTCGCGTAGCCTTTGGACAGTCAGTGTTTCGCGATACTTTCCAAGTCGATCGTTCCTTCCAATCTCTATTGTAAGAACCGCAAGCGTGTTGATAGTATTGAGAGAAACGAGTTGGTCAATTGTCATGTCGACGATTCGGATACGGAGGAACGTCAGCATGTCGCCGTCGAGCTTGACCAAGCGATCGACGACAGGGGATAAGAGACCTTCGGATTCCCTGTCATACACATGAAAGGTAGAGTGGCGATCAACATCTTCGGGAAATGCTTTTCGAAAGAGACTCCAAGTCCGAAAGGTCATTGTGTCACTGGACACTTAGATTAGCCATCGCACTTTGGGCCTCTGTGCGACCTTCGACCCACGTTAACTTTAAATAATCGTGCAAGCGACTAGCGTAAGACCACCTGAGCCATTGTAGAGCCTCTGATTCCATATTGTCAATGTTCCAGATACAACAACGGAGGGCCATTGACTGCAGGGTATCGCATCCTGGAGTTAGGCGCCGATGCTTCGATGGGTCTATTCGTCTACCCCGGGAATGGCTTGTCCACTTTGGTATCATTGAATTGACGGAAGCTGACGTAGTCTCCCTGTAGACAAGGCCGGACGAAGGGTCGAAGTTCTCCATGCCTCTGACTGACTGTCCGATGAAGTGAACCTGGTCCAATTGGCGAATGAAGGGAAGCGGCGACCGGTATAGGCTCAAGATGGGCTGAGCTAGGTTGACAACAATATACTAAATCTGTTAGATACTGGGTAGGCATTCCAACGTGTATGGTAATTGTCTGCAATAGTCATGTCGTGTATGTAAAAACAAGGTGGAAGAGTAATGCTCGCGACGCGTCGATTAGGGACCCACAGTTACTGTTACAGTGCCCGTGCGTCAGTTAAGCACTAACGCTAGTTAAGCACCTCTACTAGCTTAATAACAAAACTTTAACGTGTTATAACTTAACTAATATAGATCTAATTTAAGAAGTAATTATAGAAATTAAATTATAAGAACTAGAAGATAATTTCTTATACTAAGTAATTATAAAAAAGTATAGTATAGTATAGATAACGTTAATAAGATAATACTGCAGCAAAACTAAGGCCTATAGCGTATACTATCTCTCTTTCTATCTATAATATAAAAAAGAGCTTTTATAATATATTAATACGCTTACTAAATAATATTTGCTACTTTTAAAAGAGATAATATAATACTTTACTATAGACTTAGCTAGAAAAGAGGTTTTAGAAACTTAGGTTACTTAGTTTCTCTAGCGTTATTCTAACTCTCTTATTTTAGCGTATAGTAAGAGGTTAAGTAAACTTTATTATAATACTAATTTAAGAGCTAAGTATAGCTTATACTTTAAGCTTTTAATTAAAAAGATAGAGAAGTATAATATCTAGCTATTCTATATATTTAATATAGATAAAAAGAGGTTTTAACTTAGAAAGATTAGTAAAATAAAGTGTATCTTCTCTAAGGTATATTATATAAAAAAGGAGGTACGCTAACTACTTAAGGATAGCTTAAGTAAGTAGATTACTATTATAGCTTATATTTATTTAGATAGAAGTATTTTAAGTCCTTCTCTTATCTTTAAGATAGCTAATAGAGCTATATAAACTAGCTAGGTTAATACTATATAAGTAGGAAACTACTTAGTCTTTACTACGTTATTACCCTCTAGCTAAAGTAATAATAATATTAGATTATATTAGCTTAAGGAGGTATTTAAAAGAGAAACTTAGTAGTATACTTTAACTAAGTATTAATTACTACTCTTTAATAGCTATAGATCTTATATTATAATAGACTTTATTAATTATTATTATAATTATAAGATCCTATTAGCTATATACCTACTTTACGCTACCTATACGCTTTAACTACTTAATATAGTAATATTTAAACTTTTAGTAAACGCTTACTTAAAAAAGTTAATTTAATACCTTTAAAACTACTAAAAATTACTTAATATAACTAAAGGAGACTTCTTCCTGCTTTTTTAGAAGTTCTAGGTTAAGGTTTTTAAACTTTTCTTTATTAAGAGGTCCTTTAAAGCAACTAGTATATACTTACTTAACTTAGTAGTTATACTTAATAAGTTTACTAAAAAGGGGTTAGATTTAGAAGCTAGTTTAAGCTTTATACTCTCTACTAAAGATTAGCTTAAGCTAAAGTTAATTATATATTAAGAGGTAAGAGATTAAAGTAGTAAAAGAGTTAAGAAGCTTTAATAAAGTTTATACTACTTTATAGCTTAAAATATACTTTTTTATAGTAAACTCTAAAGCTTTAGGTAGTCTCTAGCTATTAAAAAAAAGTAGGAAACTAAATTTTATACTCTATAGCTTAAGGATTATCCTAAGTATTATAGTAGAGCTATTTAGTAGTTACTAATAAGTATTAAATAAGTTTAAGATAATAAGATATAATAATAATAATAAGCTAAGCTTAAAAAGCTTTAAAAAGTTAAAGTAAGCTAAAGTAAGTAAAGCAGCTTATAATTATAAAGTAAAGCTTAAAGCTATAAGGCGTATAGAGTAAGAGAAGGGTTAGAAAGAGACTAGAAAGTAGAAGGCTGTAGAGAAAGCTAAAAGAGAGTATTATAGAAGCCTCTGCAACGCTACTAAAGCTATATAATTACTTAAATTAAATAAGCGTAAAGCTTTAAAAGCTTATAAGCTAGCTATAAAGCGTTAAAAGTATAGTAGTGTTACTATAACTATAGTAGAAGCTGTACAGGTTATACTAGCTACTCTACTACGTAGTTAATAAGACTGCCTTATAACGCTATCTAAAAAAATATCTAAATAAGCTAAAAGTTTTATAGGCTTATATATAGTATAAATCTACTTTTACGTAATTTTATTATAATTTATAGTAGCTCTATAACCTTATTTTGTTAACTATATTAAGTTGTTGGGGGTGCTCAACTGGCGTTGGTGCTCAACTGACGCACGGGCACTGTAGCGCTTCCTGCTCATTCGCCGCCTCTATAAGATCACACGCATTCGCACCGCCCACGATCGGATCGGGCAATGGCAGGCCATCATATATTGCACTGTCTTTTACGATGGCAACTGGGCAGGTCAGGAAAATAGGGGGTGCTGCTAAAGCAGGGTCAACGGCTTCCTAAGCAAAACTTTCTTTGGACGTTCAAATGCCCATTGAGCATCGGCGCTCAAAACTCCGCACATCGGACAATGACTAAATTCCAACACACAACTCCAACACACTCAATCAGATTTCAATCTTGATCGGGATTTGAACAATCTACTCTTATCCAAACTCTTCGCGCATTCTTTTCGGGATATCCACCATGGCATCACCACCACTAAATTTATTGTCCACCCACATCGCTAAAGGTTCTCCCATAATCCTGGACGGTGCACTAGCAACTTATCTGGAGACGTTGGGAGCAGATATAAGCGGCGCGTTATGGTCCGCATCGATTCTTTTGGATCAGCCGTCCCTAATTAAACAAACGCATCTCGATTACTACCGTGCGGGCGCCAATGTCGCGATCACAGCATCTTATCAGGCGTCTGTTGCAGGATTAGTCAAGCACTTAAACCTGAGTGAAGAGGAGGCCAAGCAAGTTGTGGCAAAGAGCGTGGAACTATCTCAGCAAGCAAGAGACGAATACGTTACCGAAACGGGTGAAGATGTTCGGGGTAGGTTATTCATAGCGGGCAGTGTAGGCCCATACGGCGCTTTCCTTGCAGATGGCTCAGAATACCGGGGCGATTATTCTATCCCCCAAGAAGAGATGAAGGACTTCCACCGTGGACGAATTCAGGCCCTTGTATCTGCCGGCGTCGACATCTTAGCCTGCGAGACCATACCATCCAAAGGCGAAACCGAAGCTCTCCTGAACCTCCTTACTACAGAGTTTCCAAAGGCAGAAGCTTGGTTTGGCTTCACACTACGAGACAGCTCGCACATCAGCGATGGAACACCTTTGTCGGAGATTGCAGCGCTCTTTGATGACGTGGAACAGGTAGTTGCGCTGGGCTTCAATTGCGTACCGGATGACTTGGCCTTGGCTGCTATGAAGAACTTGAAGCCGTTGGTGAAGAGAGGGACATTGCTTGTGTATCCCAATTCTGGTGAGCAGTGGAATGCTCAGGCAAGGAAGTGGGGAGGCAAGAGAACAGAAGGGTCTACGTTGGCGGAGAAAACGAGGGAGTGGTCTGAGGCTGGGGCTGGTTTGATTGGAGGTTGTTGCAGGACTACACCGGAAGACATTGGAGTTATGAAGAAGGCACTTGAGGGAGGCCGCTGGATCATCGAGGGACGAGAGGCTCAAGGATCATAGTCAAAAAGTTATCGCTGTTGTATTCAAGATGCTCGATTGATGTGTAAATGTATCGTAGACTACTTCTTTCGTTACATCCACTCACCGGGAAGTGACAGAACTCGCGCACTTGGCACATAGTCATCCATCACACTGTATGATGGGGAGTCGGCGGGTGCTGTTGGACTCCTTGAGGTTGAGCTATCCTCTGGCTCGGCTGTGTTGGTCGTTGTGACCGCCCTTTAGTTTCCAGGTACTTACTGCCCGTTCGGATGAAGGCTTTGGCAACACTCCCTGAGATCCCGGAATGCACATGGTCTGTTGTTCAGGGCATTAATCATCACCCTAGTATCGTCGCTTGCAGTGCACCGCGTGCATGCTGCTCGGTTTTTTGGCTCGGCTGGACGCATCTCACTCAATACGTCGTAGCACTCTCATCCATCGACATCCATGTATTCTTCTCCACCTACCGCACCGCCAGTTCGTTTCTGTAGCTCCTCTAGTATGGCCTTGGCCCGATCCAAAACATCTTCGGTCCCAACCTGTCCCGAGCTCGCCCTTGCGTTCAGCACGCCAACGTCAAACTCCCCATAGCCTCCGTTCTTGACTTCTTTCTCCGGGTCCACAACTTCCGTCTCACTTTCCTTGCCTTTCTGCCCCTGGCCCTGTCTCTGCGTGACGGTGAACTTGGGATGGCTTTTGGGTATGACTTTGTACCGCTCCAGAGCGTTGATTTGCTTCACCAACTCTGTTCGTATTACTTCGCAGGATGCACCAACGAAGAGAGCGTTGATTCGGAAAGCTTCTTTACGCGCCTCTAGGGTGCCAGGGGTACACTCCATAGCGTCATGTTGGAAGGGGATGGGGTCGTTGGTGAGCTGGCTAAGGGCGGTTGCAAAATATTTGAGCAATTTGGGTATTTGGTGGTTGATCTCGTTGAGGGTGTCGATGTGTTCAGCAGCGACCTCACGATATGTCTTCGGCTCTTCAGAAGCTTTGGTGGTTCCGGCCTGTTGCTGGTCTACCTCGTTTGCGGTTTGTGGATCGGCTTCGGTGGACATGGTGGGATGTCTGGAGGGTGTGGACAATGATAGCGGCCAGAGTGCCAGAGAGGTTGATTGGTTTATGAGGCTAAAGAGAGGTTGTCTGCGACAAGAGCAGGTTTGCCAGAAAGTAATGCGACATGTATTTGGCGTGAGTTGCGTGTCTTGGAGTCGAAGCTGGGGAAGCTCAGGGCCGCCCGCCATGCATGCGCGCGGCCTTCTTGGCAGGCCGCGCGAGTCGAACCTCACTTCCGTCTTTCACTCCGCAACACGGCTAGGCTCGGTGACGTCCTGGGAAGCTTCAGACGCGACTCACCTATCTACACAGAGACTCCACGCGTCGATATCTCACCACTACCACTTGCGACAGAGAAGCAACCATCGGAAGGCGTTTCCGATCCTCCATGCGCATTGCGACCCGTCTCCACCTAGCCTCGAGGTGAAAGAGCAGCCTTCTGCCAATATAGAAGAGAAGGAGCAACACCACAACCATGTCAGGGCCCCCGCAAGGGCCCGGGCCTGTAAGGCAAATGAGTGTAGGAAATGGACCACCCAGCGCAGGTTTACCACCACACAACGCCATGCCTCCGCAAGGCGGTCCTCCGCCGCCAGGTGCCTCAGGGCCGCAGTCCCAGCAGAACTTGAACCAGATTGTGGGTACAGCTCTTTTTCCTATCATCACGTCGTCTGCTATTGTGGTGCCCGTACAATTACGAAGAGTGAGAGCGCATTGTTACAGCGGGTTCTGGATGTCGCGTTTGGTGAAAGAAAGCTGTCCTTGGCTATATTCTTGACTTGCGCTTCCTTCCACCTTGTACGCCGCTCAGCTCTCATTCTGCACGCACATTACCATTACATATCTACCACAACCTTTTTTCTCTACTGCGACAAGTTTCCAGCTTCGCGCGTTCTGCTTTGCACCCTAGCCAGCAACGTCACGACAGTCAAATATGAGCGCATCGTTGCACAGCCAGGCCCATGCGGCGAATTCCAGTAGCAACAATATGGTACTGCGCACTTGGAGCATCAATTGCTTCCAACCTGGGGATGACTCTACCTTGGAGCGTGTCTTTGCTAACTTTTGTACAGGTCTTGGAGTACCTCTCAAAAAAAGGCTATGTTCGCACCGAGGCGATGCTCCGCAAGGAGTCTGAACCGCAGACCAACGGCCAGCCGCTCACGGCGCAGAGTACCGAAGCAGGCGGCGCGAAATATACAAAAGCATTCGAGCTTCTACGCAAATACACCGAAGATAACCTGGATCTGTATAGACCAGAGTTGCGAAAGCTGCTGTGGCCCGTCTTTGTGTACTCATTTCTGGACCTGGTGCGCGACTTTTACACGAAAGATGCGGAAACATTTTTTGCAACGTACCAGGGCCTGTTTGAGCGCGACCACGACGAAGACATCAAGACACTTCGCCAAGTGCGATTACAAGCACATCTGCAGGAGAGTCGAATAGCGAAGCTGTACATCGACAACAAATATCGGATCACGCTAACGACCATGCCATTCTTCAACCTCATTCAATTTCTCGAATCCAAGCATTTTGACGGTGGTGCGACAATAATAGACGTGATCCGGGAACACCTGAACATCGTCACTGTCGACCGGACAGCCACCGCTGAGAAAAGCATTGCAGCAATTCTTGCGAGTGGACATGGCGAAGACGAGCTCCCAGCGGAGGATGAAGGTATTCCAGGACACGCCCCAGGTCATCCTCTTACTGCGCGCCACGATCCCGAAGCGGAAGCTGCCCGAATCAGGCTACAATTAGGAGCATACCCACAGGAGGCAGATCTGCAGGAAGACGTCCGAGCAGCTCTACAAGACGAGGACGCTAAGAATGCGCCAAGACCAGGACAACCAAGTCTGGTAGAGGAGTTTGAGCAACGCATAAAACAGGAACCAACAGAAGACGGGCCTTCGCGTGAGTTTGTTCCTCTGCCTCCCTCTCTAGCGCGCGACGTCTCTATGGAGGTTCAGAAGATCATCGAGCACCGAGATCGCTACAAGATGGAAGGCAGAACAGGCGGTGTTGGTCCCGCTGTCAGCGTGACCATGTACACCTTTCATAACACGTATGACAGGTCAGTCGACTCATTATACCCCTCTGAAATTTATTGACTGACGCGGTAACAGTATCAACTGTATCGACTTCTCTGGTGACAACCAGCTCGTCGCAGCCGGCATGAACGAGTCCTACATCCGCGTGTGGTCCATGGACGGCAGTCCTCTCACCTCTCCGAACGACAACCCAGACACTCAGCCATCGTCTTCCAGGCGGCTTGTTGGCCACTCAGGCCCTGTTACTGCGGTGGCCTTCTCACCCTCTACAGCAAATCCGTATCCTTCTGGCCCGCCCACAAACTCAGAATGCCTTCTTTCATGTTCGGAAGACAAGACCGTCAGGCTATGGTCATTAGATACATACACCTGTCTTGTAGCGTATCGCGGACACGACAATCCTGTCTGGGACCTGCAATGGGGACCGTATGGACACTATTTCCTTACTGGTTCGAACGATCGTACCGCGCGTCTGTGGTCAACAGATCACATTGAACCTCTACGCATCTATGTTGGCCATGACAATGACGTTGACTGCGTTGCTTTCCATCCCAACAATCTTTACGTATTTACCGGCTCTTGCGACCGCACGGTGCGCATGTGGCACATCGCCGGTGGTAATTGCTTGCGCCTCTTTACTGGTCATACAGGCAATGTAACTGCTATAGCCTGTTCTCCTGATGGCAGAACCCTGGCATCCGCTGACGATGCTGGCAACATTATCCTCTGGACTCTTGAAACTGGGCGAAGACGCAAGCGTATGCGCGGACATGGCAAAGGCGGGATCTGGTCGCTTTCTTGGAGTGTGGAGTCCAGCGTTCTTGTCTCAGCCGGTGCGGATAAGACAGTTCGTGTTTGGGATGTACTGCAAGAGACTAGCGATAAGGCTGCTGACGGTGTGGCTGCGAAGGCAGATGGCGCCATGACGACCAAAGGCGCAAGTGGCACCACAGTCACGGGAAAGAAGGCCAGCAAGGAGGCAGGTGTGTCGGCGGACCAGATCAGCGTCTTTCCGACTAAAGACAGTCCCGTATATAAGGTACAGTTCACCCGGATGAATTTGGTCCTTGCCGGCGGTGCGTATCTACCGACACGTCAATAAAGCTTAGCATCAAGCTAGGCCTTGAGGTGTTCATATACGGATGGGTGCATTCGGGCGTTTTTTTTTTAGGAAGTAAAAGCATCAAGATGACTAGCTATAGTATACCCGCATGTAGAATCTCATTCTTTCAATCTCATCCTCCATGTTGTTGACCCTGATCTTCCACAATAGCGTGTTCGGATGGCATCGTGAGTCGTCTATTAGGCATATCTGCGATTCTGACCCCACTCGGCCTTGAAGTGAAAAAATTGGTCTCTTGCGATTGCGCTTGGAGCTGCCGAAGGTTATCTCATGACGTTGCTGTAGTTTTACATTATCCCAGTGGCGTCCGAGGGTTGTTGCCCTTGCCACTTGGACTTGTTTGTTGTGATCTGAGAGCACCTTCCCTAACCTCAAAGCTTCACAGAGGTCGCCCATCCCTTGGCACTCGTGCCTCCCTAGATATAGTCCATCGCCCAGTGTTTATCATCTCTCTTCTGCTCACATAAATCTCCTACACTCGCTTGCCACAACCATCACCGCCCTCCTTCAGCATCTGATCTGGCCCTTTAATCATCTTGCTCATCAGGTGCACTCTCTTATCCAACCTCGCCTCAGCTGCCAGCCCGACGCTTGACATGAAGATCATTCAGCTTGCCGCTATCTTCGGAGGTACTGCTCTCGCAGTCCAGCCTCTTGCAGCTCCTCGTAAGTCATACCCTCCCTACATGTCATCTCCTAGTCAGCATCGCTGCTCAATAGGGTAGCGACACTCCTCGAAGCGAGATCTGGCGATCCTGAACGATCAAGTAACCCTGACTTGTGAACAGATGTCCAGCGCGCCCTCACAGACACGCACTCCATGGTTGTTATGGTCACGTCAACTCATCTAGTCTCCGAGATCTGTACGGATATCGCGAGCTGCCCTCCTTATACTACAACTGCCCAGACATCCGTCGTTTATGTCACTGCAACAACAACAATCTGTCTTCTCTCATCCACACCTCCCGGATATGGACCACCTGCGACTACAGTTAATCCTTCATCCGTTGCCAGCTCTGCATACCCCACCGAGCCTGCAGGCATCACTGTCAGCACCATTCCTGGGTCTTCGATCTCTCCCACCGGTTCCGAATACTCCAGTGGCTCTGCTCCTCAGTCAAGCGCTCTGCCAACGGACGTCTCCTCAAGCGCCTATGCCACGGTACCTAGTGTGAGCGTAATCACTCGGCCGGCGTCTTACAACGGCCCTGTCGTCGTTACCCTTACGTCTGTGTATCCCGGGTCAAGCGTTGTCATTGTGATCCCTTCATCTACCACCTTAGATGTCGTCAGTTCGTTTTATTCCGGTTCACCAACCTCACTCAGTCCTATCGGCTCTTCGACTGGATACGTTGCACCTCCTGATAGCTCATTGGTCTCATCTATTTCATACCCAGGCTCTGTTCCCTCTGGTAGCTCAGCAACTCCATCGTACAGCAACACCGATGCAGTACCTATCTCGTTGGTAATTCCATCTCTGGGACCTAGTTCCGGTAATTCGGTTACTCCTTCGACGCCAGGCTATGCTCCCTCCCGCTCAGCAACCCCACCTAGTAGCAATACAGATGCAGTGCCTACTTCCCTCAGTGCTACCGTTACTGATTCATCGTCGAGTGGATACAACGTTCCTTCCAGCATCTCGACTAAACAGTCAGGCTCTTACATAGGTACCGTGCCGACTACCTTCACAGTCTCGTTACCCACAGGTCCATCTTCAAGCGGGTATGCAATGTCATCAAGCAAATCGGCTATCTCTTCAAGCCCTGCTGGTCTGTATTCGAGTGGATACATTGTGCCACCGGGTAACTCAGACGTACTGACAAGCTCGGGCGCTGCTGTTCTACCTTCTTCTCCCACAGCCTCTTTGCCAAGTGCCAGCTCTGCTGGACCTTCCTCAAGCAGGCTCTTCACAGGCTCCGAGACGGATGCTGTGCCCAGCTCTTTTCCGTCTGGTGGCCCATCGGCTGGGCCTTCATCAGGTAGCTACTTTGTTCCATCCGACACTGCATCAAGATCTTCGGGTATTGGCTCTGGTACATATCCGGCTAGAACGTCTGCGACATCTGGTTACTCCAACCCCTCGCACTCAGCAGGCTTTAAATCTACCGTCACCGATAGCACGATTAGGATTACGAGCTCTCAGACGCAAACGTTCACCTCGTACGTCACTGCAGGACCTTCCTCCAATGGGGCTGGCAGCAACACAAACACGGACACACAGGCTGTAGCGACAAGCTTCCCTTCAAGTGTTTCTGGTTATCCCTCCGGATCCGGGTATGTCTTGCAGTCTCCTTGTACCTTTGAACATCCACTAACCAGTCTCTTAGTTACCCACACCCATCTGGCGGCATCAACGGTACGATAATTGCGCCCTCTCCCAGTTATATCGAAGTCCCTATCAACACCGGTCATATCGTTGGTGCCGGAAAGAGCTCTCTCACAGCAATTGTCGTCGCTCTCGTCTTCGTTCATCTCGCATGAGCCAGTGAGTTATCTCTTTCGCGCAAACTGGTCTCCGTCACAACAGAAGTGTGCTGTTGGTGTGGTAGGTCGGCCTGGTGGGCATTCTTGCATCGCGCATCGCGTCTAGCATGCAGCATTCTGGCTCTTTATACATGTTTATCGTGGTATTTTCTTCCGGGTAAAAGGGTGATGGTATGATCTTTTTAGGGCGAGTTCCTTAGCTAGGTAGGGTTTTCCTCACATGTACTACCAGTTACACGGCCGCAACAGATCAGCATACAATATACAGCACCTTTCACTACGGCCGTCAGAAAACATCCTCTATGTATTGTGAAATCCTGACGAGGGCCTTTCGTCAAGAACAATCTGCCTGGCAGATACTGGTGGCTCCATGGGAGATTGGATGACCATTTGGTCATTCATCGTTGTCTAAGACAAACGACTATACAGTCAAAATTCAAGACAAAGAAAGGTTTAAGGGGTATAAGGACTACTTTACCCGTAGATAGAACATTACAACTTATCTCAATACACTTCAGTCAGTCAATTATTCAACATTTATCGACACCGTATACCAACAGCCTGCAGGGTACCATCTAGGCTCTCATCGTTACCCGGTATGTTTCCGCTCCAAACCTCCTCAGGAACACGTTCAGCTGCAGGGAGTATGTTGAAGTGTGGACTTGGCTCGGCCTTCAACCACTTGAAGTCATCGATCTGATTCCACTGGTTGGCTGACTGCTCGATCTCTGGTGTCTTCTACACGATCGTTAGCGCTGTTATATGAGCAAAGGCTATATATTCCAGAAGACCGACTCACGTAGGAATCAGGTAGTGGCGCAAACCTTAAGCCCTCACAATCCTCGAAGATTGGTCGACTAGTACTATGCAGATACACATCCACGTCTTTGCTGCCATGCATACGGAACTGTCGACACGCTGTTACTATGACACTGTTGGAGACGTCTGTGATGTGGATTGCTCCTGCGACTTGGCCGGTAATGATGAGCGAGGAGGTTATGGAGCGGAGGTAAAGAGCGGCAAAGGGTGCGTCGGCTTTTGTTGGAGCGCTGAGATCGACGACACAGTGGGCAAGATGGGAAACCGTTGGTGAGCTTGTGGCGTAAAGGGCTTGAGCGAGAGTTATATGGGCGTGCGACTTGTGGGAGAGGGTCGACGTGGACAAATCCTGTTGCGCCGTTTCTTGATGTTGTGGTGGTTGCGACGGCTGGTGTTCAAGTAGAGAAGACGACTTCGCGCTCGATGTATCGGATGCCTCCGGTTTAGCTTCTGGCTTCATGATATCCTTCTTCTTGCTCTTGAAACTGAACTTCTTGGGTGGATCGAAGCTGTTCCTCACACTTGACAACTTCTCACTCAACTTCTTGATCGTCTATACTCTCTCGTCAGCTCGATCTTCCCATCCTCAAATTTTTTCATAAGAACTCACCTCGCTATATGTCCGCTGATCATACGCGGGTAGAAGACTTGACGCGTCTTGGACATCGTGGGATAATCGATCTATGCCTGCGAGGCAGTCGTCTATCGCTTGATTGCGCTCGCCACCAGATGTCGACAGGGAAGATAAGCTTTCGATTTGCCTGTGGAGCGCTGGTATGTGTTATTCCAGTGTATCTATTGCTATTGATTACAACTACGCACTTGCGACATCCTGGTGGAATTGGCGGTAGAGGGTCTCTTTGAGGTTGGACTCGACCATTGTGCATGAGATTCAATCGCGATTTAGCTTGGTTGACTCGAAGAAGCTAGAACTTCAAGTTATCGTTACACGCTTTACCAAATGCGCTGGACCTTGAGGAGTCTTGGGAGAGGTTCACGCGTCATGAGGCGGTTTAGTGGGGTTGGGAGAAGAGACGCGCATTGAGCGCGACAAAAATATCATCATGATGCAAAACGCTGGTCTACATGATCTGCGACTTGGATTCCTACTCAATTTCTGTAATAAAATGATCTTCTCTTCTAGGGAATTTTTTCTTCTTCTCGAGAACAATGTAGTAGTGAGCATATTTAAGGTGAGGACCGAGATACGCGATATGGTCGAACTGGTGGGATGCACGCTACCCCGCATTTCACCAATAGCATCTAATATGTTGTCACCGATAGCAGAAGCAAGGCTGTTGTCCCAAATGAGTAGGTTCAGACCGAAAAATCGACAAGAGCTATCTGAACATCACACGATATCGCGCGCCTTCTTCTCATTGACCAATTGGCCTTGAACAGAGCGGATAGCTGCAACTCAAGCTTATACACAGCCCGCGCTGCATGTCTTGTTACATCAGTGTTCAGGATATTCGCCCATTCACAACAGAGCCTATTGGAGATTCGTTTGGTTCACATTGAGACTGAGAGACTTCGTCCCACCACATGCGTAAGAGACAATGCCAGGATCTTGATGAACAGTTCGATTGTCGAGATAGTATATACACGAGCCAGATGTAGCCCAGGTGTTTGTGATGAGGTATTTGTTGTGGTAAACTCCAAGAAAAGGTTTGTTGCTTTCGAGCCGACTATTGCTCTGCCTTGACGTCGATGCCGTACTTCTCCAGCAGTCGTTGCCGCCTCCTCTCCTCGTAGCCGGGGCCGTAGATTCCTAGGAGAGTCAGTCTCAGCGAGCGTGTGCTGCCCACCTTTCAACATACCTCGTCCCTCGCCCAGTTGCTGGAGCGTCTCAGATAGTGGCCGCCTGCGCACCTTCTTCAGCTCCTCCCTGCGCTCGACCTCGCCATCGTCATCGACCTGGTCGCGGATGTCTCCGACACCGCGCATACCATTGGCGTATCGGTAGGCACTAAGGGCGGTGGAGAAGCACACTCCGGCACCGAGCATGAAGGGAAGGCTCCGTCCTGTAGTCTGTCAGTACCAGGCCACGCACGAGTCTCGGATATGCGTACTGGCAACACCGACACCGCATCCAGCGACGAAACCAGCAACTGCTTCGCTGTAGCAGTCGTCTTTTTGTCGCAGGTTGCTGGTCGCGTCGAGTGTGAATTGATAGGCGGCTCCGACACCAGCTGCACGTCGATTAGCTTCATCGTGATGGATGTGCGTGCAATTGGCCTGCTACGGACCGTAGAGGGCGATTATGCCTCCCGAGCGGGTGAGGATGCCCATGGCTCCGACATTCTGCTTCCGTAGTGTGTTCTGCACACCAGCAACGACGGCGCCGACAGCCGTGGTCTGGAGAGTGGTATTCGCCGTATTGGCGAGGGCGTCCCGGGGGTGGAAGGTGACGTGTTGGTCGGCCATGGCGGGCGAATTGGGCGTGGGTGTCGACTTGGAAGCTCTATAGACGTTGGTGAAGTCGGCTGCGGCAAGTTGCGCCAGACGGTAAGCGTCTTGGCACTCAGGGCTCAGGCGGCGGGCGGGCACTGCATCATCGCGCGCCGCGTCGCCTTGAGCTGTCGCATGGACTGCCGCAAGGCTGTTTGCTTCGCCGCTTGTGCCTCTATGGCTTTACTTTCTACCATGCATAGCCCTTGAAGTGAAAACTTCGTCCACGCGGGCTAGTTGTTCCGTTCCTTCTGGAACCTAGCAATATAGTGTATGCTAGGCGGTTGCCGCCCGCGATGCCCTCGCTGTAAACGCTTCAGTCGCACGTTGGCAACCTCTCTTCGCCCTTCTCCACCCATATCGCCGTGCGTGCTGTGCTGTCCTACTCCACCTCGCTTTCTGTCATCCATAACACAAGCTGCACTGCTGCTCTCCGCTGCCACCCCCAGCAGACATGGCGCCCGGTACCTTTTCCATTCTTGTGCCACCAGCGTGTGCTAACTATGGCTTCCAGGCAAGACAGCGCCGCGGTTGCTCCAGGATCTCTTCACGTACGACCCACGACACGAAGAACGCGCCGGTCGCAACTTGTTGACCAGCACCCCACCGCAACACGACAGCAAAGCCCCGCCAGTCCCCGCCGTGCCTTTTAGAAACTGCCGTCACAACCTGTTTACCAAGTCCGAGCAGTCGCTGTTACCCGTGCCAGGCCAAGACCCAACCTCGAGTACCGTATACAAGGTCGCTTCTTACTGCATCAAGTGTCGCTGGCATGTCGATATACTCGTCGACCATCGCATCGATGCTGCCAAAGTCAAGTCGTGTGGCAAGGGAAACGAGGACTATGCCCTGCACCACTTTCTCTACCAAGGAGAGGATGACGCAAACAACACGGCCAGGTTCGAGGCTCAGCTACGGCCGCGTACCTATATCTTTCGCTGTTCTGCGCCACAATGTTCGGTCCAGGTACGGATCAGCATCAAACCGCCGTGCTTCTCGGAGCACGACATTGAGACCTTGACGAACCAGGCTCAACTTAGAAGGCGATGGGAAGCAGCGAAACAGATCGCTGGCGACCGAGCAGACACAAGCATGGCACGGAGGGTCGATGCTCCTGATTATCTGAACACATATCTGCAGGACTCGTTAAAACCAGCAAAGGGCAAGGCGCGCATCCCGCTGTTAAACAAGAAGTTTCTCAAGACTTTTGGTAAAGATTGTGACTCGATACTGAGACGTCTGGGCTTCGAGAAACACCAGGAAGAAGAGGAGGACACTTTTGTAGAAGCCTGGTATCTTCCTAAGCCCGAGGAACCCACATCTCCTCTTGAATCGACGCTGCGCTCCAAGATCGAGGACGCTCGCTATGAATTAAATACCATAATACTGGACATGCCAGAGAGCGAACGCGTGGGTTGTAGACATCAACCCATGTATCCTACGCCGTCACGTGGCGACATGGAAAGGGCATTAGCATGTGCGGATTGTATGTCCATATACGCGCCGCTCGTTGCACAATGTGATACTGACGAGCTGCACAGACGCCAAGGCGAAAGAACGGGAGACACGCAGTACAAACCACGAAGAAGATCATCCGTACGTGCCCCGCCTTCACCTTCACCAGTCCTCTGATTACTGACAGGGAATAGCTACTACGCTAGTCTGGGTGCTGTTGGAGACTTTGACGACTCCTTGATCCTCTTCGCCTTCTCTCGACAAGGCGCCGTTGACATCGAGAACAAGGCGTACTACTTTGAATGCTTGCAGGATCTCGCGACCGGTCGCCAAAGTGACCTGCTCGGGATGCAGGTAGCTATGTTGGCTTCACAGGGTCTCACAAGCAAACGGGAGGCCGAGCGCGCATACCAATACTTTGGTATTGACCCAACACACGCAAGCGTAATAGGCGACGATCACATCATTGGATGTTTCCGTTCCCGCCTAGCCGATGTCAGCGTTATCCAAGCCGAGGAGGCGCGAAAGCAACTACGAGTTCTGGGAGACGTGCGTGAGAGCGATAGAATACGAGCAGAAGCCTCGGGCTCTATCGAGACGTACGAACAAGCGATGGCCTTCTTCGACCTTGATCCTAGCGTAGCTGACGATTTCGTTCCAACCATGTATTCGCTCAAGGTACTTTGCACGGATCCCTACATGGACTGCTTGTCGTCTGGAACGAATGCTAACGCGCAAACTAGACTCAAGACAACCCTTCAAGCATAGAAACTGCCAGAAAGGCTGTGGAAATTATAGCAGAGACGCGCAACAGCGAACGACTACGCCATTTTGCCAAATTCGGGACGATGAGCGATCCTGAAATGGACATAGGTGACGCATACGCTCTCTTCGACCAAACAGACAGAACGGTCCCGCTTGATCCTGCAGTTCTAGAATCTGTTCTTAGCACATATGAAATCGGCACAAGTGAGAGATTAAGAATGGAGAAAGCGCACGCTCTCATCCAGTACGACCAGTCACAAAGATTTGGCGACAACCATGTCAACCCGAAACGCTCAGAATTCAGACGAAACCTGTACCCTCTCGATAAATGGCCGGTCGGGCTTCGCAACATTGGCAATACCTGCTACCTGAACAGCGTACTCCAATTCTTGTTCACTATCAAGCCTCTAAGAGATCTTATTCTCGATATTGAAAAGCATATGCAAGACCCCTCCCCAGAAGCATTGAATAACAAGAAAGTTGGGCGCATGCTCGTCACAGCCGAAAGAGTTTTGACGGCACAGAAGTGTCAGTATAAACCTCCTTTGGCGCGAATCAAGATTAACTTTGGATAGTCGTTCGTGAGTTACGGGCTCTCTTCGAGCAAATGACGACCGCTTCAACAGAGACGGTACAGCCTGCGATAGATCTTGCTTCTCTCGCACTCTGCAAATCGGATAACCCTATAGAATCGACACAGTCACCGCCAATGGACACTACCGATCGCACTGGTTTAGGTACCATCGACGGAGCAGTGGTCAGCGGACCCATGTTACCACCTGCGGCAATCCAGTCAATTCCCGCAGAAGCTCCGGCAGGTTCAGTCGTGAATAACGATGAGGCAAAGCCTGCGGATTCCGTTATGGATGATACCGATGCAGCTCCGGTTACATCTGCTGATTTGGTCATGGCCGATGATGGTTCAGTAAGCAAGAGCGAGAGCGACATACCTGCTCCACCGACTCGACCTCCCCCAATACCGCCACGAGCAGACCCTAAGCCGGCCATGAAGCCCGCTGTTCAATCAAGTACAAAGATTGGTAGAATCGAGGAGAGCGCTCGGCAGCAGGACGCCGCAGAAGTCATGGCCAACATATTTGACCTCATCTCCTGCGCCATAACGGGCGATAGTATTTTACGAGAAGGCGAGCAAGGAGACGCCATCAAGAAGCTATTCTTTGGTGATGTTACCACAGTTATGGAGAAACCAGATGGTGTACAGAAAGTCCAGGAACTCCGAGATCATTTCCTTGTGGCTACTGGACAACGAGATCGCTCACTCTATGCTACCCTTGACGAAGATTTCGGACTAGGTGAGATAGAAGGTGGCAGTGGTACCAGATACGATTATGTCGAACAGGCCGCGCCCATTCAGATCATCAATGTGAAGCGGTTGCAATTCAACAAAGGCCAGCCTGTATACGATCACTCGCATATCGGTCTAGAGAAGACCATGTATCTAGATCGTTACTTGGCGAGAACACCAACACTAGATGAAGCACAATTGCTAGAACTTCGCAAAGCGCAATGGGCAAAACAGAAAGAGCTGCGCGAGCTAGACGCAAAACGAACAAAGCTACAGACAACAGGCATGGAAGGCATGAACCTACCTGACTGTCTGAAGGCAGCAGGCGACTTTGTCGAAAGTCTCACCACAGAGAAGTCAGAGCATGAGCCAGTATCATCGAGGCAAGACTTTTTGCCTACTCCACCTCCCGAACTCTGTGACGCCCTCCAAACTCGGGCCACCAACCTCGCCGCCGATCTGTCGGGCATCGATGGCCAGATGACGACTCTGGAGTCGGAAATCAACACCGTCTTCAAAGACTGCACTTCTGTTCCCTACCGTCTTCATGCTGTCTTCACCCACCGCGGCGACGTTAAAGGTGGCCATTACTGGATCTACATCTACGACTTCCAAAACAACGACTGGAGAGTTTACAACGACGAACAAGTAGATCCTGTTGTAGAGGAGGGTATAGTGCTCGACAAGGAGGAAGGATCCCGACCGAAGGTCAGCACAGGTGTGGTGTACGTGAGAGCTGATCTCGTGGACGAGTACACTGAGGCTGTATGTCGCCGACCTGAAAAACCCGAGGATGATGTACCGGCGGATGTCGAGATGAAGGATGTTGTGCTTGCCGATGATGCCATGCCGGCGCTTGAACCGGCAGATCTGAAGGGTGTACCTGTCATTGAGGGCGTGGAGAAGGAGTAAGCTCTTTTCTTCTGAGCCCCTGCTCCCTTCCCCCCTTCTCTCTACTCCTGTTTGCTGATCTTGACTGTTCTATTAGCATGGATCTGGTACTCCAGGATGAGCCTTTGACTACTCCTCAGGAGAAGAGAGTAGGCGCACGTCTGGAATCTCCACCTAAGAGAGGCAAAAGCGAAGTTGGGATCAATGACAGATCCAGTGGGATTGATTGACTAGAGGTGAATATCGGTACTGTGCAAACCGGGCTACGCTGAGCGTATGCAACTGTTTTGAAGGGCATGACTAACGAATTGTGCTTGCATCGGCACTAGCATTAGTAATGGCTCACAAATAGAAGTAGGATAATGCATAGTGACGGGCACTGTTTTTGTGACCCGGTAAAGGCTGATATATTCTGTTGCACGCATACGACGTGTTTTTACTCGTCATCACCGTAGTGGCACACGAAGCTCACACAGCTTGTCTCTTCCTCCCTCCGCCTCTTCGCCAATTCCACAGCGCTTCCTGAGCAAAAGTGCGTGCAGTCAAATGACCCCTCTCCTTGTTGGCCTCTTCAGTCAACGTCTCAATCACCCTTCCTTGCTCGATGCACTGCCACAGCCCCCCTGCCATGGCACTGCCAATATCCTCCTCTACCCACTCCTCTCCATCCTCGTCTTCTACTACCTCTGGATTCTTGGCTACTTTTGCTGGTCCGTCCGTCATTTGTTCCACGCTCTCAACGCCGAATTCTCCTCTGCCTAGTCTGTATAAGATACGACCTAGCGTTTGGTATGCGATACATCGTTGACTTGCCACTTTACTTCGCGCCGTGACTGCGAGTTCTGGTATTGTGTATCCTGCTGCCTCTGGGGCTTCGGCGTGATGGTGAAGGCCCCTGTCGGTGGGTATATCTCGTGCGACGCTAGGTGCTAGCAAGTTGCCAGAAAAGTCGAAGCGCAGTTCTGCCGGATTCAGGGCGGTTTGAGAGGGGTGGTAAGGAGATTTGGTATCTGATGGGTCGATTGGCGACATCCATGACAGCGACGAGGGATCGTAGGGTAGCGTGGGGAAGTACTTCTCATGTAGGTTTTTGAGAAATGACGGATCGTTTGGGTCGAGGTCGGGCGGTTGTGGAGGTCGTGGGAAGTGTATTGAGTCTGTGGTATCCGGAATAGCTGCCGATGCGGTGTCGTCGTCTGGCGAAGATTGTGCGGCAGGCATCAGGCTCGGCGCTGGTTGTGACTTTGCCTCCTCTGTTGGTTCTGGGGCAGCGAAGGAGACCTTCTTCGTACTTGGGGTCTGGGGCTGAGGTTCTGGCTTGGTTTGGTCAGTCAAAAGGGGTACAACGGCTGCTGGTGCTGGCGGCTCTGTATCAAAGTCGCGCTCGTTGCTCCCTTGATCAATGTTGGACCGCATGAGCAGCTTCTGCAGTAATGCTGGATTGAGACTCGACATGAGCTCTTGCCGTTCCTGCTCAATCTCTGCATCTGACATGCCCGCTAGTGTCTGCCTATTCTCTTCGTCTATCGCTCGTCTCTCCTCGTCCCGGTCAAGCCCGAATGCGCTTCGTGGTTTGGGCGCATCTTGCATCTTCGCAGGTGCGTTTGGTGCCGTCACAGCTTGCTGGTCTTTAGCCGCGCGCTGCTGTTTGAAGGCCGACATTCTCGGTACGCGTTTTTTGTGCGCCGGAAACCCGTTCACATTCGGTTTGAGCGAGGGCGCAACCGGAGGATTAGCTGGTAATGAATCGCGCTCTCGAATGTCGCCCACGAAGGTAGGGAACGACGGCATGCGGAGCTCATGCTGCTCTTCTTGATCCAGCTTCTCGACTGCACCGGTATCAAAGTTCAAGTTCACGCGCTCTCCTCTTTGAAACTCCATGTTGACAGCAATATTGTGGCGGTGGTGTACGTGACGCAAATGTTTCCTGTCGAAACTTTGGACTAACGGACCCTTGCATGCGGGGTGGGGTGCTATGAGCGCATCGGCTGGACCTGCTTTACGTGACACTTCCAGCAGCAATGGAGCAAATGCACGCAGCGACAGGCAGCTCAAGGCTCGCAGCTGATTCGATACCACGCCGATCTGTACTCCAACTACACGTCTCCACAGCTTTGACTTGGAGTGACAAACTGGACAACACCCTTGCTTACATCCTTCGGGTAGTCGACGAGATATTGTTCTGGGATGATGATTTTGTCGAAAAGGATACCCGGTTGAAAACTTTCCTATTGTCTGGAATGACCCAAATAAGGTGCAGGGTACCTAAGCTACCAATGATGACAGGGACTCAGGTACCTGCATCGATATGTGGGATGTTTGTAAGACGGATTCGGCCAATGGCCAAGTGGTGACTGAGCTTGCGCAGGCAGTATCCCAATCTCATACAAGATAGCTAGGCGTACTGTTGGAATACATGAGTGCGAAGAGATGACGATCTCTGAAAACGATGAGTCGGTTGTGATGGGATATCGACTATCGTGCCATACTAACGATCAAGCCAATGTGATGAATATGCTAAAATGTAGTTACAACATTGCAGCGCGGCCGCCCCAGCGGAAAGCTGCCTCGGCTAACCGCGGTCTACGACTATGAGGTCGCCAAACCACATCCCCACAACGACACTGTAGCTTTGAACACCAGCATATCTGGGCGTGAACTGTACTGTACTACTGCGGTCGCATACGCAACGTAGACATCATCGAAATGCCCTCATTCCGTCTCAGCCCCCGCGTCCTACATCGTGCCCTTCAAAGCCGCACCTATGCAACCGCCCAAGCACCGGCAATTAACGTCACCAACGTCCCAGCACCACACTGTGGAAGCATACGTATACTTTCTCTGAATCGACCTGCGGCACGTAATGCGATATCTCGGCAATTGCTCGCGGATCTGAGCCATCAAGTAAACAGCATACACAATGAGGGTGACAACGGGCCAACCAGGGCGTTGATATTGGCGAGCGATATCGACACGAGTTTCTGTGCGGGCGCAGATCTGAAGGAGAGGGCTACATTTACACAGGAAGAGTATGTTCAGCCATATATGTGGGAAGAGTAACAGCTAACAAGATATTAGAACATCCAACTTTCTAACTACGTTACGGGGAACATTTGCATCGATCTCACAGCTACCGATTCCAACAATCTCTGCATTGGCAGCACCGGCATTTGGTGGCGGCCTCGAACTAGCCCTTACAACACACATGCGTGTCTTTGCCTCTAGCACCACCGTCGCTCTCCCAGAAACTCGTCTCGCTATTCTTCCTGGCGCAGGAGGGACATACCGTCTCCCTGCTTTGATTGGCCTTTCACGTGCACGGGACATGATATTGACAGGCCGCCGTGTAGCAGCGCCGGAAGCCTATTTCCTGGGGCTGTGTGACCGGTTAGTGGAGATAACTGCCGAAGACGTACAGCAAGAAGGTGCTGCGCGAAAAAAGGTCTTGAACGAAGCTGTAAGACTAGCAAGGGAGATATGCGAAGGTGGGCCGATAGCGATCAAGGCTGCGCTTCAAGCGGTGGAGGGCTGTGCGCTGGGCGAGAAGGCCGAGAATGCTGCATATGAGCTTGTAGTCAGGACAAAGGATCGCGACGAGGCGCTTCTCGCATTTAGGGAGAAGAGGAAGCCTGTTTTCAAGGGCGAGTAAACAAACATTGGCTGTGTCGCGGTCAAGTATCGACACTTGCGCACCTAGCCTGAGTCGACATGCTTCATTTCTGCATTATCAGGTCCTATGCTACACGCTACGTTCTACATCTTACTCTTGATCTCCTCCAGTAGCTTGCTTAGCTCGCCCTTGTCCGCCTCCTTGGTTGGCCAGCCAATACCCAGCCCTTCTTGCTCATTTGGCTTGGGAATGAGGTGAAAATGTACATGATCCACAACTTGATGCGCAATCCTTCCGTTGTTTTGAAGAATGTTATAGTCTTGGATGTTTTGAGCGATGGCAATGCGCTTCGTGACGGATAGGACTTCGGCCAGTTGGTCGTCGGGTATGTCGTGAAGCTTTGCGCCATGATGTTTGGGGATGATTAGCTAGCAGGAACATTAGCATCAGTGGAATAGTGTTTGTTGTACAGGGACATGGAGTGAGTTAGAAAAGCGAGATTACACACCGAATGGCCCTTGCTCAATGGGCCGATGTCAAGGAAAGCAAGTGTCTTCTCGCTCTCGAAGATCTTCATCGAAGGGATCTCGCCTAGCCATTCCGTTAGCCATTGTTGAATGAGACAAGGGTCAAGGGAATCAGAGAGTACCCTTGATGATCTTGCAAAAGATGCATGCAGCAGAAGACATTATGGTACTCTCGGATTGGGAGTGTTGATTGATTGGTACGAGTGTGGATTGGAGAGAGCAGTGAGGATGACGCAGGGAGCTTGTTGCGAGCCAAGTGGGGTTGACCGAGGACATGTGGGGTAGCTTTTTGGCGGGACGGTTCCGCCTTGCTTGACTTGAGATATTCTAGTTACAAAAAGATGTCTTTTCGGATACTACTGTTACTTGTGACAGTTTGCATACTCTCACTTGTACCTTCAACGCATCACATCCTTGCGGGTCATGACTGTGCCCACTTCCACGATGCGCACTCAAAATTTGCATAGCATCTGAACTCGTTGCTCAAACCTTTCGCGTGCTTGATCTCGTAGTTCGTCGTCTTAGTTCCTATTTTCCCATATAGTTTGTCTGTGATCAAGCTCTCCATACGCTCTCCAGTGCACACAATCAGACGGAGAGAGTCTTGCGACCAGGACTTGGCGAGCCATCGTACAGTCAACGCAGCTAAGTGCCATTAGCGACATAAACCCCACGCTTGTCTGAAATGATAACAAGACGTACCTTTTGTTTGACAGTCTTGGCTTAGAAATGGTGGATCACAAATGATTACGTCAAATGAAGCCTTCATCTCAGCCGGCAGTTGGATGGCCTTCTCGAAGTCGTAGCGCACAAACTCCTTGAAGACGGCGAAGCGTTCGTCGAACTCCAACAACTTGATCTGTGGACGACACTTGACTTCACCTGAGTTCTGAACTGAAGTCAACATGCGAGCCTCTCACTGACCCTGAACTCTTACCAGTAGATTCTTCAATTGGATGAAAGCACTCGGAGCAGACACAACCGCTATCCTTGTCTCGTCTGTCGCACCCTCCAGAAGTTGCCGCGCGAGCAACATGGCAGTTTCGTCGCTGTACCAGAACTGACTTGCATTCCAGTCTTCGGTGAACGCATCCATGGATAATTTCCCCTCGAAGTCATCTTCGGCTTGGCCTTTCAGTTGTTCAAACTGTTTTTGTCGTGCGTCCCGCTCGCCATAAAATTCCTTTAGGGCGGCAAGAGCATCGCCTGAAAGCTGTCTTTATCTTTCAGCATTTGGGTTGTGACCTTGGAGTCGAGTAGGGAGGACCTACGGGGTCTCGTCGTCGTCTTCGATCGATGCCATGCTAATTTTGGCTCAAAGCGATTTGTCGCAAAGTGCACCTGAAAAGTGATGGTCTGTCTGAGTCGTACCCCACTATCGTTAAGCGACGTGCCTCGGTAAGTCATGTCCGGCTGTAGCTCATGGTAAGAGCGACAATGCACCCGCGACTGCGATGTTTGACAACCACCTGCACGCGCAGACTATATTCAAAGATGGCAGAACCTCAAGTATCGCTTCCAGACGTTGAGCAGATTAGTGACCGAGTGATTAGAGTTCTTGGGGGTAACCCTAGCAAGGTAAGGACTTTTGATCGTTTGAAAGCATAGCGTACTCTAACAACTCTCAAGTTCACGCTGCAAGGTAGACGCATCTGCGCTCTGTAGACTGATAAGAATCTAAGAACAATAGGCACAAACACGTACATAGTCGGTCGCGGCGCATCACGACTGCTCATTGATACTGGTGAAGGCAAGCCGCAATGGATAGCCTCGATCAAACATCTCCTTTCACAGAGAAGCATTACAATTGACAAAGTTCTCTTGACGCACTGGCATCACGATCATATCGAAGGCGTCCCTGATATCCTCGAGCACTCTCCAAACACGACAGTCTACAAGAATGACCCACACGATGGCTGGCTACCCATAAGCGACGGGCAGAAGTTTGAGACAGAAGGCGCGACCCTGCGCGCTTTCTTCTGTCCGGGGCATACCACAGATCACATGGCATTTGTGTTGGAGGAAGAAGACGCCATGTTCACAGCGGACAATGTATTAGGACAGGGCACGGCGGTATTCGAAGATTTATCAGCGTACATGAAGAGCCTCGACGCCATGTCGAGACAGTTCAGGGGTCGTGCATATCCTGGCCATGGGCCTGTCATCGAAGATGGCCCATCAAAGATCACCGAATATATCAAGCATCGCAAGCAGCGTGAGAAACAGGTGCTAGACGTGCTAGCAGAGGACAACGGAGCTGGGATGACTTCGATGGACATTGTGAAAGTGATATACAAGGACTATCCAGAGAGTCTATGGGAACCTGCAGAGAGGGGAATACGACAGATCCTTGATAAGCTGAAGCTGGAAGGCAAGGTGGGCGGAGATATGTTGTGGGCCCTTAGTGGGAAAAGTAGCCTTTAGATGTTCCAATGACACATAGTTTAGCATGGTCAGATTTTGATAAGCGACTTGTTCCAGACTTGACTGCGCCCCACCAACCTCATGATGGATTGATGGGATGGCTTCTTGACAGAGCTGCTGGAAAACGGTCTGGGATATTTTAATTGCGTTTTGCTCATTTTCCATCGAATCATCAGTCGTGATGCCAGAGTGGTTAATGGGTTAGACTTGAATTCATCGTTCAGTTATCTAATGGCTTCGGCCTCGCAAGTTCGAATCTTGTTCACGACGATAGCATACTGCTGCGACAGGAGCTTCTTTTTGCATGATGGTGGTGCTGGTGGCGGTCGAGGGGGTGGTGGTGGTTGTCGCCGAATCGGGTTAGTCCGACGGCATCCACGTTTTTTTCCCACTGGGCGATCATGGCGATCCTTTGCTTCCACGTCTATGATCTACGTTCTATTTCTTCTCTTTTCTTTTGTGCTACACAGTCTGCGCGACTGCAGTTTAGTCCGTTGACGCATCACACGACGCGGCAGTTCGACGTCATAATCACTGGTGAAACTACGGGACGCGACCAGACTTGAAGAGTGACGACACCATATACAGAAGAAAACTGAACAAGTAGAGATAATAAGCGCTTCCTTACAGCTTATATCAGCTCCCAATAGAATAGATCATAGACACTAATAGCATTGTAGTCTTCTAGGGTTTTTATGTATGTTTATATGTGTCTAGTACAATTTGTTGTAGTAGGAAGAAGTACTCTACTCTAATAAGATGTTTAGTTTCCTGTCTCAACGTGGTGACGACAGAGCGTCTCAATACGAACAAGGGCCAGGAAAGGAGCATGTGTGCAGACAGTGGTAGATACATCAGTTCGAGATAAGAGTATAGCAAGTATAACTACTACCGCGGTATTGAATTTGCAGTATTGTATAAAGGTGTGACGTGCGTATCGTCTACAGACAAATTGAGTGACAAGCGATTTAGATCTTCTCGACTTCGAGAATGTTTCCTTGTGCATCAGTAGCGAGCTTCTTCTTGATGAGCGATGCGTTCCTCGGGTTGGGCGCATTGAATATGTCGTCGATTTCTTCGAGGGTGCGGTTCTTGGTCTCGGGGATGAAGAGCCAGACAACAAAGGCCTGTATGGGGCACCAGCAGGCGAAGACGATGTAAAGCCTCCAGCCAATCTTCTCTAAAGCGATGGGGTAGGCAAATTGGTTGATCAACATAGCCGTTGTGAGCGACAAGTTGGAGAAAGCCATGCCTTTAGCACGCATCTCGAATGAGAGCACCTCAACGGGATATAGAGCCTGGAGCGGGGTGATACCGAAGGCGAAGACAGCGTTGAATAGAAAGACCAGTGCAACAAAGGCATTACCTGCGGGAATGCTGTTCGTCTTGTTCTGGTAAGAGACCGCGCCGATAGCTCCAGCCCAGATAACGGTTACAGTCGAGAAAGTGCCAATTAGCATAGGGCGTCGACCCAGTTTGTCGACACAGAGAGCGCCTATAACAGCCTGCGTACAAACTATCAGTACATCGACTAATGATATTTAAGCGACTTCACTTACGAAAGAAAGCTGCATGCAGCTCTTGCCCAAGTTGATGTTCATTTTCTTGATCTCATCCGTGACGCCTGCGGATTCAAGAACACCGGAGATGAAGTAGTCGACAGCACTATGTGATAGAACAATCAAAGTCAGCATCGTTTCTTCTGACACTGCATCTGGGAGGTCTACTTACCCGTTACCTGCCCATTGACCGAAGATAGCAACGATACAGTTGCATGCGAGACGGTAGCGCGCGGGACGAGTCTTGAAAAGAGCGCCGTAGTCCCACCAGCGTTTGTCACCTCCATCCATGTTGAGGTACTCTTCGTACTCGCGGATTTGCATGGACACCCAGATACTGTCCTCGTTGCCACAACCATGGTATTTGGCAAGGGTTTTCTTGGCTTCGGAGTGTTTACCGCGGGTGTACAGCCTAGATCTCATCAATATGTATTCTACCTAGGTATGCATGGAACATAGCAAGAATATGCTACTCACCAGCGAGGACTCTCAGGGAGAAGAGGGGGAAGTACAACGAGCAGGGCTGGGAATAGCATTTGCAGCCAGACAGGAATCCTCCAGGATTGGTTGCCCGCAAGATCTGCGGCTCCACGTGTGACACCGGCTGCAAGAAGCGATCCCACGAACCAGAAAGTGTTGTAGAGACCAGTAATGACACCTCGATGAGCTGGATGCGCAGTCTCGATAACGTGAAGGGGGCCAGCTGTTGTCATAATTGGGACCGCGAAGCCGAGCAGGAAGCGACCACCCATGACTAAATTATGGTATGAGAGGTTAGTGTATATTCAACAAGTGCTTCTCATATGGGCGTCTCTTACATTGGCCGACAGGGTTGGAAGCAGGAGCAGTCGACTGGATGATTACCCCAATGCAACCAAGGACTCCACCAATCATCATTCCAATTCTGCGGCCCCAGGTATCACAGGCAGGACCAATGAAGGGAAGAGCAACAACTCCACCGATCTGGTACATGGAAGTGACAATACCAGCCCAAGCTCCGGTGCTCTCGACGTTGTAATACTCCTTGAACGTGTTGTTGGTAAGGAGAGAGTTGAACATGGATCCGTCGAAACCGTTACATGTCGAGCAAAAGAAGCCTACAAATGCACAGACATAGAGTAGCATGGCAGAGCTAGAGAAACGAACTACAGGCTCCTTCAGCTTGGCCTCTGCTATGGCTTCAGAGCCAGAAATGACGGCGATATCAGCCACGGCAGCTTTGTGGTCCTGTCAAGGTGTAAGTAAACTTAGGATTCCATGATTTGAAGATAGACCTTACGCCATGCTCTGAGGTTGTAGTGACATGAGACTCCTTGATGTCCGACATTGCTGCGGTGGAGATACTCCAGGTGAACTGTGCAGGATACAACTCGGATGCAGCTCAGCTATTAAACAAAATCGGAAATACACAAGGGTAGACCTTCAATGGCCAGAATGCCGGGCTATGGCCCGCAATGTCCGGCTAATGCTGCATCCCAGCGGCGTGCCGTCGGAGTCGCAGTTCTGGAAACATGTTTCCGAGCTAAATGGCCACGGAGGGCTCTGGTCCGTAGGCTCAATTAGGAAGCGGCTCCAGCACCTTGAACAAGCCTCAACCGTCCCGTTTGCGTGCAGACGCCACGCGCTTGGGAGGTATGGTACAGCGAGAGTCGAATCTTTCGGAATCATGGACCGTAGTCAATTGTTCTGACCGCTCTACGGCAGCTGCCACTAGTCAAAGCCGCTCTCAGCCCACCCAACACATTTCTGATAGATAGCGACGCCGTAAAACGCGGGGGATTTGATGGGGCCCCGAAACCTGGGACGTATCCTGGTCCATCAAGGGTATCCACTTTGCAGTCCTCGGCAAGGCTGCCCCAATGAATGCACATCAGCGTTGAGAGAGGATCGCCTGTTCCCGAGTATGCCTCTCGCCTAGGTGCTAGAAGGGTAATCTTTAATATCAGCAGACAGCAACCAACACATGCTGGAACGAAGATCGCTGGTATCAACAGAGGCGCTGGGCGATCTCTGCACAAGACTATCAGCATGGTCACGCTGTATAGAGGAACGAGCGCTGGTGTGCGGCCGCCTCAGGTGTAGACAGGGCCCATCTTGATAGTAGCAGTTTTATCCGCGAATAAGCTCGAAGGATTGGCACGAGCGCATGGTACAGCATAACCTAGGGGCGTTTGCTGAGAAGTCGCTGACGCTTGATCCTGCATGATAATCGGCTCTAAGCGCCTCGATGCATGTCGGAGGTCAAAAGTAGAATCAATTCGTTAAGAGCTAAGTGTTTTCACGCTGGCGTGTCATGGACAAGTGATGGGGTGAGGATGTTGTGGTGCAACGGAGGCATCCCCATCCCTCTAATGCCCAGCCATAAGCGATGGCGCTACTGCGACCTTCCCGCGGGGTTAACACAAAGGGGGACAGGCGCTACGGAGAGGACGTCTCCGTGCCAGCTTCAGTAAAGTAAACATATTCAAGCTAACAGTTTCACGACGCCTTCGTTGTTCGCCTTGAAACGGACCGTGACTGCTTGGCTGAAATGCAACGTACGGTCGGCGATGGATGATTATTGATCTGCCAAGGTTGCCTAGGTATGTCACAGCAGTATGCTATCGTCGTGAACAAGATTCGACTTAGGAGGCGGAAGCCATTAGATAACTAAGCGAAGAATTTAAGTCCGGCGTATTGACTATTCTGGCTTCACAACTAATGATTTGATGAAAGGTTTGATCTGCCAAGGTAAAGCAAACCTGTCACCCATCTCCTAGGCATCGGTAACCCGGTCCGGTTCGGTTACGCACTAGATGCCTACACCGGAATCCTTTTGGCTTGAAATATGTCTTTGATAAATCTCGTGATATCCCTAGACCTCGTTCCGGATGCATCCTCGTTCGAGCAAGACTTCCCAAGTCAAACTCTAAAGGCTTTAGTATACGGAGATTTTAGTTCATGCTGGGCTAGATCTGGGCCTCCAACGAATTGGCTGCAGCAGGATTACACTTATATCTCGGAGTTGTTCGCGAATTTTCCGTATTCTTCATCTCGTTCTACGCAAGAAAGATACTAGTCGGTACGAACCGCGGAAAGACCACAGGCGGACCACTGAGTACAACGCTTCTGACGACACTACAGCGAAAAGGAATAGACTAGTTGATCTTGAATACATAGGTAATTTCCGCGGCGTCGAGTTCTATCGATCACTGGTCACTCATGTGATGGAAAGCCCTAGATCCCGTTGTGGCGACCAGCTGCTCTTGACGCACTATTCACACAGAAGCTCTTGCCACCACGTCCTGGATCTCGGCGATCAAATTCATATTGCACTCGCCCATTTTGATGAGCTGGGCAGCCAACCCCATAGTACAAACAGTGGTAGTCCAGAACTCTCGCGCTGGATCCCCACTGCAGGTACATTCAAAAAGCAGGTTGAGGTCTTCGAGACATAGACTGACTTCTGTATTCGATTTGGCGAAACGGTACCATAGAGCTAATATCAGCTCACGAACCGAGTCATCTTCGAGCTGCGTGGCGAAGCAGTACAAGTTCATGAGCAAGCTACTATCGCGAAGAAGATGTGCTGGCAGCTCAACCAGCCCTTTGGATGAGGTACAGCGTACGTACGATTGAACGACTGTGGTGGCACAGCAATGAAGCTGCACTTGTGTCCTACCATTACCGTCCATTAATCGTTGTAACAACGGGGAACTTACAAGGTCTTCACGGTCAGCAACAATAGTCCCCAGCGATACTTTCTGCGCATCAAAAACCTCTATCACAAAATTTCCGATTTGTGCTGACCTCAGTTGATCTAGGTAGCTACTGAGGTCTGCCACCTGATTGCGAACGATGTCTGGTGGTACCCAACCGCCGACATTCATCTTGCAGTCTTCTTCGTCGTCCGAGTCGAGCATATAGTCACCAACACGGTGGTTGAAGATGTGACCTTCGAACGGTTCGGCAGGTGTCTGTGATTCACCGGGCTTGACGACCAGACCGTCTACGCGCCGACCTTGCGATGTCTTGGCCTTCTTCGTATAAACTATGCTGGTTGGATAAGTTGGATGCTTTACCATCCAAGCGCCTCGGTGTTGCCGTGCACGCTTTTCCATCGCCGCTGGGCCGACGCAGAGCTTGTACTTCTCGTTGTATGCTTTGGCGACACCTGGCCATGGAAGGGGCCCATGTGTTTCTGACACGGTACCGTACGCATCTGGCTTGTTGTTGTCGCGTGTCAGAATGATGAAGCCGACCTGTTCGTCGGAGCGATAATGTTTTGCCTCTCTGTCCATGTGAGCTATGGTGTGAGGAGCGCCAATGTGTATGCTTTCCGGTGCATCTATCATCATTACATCCTCATGGTCGTGCCCCTCCTCATAGTCGTCCGGCTGGTACTCATCTGCGCTGTCGTCCACTGTATCCGTGGCATGCGAGATACTCGAGTGATGAGTTAGAGCTGCCCTTTCAGTAGCCTCCAAATCATCGTAAGACAACATGTTATTACAGCCTGATGTCATAGCACTCTGCTCGTGTGAAGACAACATGCCAGCGATGACGTCTGTTGTAGAATAAGATCCAAATCATGGCAATACGGAAGAGTATTAATAGGTCCGTAAAGCCGCTGTGTGTGATTTATGTAAGGATTATTCGCTGGACGTTATGCGTTCACATTCGTGAGCCTTCTTCGCATTGCATTCACACCGAGATCCAGCCACTACCTACCACCATGCATCAGAAAGAGCGGTGCTCATATATTACAGCCACAACCCATATATTAGTGGTATCTCGTTAGGAGTATCTGGACCTTTCGGGTATCTAACTAATATAACAATCTTACGAAGGCCGTGAAAATACAACTGATCGAAGTGATGAATCTATAAGCTGTAGTTGCACGGTGTCTGCAGATGTGGCTCGAATTGTAAGGAGGTGTTGAGGGTGATGCAAGCTTCAAGGGAATTCACTCGGTTCTGTTACAATTGTGCACGCAATGGTCGATGAAGATGAATCACATAACAGGGCTACCCAAGAAGTAGATGGCTAAAACCGACGCTGAGAAAGCGTTGCCACCACCTTAGTGAACAGAAAACCTTTTTCCTATAACCTTCTTCTTCCCAGATATACCGAACTTTGCCTTCATAGCCGCCCACGTACCTGGCTCTTTCTTTAAACGCGCTAGAAAGTTTGCCATATCCCCTTTGATGGAACTTAGGCTTTGTAGCATATCGTTCGCGCTCTTGGAGATACCGTTCAGATGTACACGAATGTGCTCCCCGGCAAGCCCTGAATCTTGGCACATGGTCCTGTGCACCTCGTTGTAAACGTACAGGTCCTGCATAGCATCTTCAATAAGCGGATCCAGTTCAAGCGGCAAACTGGCTATGTCAGGGCTGCATGGATTGGAGAGCGATTTGAAAAGCATTTGGTAGATTTGAAGCACTTTGAGGGCACGAGAGAATAAACGATTCAGAGGTGCTACCTCACTGAAAATAGCGTTGTGCAGTATTTCCATCTTACGCAGTAGGGTGGCCTTGTCATTGACAGAAGTGGCTGCGGATGAAACCTCGAACTCTAGTTTGTCAATGAGCGTGGTAAACGTTTCGTTGAATAGTTCGTTTTCGTTTTCGATTTGAGAAGTGTGTGACATAATATTAGCGAATTGGGCTTCTTTTGCTGCTATGAGTCTTGCGTCTTGTGCGCGGAGGTGAGCGAATGTCTCAGCCGTGCGTTCGTTTTCTGTTTGTAGCTGCCGGATCGTGGACTGATGCTGGCCAAGCTCGTTCTGTAGACGCTCAACTTTGGCAATAGCTTCATCGAAGGCAATGTGGTCTTTGACAGCAAGAGAAAGATCGCGCTGGTAGCGTTGCGCACGCCGTTGGGAGTCCTCAGAAAGATCGCGGTAGTAATCGATCTGGCGGTACGCTTGTTGGAGATCAACCTTGAGAGCCTTGAATTCAGCTGGCTGGTCATTGATCTCGGCTTCTTTCTCTTTGATTTTGGCTCGTAGGGCGTTGTTATCGATCTGAAGATCTTGCTCACGAGCCTGGATCTCATGAATATATTGGCGTGCTGCGTTGAGCTCAGTCATCTCCGAGAAGTGATTCTGCATATTCTCTGGGATGACGTCCTCGATCTTGTAGCCTTTAGTTTTCGCCTCTTCCACAATGTAGGACAGCTGCTTCTGCATATCGCCCAACGTAGACATGGCAATGTTGATAACGATGACCTGCGTTTGGCGTTCAGTAAACTCTGCAAAGTTTATACGTTGGAAAGGTCCGAGAAGGTTTTATGTACGAGACCTAGTCAGAATATGATGTTGACATAATATACTAACAGTGTGGTTGTCAAAGTATTTAGGCGTGATACATATGACTTTGGCGGAAAGGCGAGACATCAAAGTGCTTGTACAGTGTATTCATCCAAGACATGACACAGTCTTGACTTGTAAGAGTGAACCATTGCGCAATCGACAGCTGGGTACCTATTGCAGTTGACTTGGAAGCAAAGCAACCAGCCCGGCGAGGGAGCCGCCTTAGGTTTTTCTACTTTGCGAATATCTTCAAGCTGTGCCAAGAGAACGCGACCAGTCTGCTCCAGTACCGTATACATAGAAATTCCGAGGAGCGGGAGTACTTAGTCCTCCCTACTGCAGTCTACAACAGTATTTTGTAGAATAATACTAGATATTCTAACTTAATGTAGACTTTAAACCTTGATGTCTATATAATTCATAATTACCTTAGTGCTGTTGTAGGCTGTAAAGCAGTAGGAAGCTTTAGCGTACCTCTTCAATTTCTCCCTTGTATGCGGTGCCAGCAAAGTGGAGTTGACGAACTCCGCGCTAAAGCCCCACATCTCGGTAAAACCTTCCGCCGCCCAAATTTTCGAGCCGTGCCAGGAACTTTCTTGCGCGTCTTCCAAATCTCGCGTCACTATCGCATACTTGTCTCCACCAGCTCGTCGACATGTTCGCTGTTCCTGGGTGGAACGTTGCCGCGCAGGTGAAGACTCAGGTCGAGGCACCCAAACAGAAAGATTCCACGAAACCCGGGAAGAAGGCGCAGAAGAGGAAAGAGAAGCGCGAGGAGCAGCAGATTAACGCGGACAACTTGGCAGAACAATGGGACAATATAGCCAAAGGAAAAGGAACGCAGGTGGAGAAGACCAAGAAGCTGGAGGCGGATGGCGTAGAAGCGACAGATGAGGCAGCACAAGAGAAGCGCGGGAAGAAGAGAAAGCGAGGAAAAGCCGGAGGTAACAAGGACAAGGCAATGGATGGAGATGGCGAAAGAGGAGCAGAGGCAGAGGTTGCACTGGTAGCAGAACCTTCAGAGGGTAAAGCAGATGCTGCCAAGTCTGCTGGGGATGAGCCCGCGACGGCCGAGAGCGAGTCAAAACGCGAGAAGAAGAAGCGCAGGAAGGAGTCCAAAGCTGACAAACTGCTCGCCGCAAATGCCGCCGGCACGAAGTCTATTTCTGAAACCCCAGCCTTAGAAAACCTTCTCCCCGAACCCAAGGGCCTCACACCCCTCCAGCGATCTATGCGTAGCAAGCTAGCTAGTGCGCGATTCCGTCACCTGAACGAAGCACTTTATACGAAGCCCTCCGCCGACAGCGCGTCTCTCTTCAAGGAAGACCCATCCATGTTCGAAGATTACCACCGTGGATTTGCCCAGCAGGTCGAAGTATGGCCATCGAACCCTGTAGACGGTTACGTGAACAGCATACTCGTAAGAGGAAAATTGCGGAACAAGGACTCGCGGAAGGACAGAAGAGGACCAGCAAAGAACGGAGTCCGCAGAGGCCCAGGCTTTGAAGAAGAAGAGACTACAGCTATAGCACCTCCTAGAGGCGACGCGAAACCACTGCCCAGAGACTTTAAAGGCCACAGCACAATCGCTGATCTAGGCTGTGGAACAGCTTCGTTATCGTACCGCCTACAGCCGCACCTCAAGTCCCTCAACCTCACATTCCACTCCTTTGATTTGTCCAAACCTTCGGGTCCTTCTGCCGATCTCGTAACGATAGCCGACATCTCCGCACTCCCTATCCCCGAAAACAGCGTCGACGTAGCCATATTTTGTCTTGCCCTTATGGGAACAAACTGGCTCGACTTCATCGATGAAGCATACCGCATCCTTCGCTGGAAAGGCGAACTGTGGGTCTCGGAGATCAAATCTAGATTTGGACGCGTAGACAAGAAGAAGGGCGGTGTACCCATAAATTCTATCGGCTCACTCAAGAAGACAATGGACAAGAAACCGCCCAAGGCGAAGAAAGCAAAAGCAGACAAGCCGCCTGAGGAAGGCCCCGTTGACTCTGAAGACGAGGCTGAACTCGCGGTCAATGTAGATGGTCAAGAGGGCAAGGAGGGAACAGATGTTTCCGCATTCATCGAGGTACTGAGGAAGCGGGGATTTGTGCTTGATGCTTTGCCGGAGAGGCCAGCGGATGCGATCGATCTGAGCAACAAGATGTTTGTCAAGATGCAGTTTGTCAAGGCGGCACACCCGAGCAAGGGCAAGAATGCGAGGGAAGATCAGAAAGCAGGAGCTGTGGCACAGAGAGGCGGGGGTATGAAGTTTGGGCTCAAGGGGAAGAGATTTGGTGCGGGTGAGGGAGAGAATGAGGGTGACGAAAAGGATGGGGCGGTATTGAAACCTTGCCTGTATAAGATCAGGTGAGCGGGGCGTATGATCGAATAGGCGTGGGAATGTACTGTCATGGCAGGAAGCGCGTAAGAGGCGTTGAAAGCCTTTCATCAATTGATCTATCTGATCTTCGTGAAGATGCATTTATTCATAGGAAACTCTTCAGCTTCTATTCCTGTTCATGGATAATGCATGCGTGTTATTCGATGCCATGTCGTGAACTCGTTTCCTCGTCTCCTCATCTAAAGACTCATTTGAATTATCCACATCTCTTCAAATGGCGAAGCCATGTTAGGTAAGTCGTAGGCAAAGGCAGGCAAGCGCCGTGTAGCAATACTGAGCATGTCCTGATGCTCCCGCATGCACTAACCGATGAGAAAACTTGCAGCATGTTCGACGTTGCCTCCGAACATCTCCAAGGCTTGTATGGCTTCTTGTTCTGAGCAGCCGAACATGCCGGTAAGTTGCTGAACATGTTCCCGGGGAAAGTTGCTGCTAGGTGCAGACGGTACGGGTGCCTTGGACGATGTGGGCTGGGCTTGCGGCTGTGCAGGTTGAGACGACGACGATGAGGCGCCTGCATTCGAGGAACCAGCTGCAGCGCTGCCTTTCGGTCGTACAGCACCCGTCTTTGCACCAATCTCCTCCCCGTTAGGACCAGACACAGTCGGTTCATTCATCTCGGCCTCCTCGAAGCTCCTGGGGATTTCCGACTCGTGCAAGAAGGGTACTTCCTGACCTTCGAAGCACAGGGCGTTCTTCTCAAGATCGATTTTGGCGCGGTAACGCTTAAGCATGTCCAGGCCGAAAAGTAAATCGACATCCTTGCCTTCCATGACAGTGAAAGCGCAGGGCATGACTGCGCCACCAATCTTGATCTCGGCGTGATGTACGCGACCCAGAATACGTGCTGTGCCGACACCACGCGCCATGCCGGCGTATCGGACGTCCATCAGCCGCATGATACCACATCGCTCGGCGCAGTCGGGGGACATGATTGTGGCCTGGGCGCCAGAGTCGACAAAGGCCTTGACGGGCACGCCATTGACCTCGGTGTTGACGTAGAGCATGTGCACGCGGGTGAAGACTGTGTGGAAGATTAGCATGGGCTCAATACGAGTCGGACGTGTTTGACTTGTTGGGAATGATGTGTTGGTACCTTCAGGGTTCTCGTCGTATGCCTTTTGCAGATTCTCGACAACGCGGTCCTGGCGAATAATGTCTTCTATCTTTCGTTGCGCCTCGACGTTGAAGGGGTCCTCGTTGAGCAGGGCGATCTGGTTCTGACGCTCGCGCTCCGACTCCTCGGCCTGTCGTTGCCTCATGGCATATGTATCTCTCCAGCGGGTGGGGTCGTTGACGGCGGCGGCGAGCTCCGGGTCACCTTGACGCAGCTTGTTCATCTGCTGGGGGTCGTTGAGGACGAGCTGTCGCACGCCCTCTGGATCAGGTTGGGCGGGCCTGCCCGGGTGCTGGAGGTTCCTGTTCTGTCGGGGTGCGGGGCGCATCACGACGGCCAGCATCTCGCCATCCCGTACCCCGGCGTCCTCGAGTGTCTGCGTGTCTATGGCTACCGGCTGGCCGTTCAGGTAGAGGCTCTGTGACGCGGCGGGCAGGTTGGTGTCGGCCTCGATGAAGCCCTTGAGGTCCTTGACGGTGCTGCCCGGCGGCAGTTCGAGCGTCAGCAGGTCTGTGTCGGCCTGGGTGCCGGGCGCGGTGATGGATATGGTGACGCGAGGCCTGGCAGCAGCGGGTTAGCAGCGTGCTCGGGGCAGCGTCGTGGCACACAGCAATGGCTCCGGTACAAACTCACATGGTGGGCCGGAGCGCGTGTTGGGGCGTATGCGGGCACGTCTGGATGAGGCGACGGGATGTGACACGCGGGGTGGTTGAGGTTGGCTTGGGTCGGGCGGGAGGCGACTGTGTGATGTCTCGGTGCGCGGGAGGGAGCTTATAGGGAAGGAGGCACTCGGCCGTGGTGTTTTTGTCGCAACCTTGGGAACGCCGTCGCCGCCTGGGCTGGAAGGGAATGGAACGTAGTGGAGCCGCGAACCCAGCGTCGGATGAATCAGCGCGTAGGCGTAGGCATCGACGCGCAGTCGTGGGCGAGCGTACGGAACCACGACGTTGGCCGTGTAGGCCCAAGCTAGCATCACGTCTGCCATGCCTCGACGTCGGCCCAACGCAGCATGCAGGAGAATCGTCTGGCCGCCGCTGCACCCATCCTCCTACTGCACGTCATTCGTAAGTCCATTGCCACACCACCTTGCTAGTCAGGGCATGGGCCGACGAGGCCGCCGCTGAGCACACCCCGCTGGCACGGCCTGCTGCTCCCGAGAGAAACACGGTCACGTCGCGAATTAGTACATGATACACCACCACAAGAATACCTACCTAGGAAACATGCCCCCGCCTGCTCCCCTGAGTCAGCTCCCGTCCCCAGCTAACCCGGAACGATCTGCAACGGCAACGCGAAGCGAAGCGAACCGCTAGTAAAGGCGGGGCTGAGGCCGCAGAGTCTCGTGAGTCTTCCAGGAACCACGAACCCACAAACCCATCGCTGCACTTCGGCCTCCTACAGCTGCATCCACCTGCCTTCCTGCCGTATCCTCCCATCGCCCACCCACCACAACGTCTGTTGCCATCGACCGCCAAGATGCCTCGGGACTTATTAGCAGACAAGAAGACGCTGGATGCCATGCCCCAACTATCAAGAGAACCTGAGACCGTCTCTAGTCCGGAACCCGTCGAGCAATCTAGTCTGGTACCCCATCGCAGCTCCAACATTGCCCAGGAGGGGCGGTTGAAGCAGTTGGGAGTTCGTCCATATGCTTCTTTGCTGAACATTGACGACCTTGACGACTGCGATTGGCTTGAGCATGCCGCCTTTGATCCGGTTGAAGCCGCGTCGCGCGAGAAGGTGAGAAGAACAATTTGCTGTCTGGCTTGTTTCTCTAGTATCACAGTCAATGCCTGTATCTCTTATTCAGTACCACCGTTGGGCTCCATCAGGCCTCGCACCGTGCGCTCTTCTCCATCACCAGGTTACTCCAACTCTCAAGTCTGCATGCTTTTCGTCTGCCTTGTTCTCATCCAACATTGCACCAAACTTTCATCTCCCTCGTGCATCCATTAACGGCATCAATTGAGTTTGTCGTACACTAACTGGTCGCTCTTTCCTATTTTGGTCGTTCCTGTGCCACGCCCCTTCCTTCTCAAGACTTGATCCAATAGACTCTGGGTTTACAAGCATCTCTGGTATACAAAATCTCCATATCTGACGCTGACCAATTGTAGCTCGAATACCGTCTGCGAACCTGCGGTGAACTATGTAGCGGCCTCTTCTCATCCGCCTACCCCACCACATCAGGGCCACTAGGCGAAACCATTAAATTGCATTCGTTTCCGTCATTAGACTCGACCGACACTGACCGGAAGCGTGTGATAATTGGCCACATCATCTCAACCAAAGCGAACTCACCTGTTGTTACTGATGACGCTATGGACTACCCCAAGGACTGGAAGACCAACTACCAGCTTACGCCAAAAGTAGGGCACAATGAAGACGGCCAGACAGTGTGCCTGCACTCGCTATGTGTGCATCCCAACTTCGCGCGCAAAGGGCTCGGCTCGATATTACTGCAGAGCTACGTACAAAGAATCAAAGACTCAGGTGTGGCATCTAGGATAGCGCTCATCTGTAGAGATCGATATATACAGTTCTACGAGAAGGCGGGGTTCAAGAAGATTGGTCCGAGCAAATGCCAGTATGGTGGAGGAAACTGGGTAGACATGGTCCTAGACTTTGAAGATAGTGGAGATGATGGATGGGAATATTGAGTGGAACTGGCAGACCAAGTCGACCCTTGATGGATTGATATCAGTAGACTAGATCATACACTATCTAGTACGAGCCTGCCAAGTTTATGCGTATTGACTCCTATCCTCCCATCGATCCTGCAACGCCTTTCCATCGATGCTTGCAAAGGCGAAGCCACTCTCATACCTAGCATACTCAACCAACTTCAGCGTGTCCAACTTCGCTCCAGCCTCAGTCTGCGCCCACATCGCCACGCTCAAAACATTCTCGCCCTTCATATTGAGGATGCCAGGAGGAATAGGGAATCGTGTCTGGAAAACCAAGTCAGTGCATGTCTCACATATATGTCGTACAGCCATAACGTACCTGTGGTCCAATGTGCGGAACATATTTGCCGTACTGATACCCGTTGACGAAGAGAAGCATACGGGCAATGGTACCTTTCGGCGCCCCGACTTCGATGCCGACAGGGACATCGAGATCGGAGTCGATAGAAAGTGAGAATGTCGTCGTAAACCAGCGGATGGCGGCGCCTTGGACGCCGTCAGTGGTGGGGCTAGCATCCTCCCAGGAGGAGGTATCGAAACCGGGAAGATGCCACCCAAGACGCTCACCGTAGAGACCGCCTTCATTCATGGGGCCGCGAACCTAAAGGTCGTACAAAGTCAGTGTATGTTTTACATGCGTTTTGTGCAGGAAAACCACTAACAGGGTCGATGTTACGCTCTCCGCCCGCGTTACCTTGGATCTTCCATTCGTCGAAGGATAGCTTGGTATCGTTGCCGCTGAGGAGCTGTGCACCGAGTATACCACGAGGATTTTCTGCGCCGGCTGGGCCTGTGGATGTCTGGTCGTGGCCAGTATAGTCCGTTGTTACTGTCAAAACATTGCCTTCATCCTTCAATGTGATGTTTTTGAAAGACAGCAATGCGGTCGTCGAAGTTTGCGACGCGTTACCAGGATGGTAACCAATCGACTTCCCATTCAGCCATGCGTTCCATCCTAATATACTCATGTACAAAGTCAGTGTGTGTGTCTCGTGTACAATCCGTACAAGGGGTTATCTTACCCGCAGCCACACCACCCTGAACTGTGATGTTGAGGGATGTTGCAGATTTGCCTGAGAAGTATCCGCGATAGATTTTGGCCCCAGTGTAGTACTTGTAGTCACTGCTGAAGAGTACAGGAAGAGTTAGGGGCTTCACAGGGCTTAGTGTGGTGTTCTTGTCGGCGACTACCCAATTGCTGTCGTCGTATGAGGGTTGGATCTCGGGGGAGGATTCAGCCGCTCTGAAGTTTGAAAGCTCTGGAAGAGTGATGTCGCGGTCCTTGGTACCATTAATGGCGGCAGTGAGGGAGCCGTAGGGCGTCTTTGTTGTAGCGAGCTCCTTTCCATTCCAGGATATTGTATCCGCACCAGAGCCGGCGTATACCTCGATGGTCGTCGCATTCGCATTATCGCCAATAACAGAAACTGCGCCACCTGATATGCTAGCTGAGCGAACTAGATATGGTCCTTGCACGAAGATCTGGTGCTCGGGAGTGACATTCGGATCATTAGTCGTTGCTGGCGCGAAAAAGGTGTACGCAGTTGGTATATCGAGCAAGTAAGCAAGCACTCCATTCGAGAACTCTACAACCGTCGCCCCATTGCTTTGGGTGTAAGAAAAGCTTGAGTATGTGCTGTTCGACGATGCGCTTGCAATGTCTGATTTCGCGCCGTACGTTCTGAAGGTCAGGTTGCTCTGCGATTTAAAAGCAAATTCTCCCGCCTGTCCTTCGCGTGTGTAGAAGACGATGACAGGTCGATTGAACAAACCGTAGGTCGCGATCTCAGCCGACGAGTAAAGTAGCGTCTCATTACCCACAGAGTAATCTGTAATTACCCATCGACTTTGTCGACCCGCAAGCTGTAAGCTCGGAATCTTGACATCGCCTTCAGATGTCTTGACCGTCATCGAGAAATCAGTCACAGCACGGGTGCGCGTGTTGTTGTTCTCGGCGAGGTAGAATCTACTCTCTGTATCGCGGTTCTTGAGTTGCCAGGTCCAGATGGCTGAATTGTCGACTGCATTTGCGGTGCCGTTATTTTCCATGAAGGTGTTGTGCAGACCTTTACTAACACGGGTAAAGAGGGCAAGAAGCTTGTACTGCTTGAACTTGTCGCGTACCTCCCTGGTCTCGCGTAGTGGTGCATCGTAGTCGTAGGAGGTGTATACTACCTGAGTATGGGAGTACGAAGTCAGTATATGTTTCAAATATAGTTCATGAACAGGAGTTACATACGGGGGCGGCACTGTTCAGGTGGAGGTATCAAGTCAGTGTACGTCTCAAATGCATTTCGTGCAGTCCCGACTCACCTATGTCCCCAGTTTGTACCTCCATAGGCCATGTACAGATTCAAAAGACTAGCGCGCTGTCCGATTAGTCCTTTGTAGAAAACATCCGCAAATTCAGGGCTCTGTTCAGCCAAGCACTGATCGAAGAAGTAACCGCCCCAAGGTTGGAACCATCCTCCCTAACGAGGTGAAGACAACAGGTCAGTGTATGTTCCACATGCATTTAATAAGGTCACGGCTTACCTCGAACTCGGGGAGATATTCAGGTTGAGTGGGGGAGACCTCCTGAAACCACTGGTAGTACGTTCTCGGCAGGTTGAATCCAGTGTCGAGATTTGTGCAGCTCATGCCACCGGGATAGCTGTCCAGCCCATAAACATTGATCGCGCCACCGACATTATTGTAATCAGTGGACCAACTCTTCGATCTGAAGCCCTTTTCGTTGTGTGACAAAGGTACGATGATGCCTGCATCTTTGAAGGCGGTCTTCAGTTGTTCCATGTAAATGACCAATGTGTTGTCGGCCTCATAACGAGTTTGCTGGAGTTCGTTCTCGACTTGCGCTAGGATGACTGGTCCACCATTGGTGATCTGGTTCTTCGCAATGATCTTGCCAACTTGAGCAATCCATTCCGACCATGCTTGCCGATAGGTCTCATCTGATGTTCTGTACTTGCCACCACTCCCGTCGCTGGTCCAAAGCGCGAAACCACCACCGTTAGTCTCGGCGTTGCAGTAGGGCCCTGGCCGTGCAATCACGTAGAGGCCGGCTTCTTTGGCCATGTCAAACAGGCGCTGAATGTCCTTTCCGGGTGTCGTGAAATCGTACACACCTTTCGATGCCGAATGATACGACCAGAAGAAGTAGATCGAGACAGCATTCATGCCATTCGCCTTGAACTTCTGGAAGACGTCGAACCATAGCTCTGGAACGGGGAGACGAGCGTAGTCTGAGAGGTACGCATGCAAGGATTAGCATGTCTTTCATGTACGGTCTGTTCATTGCATTTCATCAACGTACGGAATTCTCCACTCATAATCATTACACGCTCGCCATTGACCATGAGCGATCCATTATCCCACTCCACGTCCGTTTGAAGGCCATTGTCGGTAGCCAATGCACAAAAGAACAGCGAGATCGCGACAGCAAAAAGACGGAAGAACCGCATCTTGATTTGCTGAGTGACCAGGAAAAGGTTCAATACTGGACGCGACGCGACTTTTGCTCCATAACCCTGCCTTGGAGCTCGCATGCAACTAGCCCGCAGATTTCAGCCACGGTCGAAGATCGTCCTCCGGACCTGCGCTTCACGGAACGATATCATTGACGGTATAATGTTTGCCATGGAAGAACTGCTGCAAGCGAGGCCGCGGGGTAATATATGCAAGGTACTAAGACCCCAGATGTGGCGTTTTGCGGAGAAGGGGGAACATCATCTGCCCGAGAATGCCGAGGTGCTTGTGAAGGAAGCTTGCCAGCGGAAGGTTTGCCCTAACAGGAAGGGGCAAGTCCGATACGCGTCATGGGAGAGTCCAGCAGCATGCATTCTGTGTCTTTTGTTGGCCTTGGAATCGCAGCCACAGAGATCGGAACGAAAACGTGAGCGACCCGCGAACCGCTGGGAACAACGCAGATGTGCAATTAATGTCCGGCGGAAGGGCTAGCCGCTTTCGAGACCTTACCTCATCCACGGAAGAGAGCTTTCCCATGTTCCTTCCCCTGGGGCGGGCTGCAAAAGGGTCAAGCATTTTAGTTTCCGTGTTTCCCGATGCTTGTCACGCGGTTCTGGTAATGCATTGACGCGACAACGGGGGTGCCTTTCGAACGACAGGTCTGGACATGTGGATCTTTAGCGGGTCCACCCATTGGAGGATTTTTTGAAACAAAAGTCCCTTGGCGACACACGCACTGAGCAAGTGTTGCTTCGAGCGATTACGTCTCTCTCATCTCGTCTCCATGCTCTCCACTTATTGGAGGACTTCGAAACAATCCTTCATCTTTCACTATGGAGAAACTCGACTCGGGAAATGATGGGCACGTCGACTGTGCCATCGATACATGAGTAGGAAGCTGATAGCTAAGTCATTGACATGCGTGTATAGCATTGCTAGAAATCTGTATATATATATGTGGCGTACCAAGCATGTAGGCCAAGCAACCAAGCACTTCACTCACTCCCTCAAGCTTCTCTTCAATATCAAGCATCTTTCACAATGGTTGCCTTAACTCTTGGTATCTTCTTCACGTCGCTGGCGGCGTCTGCTGTTGCAGCTCCGGCCCCAGCCATCACTCCTGCACCCAAGCCCGAAGTCGTGAAGCGTGCCTCCAGCTGCACTTTTTCAGGCTCCAACGGAGCTGCTGAGGCTTCCAAGTCACAGTCATCATGTGCTACCATGGTCCTTTCCGACGTTGCCGTCCCTTCAGGCACAACTTTGGACCTCTCTAGTCTGGCTGACGATACTACTGTCATCTTCGAGGGTACCACCACCTGGGGCTACTCGGAGTGGAAGGGTCCTCTTCTTGACATTCGAGGAAAGAAGATCACTGTCAAGGGCGCCGAGGGATCTGTTCTCAACGGTGATGGTGCTCGTTGGTGGGACGGCAAAGGTGGAAACGGTGGAAAGACCAAGCCCAAGTTCTTCTCGGCTCACAAACTGACCGACTCCTCTATCACCGGCATTACCATCAAGAACCCTCCTGTCCAAGTCGTTAGCATCAACGGCTGCGATGGTCTTACCATTACAGACATGACTATTGATGCGTCCGACGGCGACAAGGACGAGCAGGGCCACAACACAGATGGTTTCGATATTGGCTCCAGCAACAACGTCATCATTGATGGCGCCAAGGTTTACAACCAGGATGATTGTGTAGCTGTCAACTCAGGTACCGTAAGTAATGACATGAGATTGCGGTATTCGTACCTACTAACAAGTCGGCTAGGAAATCACCTTCAAGAACGGCCTCTGCTCCGGTGGACACGGTCTATCCATTGGCTCGGTTGGTGGTCGTGACGATAACACTGTCGACACCGTCACCTTCTCCAATTCCGAGGTGACCAAGTCTGTCAACGGTGTCCGCGTCAAGGCTAAGGTTGGCACAACCGGCAAGATCAACAAGGTTACCTACGAAGATATTACTCTGTCTGAGATTTCCAAGTACGTTTTCTCCAAGTTGCACTCATTATCGAATTCTAATACGTTCCAGGTATGGCGTTCTTATTGAACAGAACTACGATGGTGGTGACCTTCACGGTGACGCGGACACTGGTGTCCCCATCACCGCCTTGACACTTGACAACGTCACTGGTGGTGTTTCCAGCAGTGGCTACGACGTCGTTGTCACCTGTGGCAAAGGATCTTGCACAGGCTGGACCTGGACCGGTGTCGACGTTACTGGTGGTAAGACCTATGACAAGTGCTCCAACGTGCCCAGCGTTACCAAGTGTTCGTGAGGGCTTGACGGTAACCGGGGCTTTGGGTGGAAGTATCTGAATTTGGCTCGGTTGAGATGATATACAATTCTCCTGGGATTTGGCAAGCTGCTTGATGCTGCAGTCTTTCCTTATGCTGCGCTGTAAATATTCGCTTCTTCTTTAAGATGTTCGGAAAGGTGAGGGGTTTGGGTCCTTCTTGAATCTCGTTTAGTTAATACACGCCTTCCTACGAATATGTTCCCTTGCTCAGTATTTCAAGACTTTTAGTATGTCGAGATGGGAACCAGACATGCACGATGGACTGTGGACGGTAATCTTTCTCAGAAGAGCTGACGGGATGCACTGCGCCATCTGCGTAACGTTTGAGGACAATGTGATTGATACTGCGAAGGACTGAAGTCGAGAGTATGGTGCCATTGCCAACGTCTGGTTTGTTGCTGTTATGCCGCATTTTCGACCAAGTACCGAACAGCCATGACGTAGCGTGAGGTTAGCATACTGACCAGCCTCTCTTTTTCATTCTTCACGCTTGCAACGCGTCGTAGAAGCTCTTGAAGATCGACGCTCAGTTCAAGACCCAGCGGTCCTCGGTGATTTGGATCTTCCATCCACCCAATCGATATAGCGTGTGGGGTTCTCGTAAAACATGACGGCGGTGGCTGCAGTGGTTGCGCCGAGCCCTGCCTTCCAATCTTGGAGGCTTTCAGTTTACCTAGGCATGACGCGAGGGTCCCAGCAGCCACAACCAACCCATCGCTCCTCACACATGCCGCATTCCTCACGCTGCAAGATCAATGCACCGAAATCTGGAAACGCGATCGCCTGTAAGCACACGTCAATTGTAACCTCGCACCTTGCACATATGCTAAATGACCTCTCAAATGGATCAAGAAACTACACACTCTTATCCGGCTAGTGCAAGTTCGCATGCCGTCCGTCCTCCAACCCCTTCCTCCCAGCAATTTGTTCGTTTGTTGATCAGCGGCTCAACGCTTCCTGCGATCCGAAGTACTTTACTGTCTCCGCTACGAGCCTCGCGACCGCCACAACTTCGCTCTTCGCGTCTGGTGTGGCCTCTTGCAGCGTCCGACTCAGGCGCTTGAGGTTTTGGATTTGCAGCTCGATGCTGTGTAGACTGGAATGGATAGCGAAGCTCAGAGTCTCTGTAGGGTCTAAATCACAGCTGAAACCATCTGTCAGCACAATCGTGTTCGCGTCCTACAGGCACGTACCTGTCGTCATCTCCATCTTCGAACAAGCCGTCATCTTCGACTTCAGGGAGCACTTTAAACTTTAGATCCCGCGGCTTGGCCCTGAAACAAGTGTCGTTCAAGGTCGTTATCTGATCCAGCAGGCGGTCCAGGCCTCGCGATGCAGCATCCACGACCTCCCTTTTACGTGAATCGACCCTGGCCATACCCTCAATGTTCGCAAGATGAGCCCACACCCGCAAATCGAAAGAGAAGGCTTTAGTCTGTTCAACTATCTTTTCAAAAGTGAGGTCTTGAGGCTCTGCTGCTTCGACGTCGATGTATGGCGCGCATGTACTGCTGATTTGGTAGAGCTTGTTTTGAATTGTTGCATATTGGTACTGAAGCTGAGGTTGTGCAGTACGTGATCTTGGACTAGCGCTCGGGCTCCTCTTTGGCGCAAAGGTCGTGCCGCTCACGGACAAGGGAGGATTATCTTGGTGGATTTCCACCTTGATGCTTGGCTTTTTCTGGTGCTGCATCTTTCGCTCATACACGACAGTTGACTGACTGGGTAGGATTGGCTCGCTGGTCAGATCGTACCTGTCAACTGGGACAATGCTCGGGCGCACCTCCTGTGTGTTGTACCTTCGTTCTGGTTCTCTAGGTCTTCTGCTCGCATCTGAACTCGATCGCGTCCTTCCTGTTGTTTCGAATACAGGAACGCCGAGTCGGTCAGGCGTAGGTTGATTGAAAGACGTTGAGAATGAGGCTGTACCATAGCGGCCGTCATGGTAACGTTTCATCTCTCTTTCGCGGCTTCTCCGGTCCCATCTCGTCTTCTCTTCTATGTGATCGACATAGCTTCCTGAACGCGACCGAAAGTGGCTCGGATGTCGATCATCTTCATCGATTTCAACTGAAGATGGTGCCATAGTGTAGGAGTGAGCCAGGGGAAGAGATCAGTCACTCAAGAGCTTGCTCTGTGGCGCCAGTCGAGATGCACCACTGTTGATGGCAAGGTACTACGGGACAACAGGCATGCGTCAAATCTTTCTTCTTGCATAGCCCCCCATTGCAGAGGGAATCTGTGAGTGGGGTCAGAAAGTCAACAGAATCAAGGAGATGGGAGGAATTTAGGCTCATATGATCAGTGCGACCCAAACACCTGAACAGGAACCCAATTCTGACATCGTTGGGGGCCGTTGGGGGCTGAGTACCACCAAACGGTGACCTCATCCTTGTGCAGTGTGCTTACAACCAATCTTGCTGCGATACCCCACACCAATACCGACGAGCTGAACGTTCGCATTAGTTCAGCCGCAATAGTTCATGGGTCATGCTGCCAACTATCTAATATCCTTGGATACTCTCTTTTGATCCATCACATCGACCCGCCTCTGCTCGACCTGGCACTCGGTACCCACATTACATTCTACACGACACCGTGCGTCATAAAATCTGCCCTCAGTAGCTGCATGTTATTGCGATCGAGCTGCGCATAGCCCAAAGGTCCTTTCCTCCTGCTCCGCGTGCGCTTTGCGTCATCGAAATTACGTACCAACTACGTCTTCAAGATAACACGGCAGTTATTCTGAATACGCCATGGCTGAAGTGCTGGCTGCTATCTCAAGTCTCTATACAGCTGTAAAGGCTCTGCACACCTTCGCACTGCAAATCAAACAGTGGAAGCTACTGTCTGAGCGACTTTTCGACATTGAAGAGGGTCTCGAATTCGCAAGAATCTCTCTTGACAGCTGGCAACACAAGTACGACATACAGATTCATCGACCCAGTATTTACACTATAATTCTCTTTGGAAAAGAGGGCCATGAGCGCGTAACAGCCACAATCGGTACTATCAACATAATCACAGGGAGCATCAAGAGCGACATCAGCCGAATCAGAGGCATTGCACTCAAAGTCGAGCAAGGGCGCACCTATTATGGAGAAAACCAGGATATTGGTAACGAAGAACGAGTCAAAGAATGCCTTCGAAAGATACAACGCAAGGGCACATGGTCGCGCAGATTTTTCTTGAGCGTTCTGGGAAAATCATACGACCTAGAGATGCGTCTCAAGCGGCTGAATCAGAAGCTCGCCACACTGGAACGTCTTTCCGATTTCTACCTCGAAAAAGAGCACGTGGACATCTTCTCGGAGATTGAACGGCTCCCTGGGCGGCACCTGATCATCAGGGCCGGAGAAAGAAGGGCAGACACGATTGAGAGCCAGTTACTAGATGTTGTTCGTGCTCAGAAAGACGCTGAGCGGCTTCATCGGTGCAGCGCATCGAGCCATCGACTGCACATGGGCCTTTCAGTTCCTCGAGTCCATAGGCGCGACTTTGCGTTTTTACTCAATATGCATGGGACAAGCCACGAAGTCCTTGTACAGCCCGTTACCATCAAGGCCGTCCACGATCCATCCATGGTCGCAAACGACATCGCCACTGCCCTGTCAACTCTTGCGAGCAAGACGCAGGATAGTTGCTACATGGTACCAACTTTGTCTACATCGGCAGGTTTCATCGTCAAGAATCCGCCGACAAATCTCCTCTGTGATTTGGAATACAAGGAGCCTCTATCGAGTACGATTCGCGACCAGAACGTCTATCTTGGCTCACAAAAACTATACTCGCAGGATCAAAACGCAATAGCAACTGGCGTCGCGCAAGGCTGTTTCCGATTGATAGGGAGCCAATGGCTGTCTTTCCTCGACTGTTCGAACATACGCTGGCGCAGGACCAAGGATGGAAAGTGGATCAGCATGCTAACCGCAGCGCCTGGCCAGTCATTGACGACGCGCACCTTGGAGAAATGCTACAAAAGCAACCGTGAGAGAAGAGACAGTCGCGACCTCTCCAAACATATCCAAATCTTCCGCATCGGGCTCGTTCTCGCGGAGATGGCGCTCAAAGCGCCGTTCTCACACATTGATTTCGACACTGTGACATACACGACGAAGCTGTACATCAACGATGGTGAAGAGGTCAGTGCCCATGAGGTCGCATCCCAAGTTGACATGAAGAGCAACATTCTCTTAGGAAACATGGTGTTCTTCTGCCTCAATGTATTACAGGACAACAACGCCATGGCTGAGAGGAGCATCGAAGGTAGTTATTTCCAAAATGTGCTCAAGCAAGCAGAGGAGCTCGAAAGAATTCTTGGGTCCGACAGACGAAGAGGTGGCTTAAGCCCAGGCTCAAGTCCAATGGGAAGTGGTTCAAATACCCCCAGATCAGCTGCAAGCGCATACGTGTATTGATTCTCGTGGAATTCGAGGGATGGCCTAAGCTACTTGGACTCATCAATGTAGCCAGAAAAATGCTTCCCTTGGCAGACAGACAAGAATCTCCTTGTAAGGAACTAGATACAATCACTTGACCACGACAGACCCACCAGCCTATTTCGTCTCGTTTCATATCATTACGCTAGCTCAGCCGTGAGCAACTTCACGAGACGTCTTGCGTGCCCCTCCCTCAACATAACCCAGGCTTGCCCCTCCAAGACCACCCCGCCGCGCCCCTCGCACCTTTGCCCCTCATCGTTCTGCCCCTCTGATAGTGCTGTAATCTACGCCTTGTTGTAGTTGCCGTTTTTGGTAGTGGGAATCTGCGGTGAAGTCTGCTACGTGCGAGAAACGTCACAACCCCATTGACAAAAACATGGACCATTTGCGGAAAAGCGATACAGAAATCAGCCACGCGTCGGAATTATAGTTGTGTATTACATTAGCAGGTTCAAAAATTGATGCGCGGTACACTATAATTTCCTCCATAAATTAATGTTGTGATTCCAAAAAATTGATGAATAGCGACGCATGTGCAACACTGCAGACAAGTAAAAAGCAAGCCGCAATCACCCATATCGCTTGCGCAAGCGCAAAAATTCAACTGTCCCCTGCCAGACTCGAACTGGCGGCCTTGGGATATCTGCCGTATTCTAGCAGTCATACATGATGATATGAGACCCACGTGATAACCAACTACACCAAGGAGACTTTTTCAATCTTTGCGAGTTGGGCTCGAAAGAGAGGTGATTGATGGAGGATTTGGAGAAAAAGCCTTATATATCGAGAGGTTTGCCATGGAAAACCGACGTTTGGGTTTTGCCTAACCTCGTCGTGGTGGTCGGTGGGGCGGAGAAGAAGAGTTTGTTGGATGAGGGGCACCAGGGGATGGCAGGACTAGTATTAGTGGCTGCAAACCAAGGCGGAAGATGGCGAACCATGGTCGAGAATGACTAGATCTGCCTTGGAGAACATTAGGATTATGCCGTATCGCGTCAAGTCTACATATCTGTACAGAAAGACCAATCTTTCGCATTACAAGCACTACAACACACCTCAACGCCTCGTGGCGACGTAGACTCCGCGCAATGCAAAAACGCCGGTAGCAAATCGACAGCCCCAATCCCTCGTTCGACTCGACTACGGTCCAAGTCGTTGTCCACTGTCAGGAGTCCTATTGCTCAGCGGCACGCTGGTAGTCGGGAGCACGCCGTAGCGGCCGTATGTCTTTTGGTCGACACTGACGTAGTGCGGTAACCTTCCGAGCAGGTTCAGTTTCGTCTCAATCCATCTCAAGATCTTCTCGTGTGGTACGAGGAACTTGATGTATCCGGAAGCCCAGAGGTAGCCGAGGCCTGCACCGCACAGGTGGCCCACAAGACTGACGTGCGGGACGAGTATGCTGGTCAGAACGACAAGAATGAGTGGGGTGGTCCAGGTTGGAATCTTGTAGGGCCCGACACTGAAACCGATTAGTTACAATCGGGCTGGGGGAGGGAAAGTGTGATTGTACCTAAAGTAGGGGTTCGCCTTGTGTGTCTTCATCACTTCGGCTGATAGGAGGAGGAAGACCCATACGCTGTCTCTGTTAGTATGTCCTCGTACACGGATTACTTGGAATTGGCATACCTCGCACCCATGACCGAGGTATTACTCCTCAGCACAAACTTCTCCAACAAGGTGTATACGCCTCCTGGTATGGTTCCGAAAGCTGCCACATGGTCAGCTTGATATTTGTGCATGTCACCCCGGATATATCTTACGCCCGGTGAAGAGCGCAAGCGTGACTAGTGTCCCGTATTCAGACTCGAAGCGCTCGATAAGTGGTGTTACGGCGAAGAGGTTGAAGATCATGTGGATGAAATTCCAATGGAGCAAAGGAAACAAGTTGAGTCGGTGCACTACAGGTATATTCTATTAGCTCTTCGTCTTGTTCCCAGCTCCGTGACTTCCGCGCCGCAAGACATGGCAACAAGACGAGCATTGTAGTTGGCCTCAACCCCCCGGTATTGACAGAACAAACATACTCTGCGTCAAATCCATCTTGGCCGGCTCCAAAGCCCCAAAGTCTCTAATCCACGGAAACGGAATCGTCGCAACCCATAGTCCTACAATGGCCGCAACTAGCAGCTTTGTGCAGAACGGCAGGCGCAGGATATAGGACCGTATCCGCGCAGGGCTTATCTGGGGAATCGAGGTTATAGGCATCGTCGTCGCGAGCACGCCGAGTGTTTGGGGTGGTTGTTATGCAGGCGCGTTGTGTTGTGCTAAGATGAACAGACTGGAAGATTACAATGGGACTAGGGTCCAGGGTCGACGGAGCGCTAGTGACGATCCTCCCGCTCGAGTCGACTTAGCACCTTCCCAGACGGATATGTGGGATGCTGGGCAGAGGGCAAGGACACAACTCGTTTTCTGCGCTCTCTCTCTCTCTCTCTCTCTCTTCTCCTACATGACGGGCGACTGAGACGTCGACATGGCTCTTCTGTGTGAGTCTAGCTCTGTGCGCGCATGACATGGACCGACAGCTAACAAACACGTGAAGCCTCGATACTGGCGCTCCGGCAGGATAAACGTCTACTCAAGCTACCGCCCTACCTTTCCGCGCTCTGCATAATCATTGGCATAGCATGGCTCCTGGTGCTCCCCTTGAACGAATACTCGCGAAGGACATATGTCTCTGAGAATGCGCTCCTCCCGGGACAAGTACATACCTACTTCACCGGCAGCGAGCACAATGTCTTTCGAGCCTATCGCCATGAGGTCCATGGATTGATAGATAAGCCCATCGCAGAGTGCGCATGCAGACTGGAACCTACATGCCCGAAGCTGACTATGCAACAGGCGCTCACAGCGACTCGAAGCCATCTTCCGTGAACAGAACCTCAAAGTCGCAACCCAGCACTACAACTATACCGTCTCGAACCGGACCATCGCGAACGAAAACGTCTATGCTATCCTCCAGGGTCCCCGTGCAGACGCAACCGAAGCCATTGTTTTGATCGGAGCATGGAAGAACATGGCAGACGAGGTCAACAACTCTGGCGTCGCATTGGTTCTCACGTTGGCGCGCTACTTCAAGCGCTGGAGCCTTTGGAGTAAGGATATCATCCTGCTCATTCCTGGGGATAGCACTATCGGCTCGCAGGCCTGGGTTGATGCCTACCACGAGGGACACGATACACGTTATGTTGAGAGCCTGAAGATCAAGAGTGGGGCATTGCAAGGCGCTGTCGCTGTAGACTATCCTGCGGGTCCTTGGGGTCATCGGTACGACAAGCTGCATGTCGTATACGATGGCATAAACGGCCAACTTCCCAACCTGGATCTGTTCAACACTGCAGTGCAGATTGCCTCCGGTCAGATGGGCATCGGCTGTGTGATCCAGCGCATGTGGGATCACAAGGACTCCTACAAGGAGCGGCTCCAGACCATGCTTCGAGGTATGCTCTCGCAAGGCATTGGTCATGCAACTGGGCCTCATTCGTCCTTTATTCCATACCACGTCGACGCCGTTACCTTGGTGACAGTTGGGGACGGCTGGCATGACGAAATGTCACTTGGCAAAACCGTCGAATCGCTCTTCCGAAGCTTGAACAACCTCCTCGAACATCTGCACCAGAGTTTCTTCTTCTATCTTTTGCTACAAGATAAGCGCTTCGTCAGCATTGGCACATATCTCCCCTCGGCAATGCTGATCGCCATCAACTTCAGCATTGCGGCAATGGCATTGTGGGTGAAGAGCGGACGTAGCACAGAGCCTGTCAGCAATCCCGCCGCCACAAAACCCAAAAAGGCGTCGACCGAGAAGTCCGCTCCGGCAGACACCAAGACAGCCGAGAATGAGACTACCAAAGATGAGCTCAAGAAGAAGGACACTGACTCTGAGACGGAGCAACCAGAAAAGAAAGAAGAATCTGCATCTAAACAACCAGCCACTGAGCTCGTCGAACAAGACGGCTCCCTAGCTGTTGTCCCCAAAGCCAGCACGACGATAACAGAACGTCATCTCCTCCTTCCCCTCATTCTCGTCCTCACAGCCCATGCTTCCGGCCTGATCCCCCTATACCTGTTCAACAACTGGGACACTGACCACCTCTCCAACCTTTTTCTCACAGCCAGCAATCTAACCACGCTCGCTCCACTCATCATAACCTTTCTCTTTTGGTGGTCTGCCCCCGACGTGCTGACACCGCAGGCCCTTTGTCTGCTCCAGTGTTTCTCCCTGCTACTGCTAGGCATGTTCCTTGCGGCCCTAGCAACGCTGAACTTTAGTTTGAGTGTCTTGGTCGGGGTGCTGTGCGTGCCATTGGGCTTTGTACGCAAGAGTAACAATCGTGGGGTTACTGGAATGCAATTACTGATGCTGGCCATGCTGAACCCTGTTCTGGTTATACAAACTATAACGAAGCTGCTAGGAGCCAACCTAACGGATGTTCTTGTTCAGAGCGCGATCGGGTGGCATGTTTGGGGCATGTGGACGCAGGTTGTTGTCTGGTTGGTCTGGTTCCCTGCATGGCTTGCAGGAGCCGTGGTGGTTTCAACTGGATTCTGGGAATAGAAGTGGACTACATGGTAGATAATACACAAGTCATCGAGTGCAATGGAGTCATGAGTCTTTTCATTCGTTGACCGTCTATGGCCACTACCTATGATTACATTCAACCGCGCGTCTTGCTTATAGCTGATGCATGCCACCTATTGGAAGTGGAGACGACGTGCTCTAAAAGGCGTATAACCGTGACCTGCTGCAAGATGATGCTTGTTCAAGCAGCCCAGACGTCCTTGCCTACACCCTCGATCCAGTTACCCAGCTGGTTGACACTGGCGTCCCACTCCTTCAGCCTTGTCCTCATGCCCTCAATCTGCTTCATGTCCAGAACCTTGGGCTGCACCCAGTTGATACGCGCAATCTCGGCAACCTGGTCGATTTGACCCTTGAGTAGTCCCAAGCTCAGCGCCTTCATGATCAGGTGCTCAATCTCGTTCGGTTGTACCTTGGTCTCATGCGAGATCTCGGAGAAGGTCATGGCGCGGTCGTGGGGTGGGCGGCGGAAGACGGTCTCTGTGAGAGCGGATAGCGATATCTTCTGGTAGAGGAAGGTCTGGTGCTCCTTGAGAAGCGGGACCTTGGTGATGTTGTTGGAGAGCACGTCGTAAGCCATCAGGTCGCCGCGATTGAAGGCGAAGAGAAGATCGCGAAGCCATGCATGTGGGGTGTTGACAAGCGAGTCGAGGATGGGGTGTAGGAGCAACTCTCCAAAGTTGTAGATGGAATCTGAAACGAGGGCGGCGATGCTGAGGTCGTAGGCGCGCGACTGGCGTTCGCGGAGTTCCAGGTCGTTGAGGTCGACGCAGGCGAGGAACAGCAGGGCGTTCTTGTAGTATGCAGCGAACTCGTGCTTGGACTTGTAGTATTCTGCGCTTGCTCGGTAGAAAGACGCATGCACAACGGTTTCGACCGAGTCAAAGGTGTCCAGTATCTGTTCACACTCGTCTAGCTTCTTCTTGGCTCCCTCCTCGTCCTTTAACCGTAGCTGTATACTGGCGGCGGCGACTGTGGCGTATACGTAGGCGTCTTGTGAAGCGGGCTTGTTGACGCTCTTTGCGAGGTCGTTGACAAAGGCGAGGCGTTCCTTGTCGTCTGTGAGGGTCAGCTGATGTTTCTGTCTAGGAGGAAAGGGCCATGCCACCCTTGTATTGTGTAGCTGTGTTGAGTCCCAGGGTGACGAGCTTCAGCTGGTTGATCTTGTTTGCGAAGCTCTTGATGAAGGTCTCGAAGAAGGGTATCCGCTGTTTGGCGCTCTCTGGGTGGTCGAAGAATTCGATGAGCTTGTCGGTAAGCTCGTGCCATAGCTTTCGCTCCCAAAAGTCCTCAAAGGCGATGAAGTATTCCTGGAGTTCCTCGGGTGCCTCGTCCCGCGCATCGCCCAGAAGGTTGGGAATCGTGTCTGTGTCCATGGCCATGGTTGCTGCGAGCGGCTTTTTCGATGGGGTGAGAGGGTACGGGGGGTCAAGTTCGGGGTCGGAAGGAGGGAAATGACGGGAGCTGGGCTGTTGTTGGAGGGCGGGACTCTGTTGCTGTCATGGCGTTGCGGCGGAAGCTACGATTAGCGCATAGCGCCAAGGCCATCAACCACGGACGTCCAGACATGGCAGCCGCCTCGCAAGAAGCTCCATTCGACATACCAGCAGCCATTGAACGCCGCAACTATGCTGCCACTCCGCTGCGCTCGGTCGCCAGTGGCGCTGTCGGCGCAAATGCCCTTGAAGCGTGTCGCCAACCTGTCCACCTCGGTCTGCCGACAACAACTCAACTCGGACGTCAGGATAACTAGGTCCGCCCGACTGCACCCTGCGACGCCAAAACGAGTGCTGACAACGGCATAGGACTGGAAAGCCGATTCTGACTGTCTCCGGTGGACGATCCTCGCTCGGAGGTACGCCGCGACCCCTACCCGCCTGCTACATCAACACTCACACACACACGCAGGATATACCGCGACTGTTTTCGGAGCCACTGGATTCCTAGGACGATACATTGTGAACCGATTGGGTGTGTGCTCGTCATTGGAAAGCCAAAGTGCATTGCGCTAACAGCACCAACAGCCCGTTCAGGATGTACAGTGGTAGTCCCCTTCCGCGAGGAAATGGCAAAGCGTCACTTGAAGGTCGCCGGAGACTTGGGCAGAGTCATCTTCGTCGAGATGGACCTCCGAAACACTGCGTCCATCGAAGAGAGCGTGCGACACTCTGACATTGTCTACAACCTCATTGGTCGCGACTACCCCACCAAGAACTTTGACCTCGACGACGTACACGTCCACGGCACAGAGCGCATCGTGGATGCTGTCGCCAAGTACGACATTGACAGATTTGTCCATGTCTCGTCTCACAGCGCACGCTTGGATTCACCATCCGAGTTCTACCGCACCAAGGCTCAGGGTGAGCAAGTAGCACGCTCCATCTACCCAGAGACCACCATTGTTCGCCCTGCGCCCATGTTTGGTTTCGAGGACCGTCTTCTCCACCGTCTCGCTTCCCCCTCAAACATCATCACCTCGAACAACCTGGAAGAGCGCATCCGCCCCGTCCATGTCATCGATGTCGGCATGGCTCTTGAGAAGATGCTGCATGATGACACCACTGCCGCTGAGACTTACGAACTCTACGGCCCGACAGAGTACTCGATGGCTGAGATCAACGAGCTCGTTGAGAAGGAGGCCATGAAGCCGCGTCGCCATGTCAACATTCCCAAGCGCCTCCTGAAGCCTGTCGCACACTATGCCAACAAGCTTCTCTGGTGGCCCATCCACTCTGCTGATGAGGTCGAGCGCGAGTTCATTGACCAGATCATTGACAAGGATGCAAAGACTTTCAAGGACCTGGACATTGACCCTGTCGAGTTGAAGAGCTTGACCTTTGAGTACCTCAAGGGTTACCGAAGCTCAAGTTACTATGATTTACCACCCATGAGCGAGAAGGAGAAGAGGGAAGAGAAGAAGTATCTGCACGTTCTTGACGATCAGTAGACGGGTTCAAGCATGGCTAAGATTATGGAAAATTTTGTAAATATCTGTGCCCCTATGCTGGGCTGACATGGTCTGTAGAATCGAGATTTTTCCTTTGTACCTTTTGCCTGTGTGTTCAAGGTATTCGTAAATTTAGAGTGGGGTATCGTTGCGCTAAAATGCTATCATAAGACACTCTCGGTCTTCTCTTCAAAGCTTCGTTTCCGCTAACCTTTCCAAATGACTCCTCAGTAACGCTTCAGTACTGTCCGGATCATCCTTACCCCTGCGCTCGTCCCAATGCCGATAGAACTCAAGCACTACTTCTACAGCAATGAGTGCGATAATCGCCCATTCGAGTCTCAACCCGTGTTTCTCACTCAACTGCTCTCTCAACACGCTAGCAATTTCCTGAGCAAAACCAATCTTTTCATTGAGCACTTTGATTCGTACCCCAACATCCAGGGCGCGTCCAACTTGATCGTAGTACTCGCCCAAGCCCAGCTCGTGTCGCGAATCCCAGAAGATGTCGGGCATGCTGTCGGTCAGCTCCGAGTAAAGGTTTAGCTGAGCACGGAGAGACAACAGTTCGCCAGTTTTGCGTAGGATGAAGGAGCGTGTAAAGGGGGCGCTGCGGCGATGAGAGATGGTTTTGGAAGAGGCAAGCATGGCGGGGATATCGCGGGTTGAGTTTTGGTAGGCTGACAGCAGAGTTTCTAGAACGGCAAGCTTGGTGCTACGAGCGAGACCAGAGGAGAAAGCTATTTTTGCCAAGACAGTGTCTACTTCGTGACGCTGGTCGGTGGGGTTGGTAGACTCATCGGGTTGAGATGACGTTGGGTTGTCAGATACTGGCTCTGCTTTTGTGCCGAGGACGATGGTGTCGCCGACTACTTCGCTGGTTTCTTTGCTGGGGTCTTCGAGGTAGTCCAGGTCTTCAGTTTCGAGCAATTCGAGATGTGAGCCTTCAGCTGCTGCTGGTAGCACTTGGTTGACCAGCTTCAGTGCTTCTCTTTCCCGGACATTCCATGCCACTACCGTGCCAGAGGGAAAGATGAATATGTCGCCTTGTTGGAAATCCTTGACCTCTGACGGTCGTTCGGAAGTCTGAATATGTATGACTTGCGGGTATAAGCCGGTCTGGAAGGGATCGAGCTCATAGCCTTGGGCTTTGACAAGCCGAGCGGCAGCGGTAATGTCGTAGGTTTCAGCCGCACAGTATGCAGTCACCGTTTTGGTTTCAGCGTCTGGATCTATGAAGCGTGTTCTTCCTCTTGACTTTACGAAAGCCCGCGATCTCTGTGCCTCAACCGCAACACTCCGCAACGACGTCTTGCCAGCATTCTTTCGGGCGCCCTTGCGATTCGCATTTTGCTGCGTCTCCTTTACTGCCTCTTCTTTCGAGACCAGGTCCTCCAGCTTTTGGCCGAAGTCGACCTTTTTCGCATATTTGCTAGTTGTCGAGAATAGTCGGCCTGCGGGGGTGCGCAACAAGGGTAGAGTGTTTAGCGGAAGGCGCGCGGCAAGACAGCGTGTCAAGGCATGAGACACGTAGTGTTGGTAAGCCGTCATGGCCAGCGCAAATCTGTCTCGGACATAGTTTCTAGCGGCAAGCAATCAGCGGAGGCGATGAATCTTGAGAGTGGTGGAGCATTTGCGGAGAGCTAGACCCTTGCAAGTCCGCGGGAATGGCTTGGCCAGCATCATAGGCCTAGATCGACAGGGCATCGACACCTCCAACACTCACACACCTCCACGCGCCGGAGCTCTCCCAGGTCTCTACCACGCCCGCCGCAGCTCATGCCGCCAGCATGGCTGCGGAAAATACCCCACACGAGCCGCATACGCCTGCGCGCGACCCTAAACACGTCGACAAGGTAGCGAGCGAAGGGAAAGAGAGTGTCGAGCACGACTCGGACGACGACGACGACGACGATGTCGACGAAGAGCCGAAGCTCAAGTACAGCCGACTGACAAGAGATCTGGGGCCTGTATACCGGAATGGCGACGCGACAGCTACCTTCATGGTCGCTGGGGACAAGATGGTACGGTCATAGCTCCATGCTTCATGTGCATGAGCCCTGCAAGCTGTCGACCGAATGCTAAGACCGTACGTAGATTGTAGGCACCCACAATGGTAATATTCATGCGTTGAGCATCCCTTCTTTCCAAATCCTCCGCACCTACAACGCGCATCCTGCTGCCTCAGTGACGGCCCTATCGGTATCGCCTCTGTTGGCTTCGCAGCCCTTTGTGCCCACCGCCTCCGATCTTCGGTCAGCAGACCAGACAAATGCATCTTCCAGACGAACAGACTCGCCAGCAGGCAACGCAGCCTCTCCTCGCACACCACGTCAAGCCCAGGTGCCGTCGACGCCCTCGAACCAGATATATATAGCCTCTTCGTCCATTGACGGGCACGTATGCGTATCGTCTCTGATCGATCCCAAAGATGTCACGCTACGAAACTTCGGACGCCCTGTGCAAGCGGTTGCGCTTTCGCCGGATTACAAGAATGATCGCTCTTACCTATCCGGAGGACTAGCTGGCGAGCTCATTCACACTGTAGGAGGGCCGACCGGTGTACGTTCGAACGCCAATACCAGCTCAGCGTCACAGACAGCTCAAGGATGGCTTGGAGCGATAGGTCTCGGTGGACACAGTGGAAAGGATACCATTCTGCATTCCGGAGAAGGCACCATAACTGCCATCAAATGGTCCCTCTCTGGGAAGTTTGTAGCTTGGTCCAATGAACATGGCATTCGCATCATGCGCACCGATCTCCACCTCGACAGTGCCGACTCCGATAACGCTTGGAAGAGAATTGGCTTCGTCGAAAAGCCGAATCGTCGCATATGGCAGGAGATGGCCGGTGTATGGAAAGCACGGATTGAGTGGGTTGATGACAGATCGCTCGAGTCTGACGATGATGCTATAATGAGCATGAATGGCCATCACCTTGCGGATAAAACCGAAGGCACGTTACCGCACAACCGCTCGCCCCAGGCATCCAAGGACCCGAAGAAGCACAACAAGTTTGAAAAGCTCATCATTGGATGGGGCGATGCCGCATGGGTCGTTCACGTACAGCCTGGTGGACCTGGCGTTGGCCGTGATGTTGGTGAGAGATCGGTTGGAAGCGCCGAGGTGGTTCATTTCCTTCGTTTCGACGACTGTATTGTTTCTGGCATTTCGCTCTATACCCCTTCTTTGCTTCTTGTTCTTGCATACCGGACACGCGACGATGATGACAACCCAGTCTCTGGTCCCGACACGACTCCTAGGGGGGGAAGACACCGTCGCACAAACGGTCTTTCTCCCGAGCTCAAACTCATCGATGCTGCAACCTCGGATGAAGTCGAAGTGGATTCTCTCACCGTCAGCCGATTTGAAAGTCTCTCGGCTGCCGACTACCATCTGGGAACCCTGTATGTACCACATCCAAAGACGATGACTCCGGCCCAGAGGAGCGCACTGGAAGCCATCGGGGGTGGAATATGGGATGTAGGTGCTGCCACCGCACGCATATTCAGCTCTGGAGCAAGTGTAATGAACCTTCCCATTGGTTCTGACAAGCCGCCCTCGAGAGCGCCGTCCATGTCCTCAGCAAGCGCCGGAAATGCCGCTGGTTCAATATCTGGCAAGCGTCAGCAACAAGTACATCCGAACGCTGCAACAGCAGGCCTGAAAGTCTTCATACAGAGTCCGTACGACTGCGTATTGGCCATCAAGCGAGAACTATCAGATCACTTCCAATGGGAACTCGAGCACGAAAACTACAAGGATGCCTGGGAGCTTTTGGAGGACCACCCCGAGATCATCGCGTCTGTCTCCCAGTCAGTCTCAGATAGCTCCGATCCCAGTACGCCAACAAAGCAACAAGGAAGCTTGCACGAGTTCTTCGCGGACGACAGCGCATCCCAGACGACCCTATCTGCTACAAGAGCGAATCAAAACTCGGCAGTAGAAAAAGAGAAGCGTCGTATTGGGGATCTATGGGTACAACAGCTTGTTGGTTCTGGTGACTGGAAGCAAGCAGGCAAGGTCGCTGGTCGCGTACTCGGCACTTCTACAAGATGGGAACATTGGGTGTGGAAGTTTGCACAGACAAACCACTTCAACGAGATCTCGCCCTACGTCCCTAAGAAACCCATGCAACCTCCATTGCCTTCGATGGTATATGAGGTGATTCTTGGTCACTACATCATACATGATCGCATACGCTTCAAGCACCTGCTTGAGGATTGGGATCCAGACCTATTCGATATAAATAGTGTCGTTGAGGCTATCAAAAGCAAGCTTTCTGCTGGCGATGTCACAGAGGAATCTATCGAGGGCGATATACAAGGTCGAGACTGGCGGATACTGCAAGATGGCCTTGCGAAATTATTCCTTGCCAGTGGCAGACAAAGAGAAGCACTACGCTGCTACATCCGGTTGCAAAATGCAGATGCGGCTATGACTCTCATACGGGATTTCCACCTAGTAGAAGCTGTACGAGACGACATTCCTGGCTTCATCATGATGGGTGTTTCGAAAGAGCAGATGAAATCAGCTGCAGCGAAGCTGGAGGAATTGGAAGAAGCCTCGGCAGAAGCCATCAATGTTCTCGTAGAGGAGGGCTGCCGTGGTACCATTCCTGCGAGCGACGTTGAAAGCCAATTACAAGCGAAAGGCCCAGCGTTCAGACCATTCCTGCACTTCTATCTGCGGAAGCTCTGGAAGCCGGACATGCATGAACGGACAGCGAAGACAGCTAAAGAACGGGTTGCTGAAGACCGCCTGGCGGCTGACGGCAAGATCGTTGCAGAAGAGTTTGCGGATCTCATGGTGGAGTTGTTCGCGGAGTACGATCGACCGCTATTGATGGAGTATTTGCGCAAATCTCAAAGTTATGATCTGAGCAAAGCCACCGCCGAGTGTGAGAGGAGAGAGTACATTCCAGAGCTTGTGTAAGTCGAGACTGTTCCTGCTGTACCAGTTGTACCTAATTTGCTAACCCACTGCAGACACATCCTCTCCAAGACTGGTCAAACTAAGCGCGCTTTGTACTTGATTATTGAGAAACTCTCGGACGTCAGCTTCGCCATCTCTTTTGCCAAGGAGCAAGATGATCCTGAACTCTGGAACGATCTCTTGAATTATTCCATGGACAAACCTCACTTCATTCGCGGTCTGCTTGAAGAAGTCGGCACAGCAATAGACCCCATCAAACTCGTCCGCCGTATTCCCGAAGGCCTCGAAATCGAAGGGCTAAGGGACGGCATAGGCCGCATGGTGCGCGAGTACGAAATCCAACACTCCATCTCAGAAGGAGTTGCGAGAGTCCTTCGGGGCGAAGTAGCGGCCGGTATGGACACGTTACGTGCTGGCCAAAAAAGGGGTGTCAAGTTTGAAGTCATGCCATGTGACGGCGAAGGTCATGAGAACCATCGCCAAGCAAAAGGGCAAATCGACATTGAGCCCAAAGGCGTCGATCCGGCAACCGCAGCAAAAGCTACAGCTAAAGCTGACAAGAAACCTACAGCTGTATCTTCAACAACTACGGCACCGAACCTCGATCCCGCTCCTGCTGATGCGCCGCAGGGCGAAGCCCCTCCTGGCCACTGTGTGGGGTGCCACCGTCCCTTTACGCTCCCCACTGCCGAAGAAGAGGCCGCCACCGTCGAAGGTGGGCCTATGCCTCTGTCTCGCGATACGCTTGTGGGGTTTGCATGTGGCCACGTCTTCCATCTCACTTGTCTACTACCCAAAACGAGTGCTAGCGCGAGTGTCGCAGCTGGCCTACAACAACAACTTGCCACTGATGCCCAAGAAAGCGGCGGAAGGTGGACAAGAAGTGTGGGCGCAAAGGTAGCGCATGCACATGTTATCAAGAGTGCAGTGGGCCGGGGGTGTGTCGTCTGTCGGGAACAAGAGGTAGTTGGTGAAGAATAAGTGCAAACGACGGGAGACATGCTACGAAACGATGTATATACGACAGAGATCTGAATAGTTGGACAAGACAGATGTGTACCGAGGTGGATTACATACTGTATTATTAGACGTCAAGTGGAGGACTTGAGTCCGTGCAGCATTACATTGGGGGCGCTGGGAGCTAGTTGCGTTGACACATCTATATGGAAACATTGAGCCATGTCCATCAATACGATTTCTAATACCTATTTCTGTTTGACGAATGTTGCCCGAAGAGGCATCTTTGAGAAAGCTGTTAAAAACTGTAGAAAGGGCGTGGTGACATGCAGAGGGGTAAGGGGCATGAAGGGCGTGGATTTGACATGCCGTCGCTAACAAGAAGCACGCGCTTCCAAGCTTATATGACCACGTTGATGCGCTCAAAATGTACTCGCAGATGACCGCCTAGGCTCTCGCGCTTGACATGAAAGCTGCGCTTTGGTGGAGAGGATGATTGTGATGGCATTGGAGTGTTGGTCGGAATGTCTGACGTGTCACTACGTTTCCGTGGTTATCGGTGGGTCACTAGGACACACGTTCATTTGCAGAGAATAGACAGAGGAGGAAAGAAGAAGAAGCCGGCGATGAAGCTAGAGTGACAGGTACGTGAGGGCATTCGCATGTTGGAATGCAACTGCCAACGTGTGGTAACAATAGACTACCCTATACCCCAAGCAGTATCGGTGACGCACTAGCTAACGCCGGTGAATCTCCGGCGTCTTGATGGTCAGTTGTTTGCATCAACGCTCCGACAACGAACAGTTTGCGCCTCTCTGCACCGCCCTCGGCAGCCTTGATCGCTGGAGAGGATGATTGTTGTCAGAGACCCGCGACTACGACATGGCATTTGAGGTGTCGTATGATCTCGAGAATGAGCAACAGTTCTGGGACGGTGAGAGCGCCTGGCAACCCCACCAACAGCCTCGACTAACACGCTACACAGAACTCGACGATATCGTCTCGACGCGCTGTCACCAGCACGAGATAATCGACAACTCGCTGCGATCCTTCCTTAATGTCACTACGAATTATAGATGTACGCATCTCCAACCTCTGCCGTGACCAACGTTGACCACCACCAATAGCCGAATACCTCCAAACCGACTTCAGCGTCGCAAAATGCATCTTTCGCATGCTCGAGGGCGACCTCTTTGCCTCGAACAAGGCATATGTACGGCGGCAGATAATATACTGCCTTTTGCAGGTATGTTGGTGCATGTCTGGAGCGCATGGTCGCTGGCTGAGCCTGAGGCTGACCAATGCGGTAGGAAGATGATAACCCTACTCTTCACATAGTGGCTGCCTTCCTCCTCTACGATGGTCGCAATAGCAAAGACGATGATATCTTTGAGATGATGCACTCGGAGGGCACATTTGCTAGACTTGTTGAGTTGGTGCAAACGCCGAGCGTGCAAGAGGAGACCACTCTGCATCAGCTACTTCTACAACTGCTCTACGAATCTTCACGCGTCCAGCGATTGACGTGGGACGACTTTTGTATGGCGACGACACCATTTCCCATCTTTCCTCCAAGTTATTGCTGACGCTTGTTGTACAGCTGCGGTGAATGACGCCTTTATTATCTACCTGCTGGAGATCATAGAAGGTGCTTCCGACGATGCTGACGATCCATACCACTATCCTGTGATACGCGTTCTGGTCTGTCTGCTCGCACCCCCTACCAAGTCTTGAGCTGACACCAGAACAGTTGGTTTTGAACGAACAGTACCTTGTAGCGTCGACTAGCCGTCATGGCGATGGACGACCCGGAATAACGAATCGGGTCATCAAAGCTATCTCGACCCACGGAATGACCTACAAAACTTTCGGATGCAACTTGATTCTTCTTCTGAACCGCGAGTCGGAGACCTCCCTTCAGCTTCTGATCCTCAAAGTGCTTTACCTTCTCTTCGGTAATCCTTCCACGGCCGAATACTTTTATACCAACGATCTTCATGTCCTGGTCGACGTCATCCTTCGAAACCTTATAGATCTACCACATGATTCGGCTGCTGCAAACGCATTACGACATACCTACCTCCGCGTTCTATACCCGATACTCATGCACAGCCAAATCAGCAAGCCACCGCATTACAAGCGTGAAGAACTATTGCGGCTTCTTCACCTCCTCGTCTCAAGCGGTAACCATTTTGCTCCCGTTGACGAGACCACCGTACGACTTGTGAACCGATGTACTAGTGTGCAATGGTTACAGCCTCCCGCTGCCACCGCGGAACACGGCTCGACCAATGGCAATGGTACCACAAACTCACCGGTAGACCATGTGGCGAACGGTCAGAAAGAGTACGCACGACGAGCGCTGGGCATGACTGTGCAAGGTAGTAGCGAGAGCTCGACGAGCGTCTTGGAGATCGCAGGTCACACTGCACAACCTGGCGTGCAAACGCCAAGTATGTCAAAGGTGGCGCAATAACACGTCGGAATGTTCTGAAGCTATGTTGAGCGACAGGCGTCTTGTAATCGTTATTTAGTGGCTGCGCGGAGTCTGGCGAAGTCCCTTATCAGCGAGTTCAGATATCCACACGTCAGTGAGGGCAGGTCGTACTTACACTTGCATGGTAGGAGTTCTGGGCACGTCTAGCGTTCTGTCACCAATCGTGTATCCTGTTTCATTCTACAATCACCTCGACGTCTTCTAGTGGTGGGTTCCTATCATCGATCTGTCTTTGTTTCTAATGCATGCCACTGGATGGCTGTCACCGTCCGTTTACGCAGCTGAATGTGGCACCTGTACAAACAAATTGAAACCTTGGTCGGGACACTTGCTGAGTCCACAAAGTTCACATAGCCAAGCAGTGGTCTAAGTATCTTACTGCACATGTGGCACCCAGACGTTTTCTAGTCACATGACAGAGGTCGAGCCCAAATGCGAATCGGATCTAGACTGTAAATCTGTTCTCACTATAAAGATCGACATTGCGCAATGCTGCCAAGCTTGCCGCGCTACTTGGAACGATGTACATCGACATCATGTACCCAAGCGGCACATATCAGACACCAACCTTACATGCACCAATCACTTTGGTACTACCCACTCATGCACAGACAACGTCCACCGGATACAAATCTCCCACCGACGCTATTTAATCTACGCACCATAGGAGCCCTGGCCCCGCGCGCACCACAGAAGGTGCCGCGACAAGACGAGCGGATTGCTTGGCTTTCCGCTATATAGATGAGCCACAGCCGCGGTTAGTGCGGGTACCAAGACTGCGAAGGAAGGTCAAGACGGAATGAGAGATTTTTGTATCGCTTGTCTGGGCTAAGGCTTGCTTATTGCTCCCTTATGATGGTGGGCATGTCGTTTCCGGCTTGGACGTCACGGTGGTGGCTGAGTATGCATGTACATCCGTGGGGACGTCAAAAAGTGCTCAAGTCATCCTGTATCGTCATAACCGTCTTGTTTGAGAAATCTTGGAAATGCTGCCAAGTCTTTTGCGACTATGGGAAGAGTGGTTCGCTTTCTATTCTACCGAAATGCCAAGTGGACGACAACACCGGAGTGGCATCTGGCATCGTGATGATGATCAACAACATAGTGGACTTACCCCATAGATCTAGCATGACTCTCATCAATCTCTAGGCGGGTTAGTTAAGGTGACTCCCGCTAGAAGCGCCACAACGGTGTGACTACCCCAACTTACTCCGTTACATCGCTCGCCACGGCGTACTTCGTATGTTTCACAACAAAAGCTTTGTTCCCTTGTTCTAGGCTCGATTAATCCCGCATCTTCTGGCTGTATGCTCTTCATACCCGCTGCACCGTCGCATGGGTCCGCGATGGTCACTGCATCACCTAGTAGCTAACCATTGCAACGCACAGATGATCACACCGCTCAGCATCCAAATCACGAACCAAATAGTCATATGCGTTGGTTTCCGAACGCCAAGTGTTCGGAATCTCGGCCCAGGCTTTTGAACCAGACTTTGCGACTCTGCACCGGAGGAAATGGTTGTGAGACTACAGGGGTGGTCTCTCAATTTATCCCAGATGTTGAGGCTGTTTTCTTGGGTCTTTCGCCTGGTATTCATTTCTTGCGTTAGCATATGCGAGATAGAATGCAAGTGATAAAATGGTATGACTATGGATACGTGTACGCACGCAAGGTACCTTCGGGCCCCCACAACATTGTTGCCGCAGCGAAGCATCTGCCCTAGACTTGAATGCTGGCGTTCTAGTTTGGCTTGGCTATTGATGGTGCGTAGTTCGGGGACGCAAGTCTTTCTCAGATTGAGTCTGAGGCGGCAAGCCTATGTGATGGAATTCATATCGTAGCGGGTGCTACTACAGTAAAACGCAGACGACAAGATGGGCGTGTAATTGTCATCATGATGTCTCCAATCTTTTGAACATATATGTGCCTAGTGCGTCTTTACGGTTTGAAAAACATGGGGCATTACAATGTTCCAGAGCCTATCTACCATGGAACTCATGCCTCTCGAACAAAGATGATCAGTGATCAACCACTTAGGTATGTGTCACCGTGCCTACCGTGTCAACGTTCGGTACCACGGAAATAATGGAGATCGCTCACCGTCGCACAAATACGATACTGCGTCATCAGAAAGCTATACGCCTAGATTTCCAAACTTGTTACTCAAGATTTTTGACCATCAGGATGAATATCAGGCACACATGAACAAGACACCACGGTGCTTGAAGCATTTGTATACCGAAAGCGGAAGAAGCCTTAATCAGGCAGACGAAATCATTAATGCGGCACAATGAGCAATAACAATACGACACGTACATGCCTTTGAGAAGAGACGCCAGCCAAATGATCCCTTCGCGAAAAGGTCTGTTTACAAACAGCGTCCTAGACCCGACACCAGATAACCCGGACATTCGGACGTCGACGCATGCCGACCTCGTTTACCAAACTACCCTAAGGCTGGTTCCCCCAAAACGCGAAACAAAGCTTTTGCACATCGATGAAATGACAGATTGCGATCTTCGTACTGTAAATCCAAGATCTACGGGACGTGCGTTGTGGAAGCCCAAACTGCCGCGCCGAGCCGGAACAGTGATCAATTTGAACCACTGCCACGGAACTTGGTGATGGACTCGTGATGTGTGCGCATAATATGACAATACTTCATGTCCGTGGGGCTCTTGCAGCCCGAAAGCCCGGATGCTGCGGTACGAAGTGCTGATTGAGCGAGTCGCAGAGCGATGTGCGGGAATTTTGGGCATGATGTTCGTCACTGGAGCACCGCGAAGTCATGTCACGGCTGGAAGGGGACATCTGAAGCAGGAGTATGATCAAGAGTTCTAATTTCAAGCGCTAAGAATTGTAAACTGATGCTCTACCCGTGATCGAGGGAGCTCCGTGCGCCTACGTTTGTCTCGAAAAGTGATTCGAGACAGAGAATTTTGGTTGACAGGAACGCTCGATGTCCTCCGCAAAGAAATCTAATCATAATATGCCGCCGAAAGACGATAGGATATAGAAAGAGCCTGAAAAAAGAAACACATGACCCTTACGTGCTAACAAGAAATTTCGTGCAAGCATTCATGACTTCGTAAAGGGATACTCCAGGCGCCTCGCAGAAAGTACAATCAAGAAAGACTAAGGAAACTGCCCGGGGAATGTGATTCTTTAGACCATCTGGCCGACATCGCTGACATTGTCGGAGGAAGCACGTGGTGAGGGAACTCGGGTAGGGGCTTGTGATAGTGGGTCAGGTGATGAGGTAGGGTCACTGTCCCTACGCTTTTCAGATGTCTCAGCCTTGCTCAGTCTGCGAATGATTGCCTCCTTCGCATGCTCGCCATTATCGCAAGGCAGATACCAGCGAGAGATGATCATGCAAATACATGAGAGCATGAGGTTAGTTCCGGACCACATCTGAACAGTGATGTACGTGTTGTACTGTGTGATGAGATGACCAGCAATGACGGGGCCGGTAAGGGCGGGGATGGCTGCAAACGTGTACATCATACCGGTCCAGTGGCCAAGCTTCTTCTTTGCAAAGTGTCTCGTGTCAGGTGTGGCGTAGGTGCAGTTGAGAATGTTGCCGATAGACGCAGGGGGGAGACCAATGACCATACCAGAGAAGACACCGAAAACTACGCAGAAGGCGATAGCGTCGGTCTCTGATCCAGCCAATGTCCAGAGGACCAGTGTGAGCATCGACGCGGTGAATTGAGAGCCGATATGCATATTGAGGGCGCCGACTTTGTCCGAGAAGTGCGCGAGGAGCATGCGTCCGACAGTCGAAGCTCCGTTCATGATGACAAGGAGCCAAAACGTTTGAAGAGGTTTGTCGGTCGTGTCGGAGGGGCTTACTGGGGAACCTGTCCGGTCGCGAGTGCCAAAGCCGCGCACTGATGCCCACTAAACACTGTTAATTATCGGCGTGGCAGACAGAACAGAAATACTAACCTCTTCAAGGTTGAAGAAAACCGGGTAAAAGCCAAAGAACATGAACGCAACGGCAGCTGTGAACCAGCACCAAGCCTTGTTCTTGAAGGCTTCAGTATCGAACCAAGTCCTAAGCTTACCCCAGCTCTTCGGTTCGTGATGCTCGTGGGCAGGGTCTGGCGTGCAGAAGATGAAGGAGTAGATGCATGTCACCGAAGTGAGAGTGGCAACGTAGCGTACTGCGTTATTGAAACCGACAGATTGGATCAAGTAGCGGAGCATGCTGGGGTAGATCACGCCTGCTACACTGGCACCACAAGCCACATAGCCTACAGCAAGACCCCGGCGCTTGGGAAACCATGTTGAAGCAACTGGAATGGCGTTAGCAGGAATTATTGTAGAGGGATGAATGTAACTCACCTTGGGAGCTGGAAACGAAGAAGGTACCCATGCCCAGGCCGACCACAAGGCCCTGTGTTGCCCAGATCGAGCCGAAGTTTCCAAGAGCCTCAATGTCGCTGGGATGCGCGACAGAAAGCATGAAAAGACCAAAGGGCACAAGGAAAGTACCACAACCGATCACCTTGCGAAAGTGACCAGCATCCAAGAGCCGCCCGACCACGTTCGACAGCAGAAGCACAATAAAGGATTGAGTCGAGCCGATCAGGTTCAGTTCAAGCTGATCAGTACCTCGGAGTGAGTGGCCAACGTAGTATGAGGACCACGTGCCGTAGGCGTTGACTAGTCCCCACGAGTTGAACATGAGGAAGAAGCAGCCTAACAAGCATGCGTAGGCACGCCATGATTGCGGCCAATTGGGCTCGTCGATTGTGTCGACACTGGCGTGTCTTGATTCGTCTCGCATAGAATTGGTCGCGGTAGGTGCTTCGGAGAGTGGCAGGGTTCCTTCGCTGTACTTCCGACTCTCTTTGTAGGTAGATCGTGTAGGTGGCATCTTGACCGTGATTGCTGTAAGTGAAGACGGTGAGGCCAAAGAGGGAAGAGCAATCAGTTAATTGGGAAAGTGTTTGACGTATGAAAAGATAAGATGCTCAACACAGATAGCACGTGTTGGAGGGGAAGCGCTCAAATGGACGCACTGGTGATGGATTGGTACGGATTCAAACGACTGTCAAAGCGGCGGGGACGGGGTATAAGTACGGTACTCATGTGCAAACACTCACGGAACTGGGGAACGAGCCCAAGGCTTGGGTTGATAGAGGGTTCTTTTACGGCTCCACTCTTGCTCAGCACGCGCGTAACCCCCATGTAGATTGTGGCTACCTTCTCCCATAGTGACGTGGTAGTCAAACTGGTCGTGTAATGGGGAATGGATGCCGCAGGGCACAAGCAACGCAGGGGTTGCAAGCCCAAGAGAAGCCAAGGCCATACGGAAGTCTGAACTCCGCCGGTAGCAGGGAATACTTCATTACTCTGTTAGAGGCTTCAGATGCCCTGCGGCCCAAAGCTTAGTGCGGCGCGTTAATCCGGTGGAAGAGCGATCAGCGGTGGTAGATTCTCCGGCGCATCTTGCGTTTGGGCTTCCCCACGCTCACTCGTTGTCGTGAAAACATGCCCACCATGTCGTCTCCCAGGGTATTCCCTTTGACTGCTGGTGACCTAAGCTGCTACAAACTAGGACGTTGCCACCTCTTTTTACTGAATGTGTGTCACAATAGGCGGTTCTGAACCGCGCTGGGCGAGACTACCATGGTACATGGACCAAGCATCTCCTTTCCCATAATTGCATGTGCGAGTATCGAGATTGCTCATAGGCTGTGCAGTCTTGGCTTGTTCCACCAAAACGAAGTCGTCCGTGGGCATAGACACTCGGTAGACGATGATAGGGGTCGATGCGTCTAGCAAGGTTGTATAAAATAGCGGAGCGGGCTCCCAGCGCTTGGCAGAGCGTCAGCGCGAGGCATGATGAGTGATGCGGCTCGATTGGGTCGGTATGCCAAGAATGTGCTCGAGTAGTGATGTACAATCCGCCTTGGCTGGCCCAGTTATATTGCAAGGGCCAAAGATGAGTACTCTCGCGGTACTACCGCTGAGACTTTTACAACTCTGGGCAGTTCCTGGATCAGAGCGGATGCGCCGGCCGATAATCTGGATGGAGACGCGCAAGCACATGGAGGGTATCGACACTAGACCTGCAAAGTCACTGTGAAGGAGGGTCGAGTGTCACCCGCAATATCTTGAGTACATGACAGAGAGGCCACGCTAATGTTGGCGGCGTAACAAGATCAGCGGGCCGGTGCGGTTCGTTGCTTCGTTATCTTCAGTTTCAACACAGCCACAACCGCTTCATACGGTCAGGGATCGACGACTAGGGCGCTCTGCCAAGCATCAACACCCACGCTGGCGTTGATGCTTTGTTCTTCCCGCCGCAACGAAGATATGCTCCCAAGGAAACGTATCATGTTGCGAGTCATATCTGAGGGTACGGTTGTGGCTGCATGAGATTCATCACCCTGCATTGCGATGAGTAGTCCAGCGACGCACACCTATGTCAATACTTGGCCGTCAGCTAAGACGCATCTTTTTGTTGACGGACGACGCGCGGAAAGTGGACTCCAGGATTCCAAAGGCGCATGGAGTGTGTTGGGGTAGAATGGTGGAGAAGACTTAAGGCTGGCGATCAGCGACGCTACCTTCAGAGAGTTTGCTTTGCCAAGGCTCTTTGTCGGCCGGGCAATTACGCGTTCAGGAAGTGCTCGCACAATATCAATCCGATCCAGCGTCGAGACGAGCACCAGATACTATTTCTAATCCGATCCGGAAACAAGTCCAAGCCCGATATCTTCCTAGGTCTGTGCAGATCTCCCCTGTCGGGAAGTGTCAAGAGCCGAGAAGAAACAAAGAAGCATCCCGCGCAGAACTGCGCTACATGTTACTCAAATGACAAAGGCAAAAGAGAATGTTATCTTGCCTGATTCTTCGCAGTCGTCTTGTTGGATAACAGTCAGACTTGAGCCTCGCCACGGTAGCGGTCAGCTGGCGGCTTCGTGTCTCCGTCGCGATAGCTAGTCAGTTTCCTATGATGATGGCGAGGCACGAGCTGAATTCCCGCGGACTCCATCGGCTACGTCACAAGTGTTCCACAATAGTCCCATGGGGAGGAGGACCCTTGGAAAACCGGGACTTGTCCAACGTTCTAACGAATGTAGCGAAGTTGTACCGGAGCCGGACGTTGAGTAGCGGATATCGTCATGCATGCTACTTTGCAGTGCCACATACATGCTGCCGCAGTCAGTCCGCACAGCGGAACCATGTCGTGATTTAGCTTTCGAAGGTTGACCCTTTGGGTTGGCTGGGTAAGGCCTCCGTGTATCGTCCGATGAGCAGCTGTGACAGCGGAAGCGGCGTTTGGGCTTCGATCGCAGTTCCACGGCTAGATGCTCGGAGATTTCGATAGGGTGTGACTGATGGTATCAATCGCATGGTGTTGTCAGCGACTTCCGAGCATGGTCGGTTCGCTTCTCTATGCGAATTTGCGGGAGCGCACCCGTCCGCAGTCTGGTTCAATAATCATTAGCGAGCGCGAGCTGACTTGTTGAGATTTAAGAACTCGTGTCTTATTATCACGGTAACCGTTCTACCTAATGTGTGTTAGTCTATGTCGTGGTCAATTAAGGGGTCATCAGTTATCATCTCAGTACTCCCGCTGGTGCATGCGACAATGCCAAGTCCTACACTGGAAGGAAAACTCACCCAGGAAACATTTCCATCCACTCCAATCCTCCAAACCATATGGAAGAGAGCCTTTCGATCTCCGCCCCGCCATCACTGATAGCGCTGTGGAAGAAACAAGCAAATACGAGCGGAACGCCACAAAAAAGGACCCCCTGCGGAGGCGTGCAGTTTCCGTGTGTCAACATCAGGCCACTTCAAGATGCAACTCCGAAACGCGATTCCGCACCTATGAGACGGCGGCCTCGAAGCGACAGCCCCCTGGGCGGAGCGGAGAGCGGAAGACGTTGAAACAAAAGAGATGATGTTATGGCGAAGCGCTTCAGATTCTTCTTGTCGTCTGCTGGGCGTAACTGGGCAGGGCCGACTCGCCACGTTGTTAGAGGTCCGACGACTGCTCCGACTTGGAAACGACAAGGAAACGACAAGGCGGCGACCAAGACCGACAACCGCCGCACTCCATGTCAAAGATCATTTCGACTCGAACCGCTGCCCCTAGCATGTGTTGGCCCCAGGCGGAGCGGGAGGCTCAGCGCTGCCTGTGGCGCTGGGTTCCAGGTTGCATACGGAAAGGGGTTTCCATATGCGACACAACTTCGTGACTGGCAAAGAAATATTGACTTGGGCAATCACGACTGCGCAGACATGCACGCGCACTGCGCCGAGACCTCCCGTTGGGCACTGCCATGCTTTTTTCCATCTGTTTCGGCACCTAAGGCACCGCAAGGCAACGGGCAACAAGCAACGAGTGTCTCGCACGTTCACCATCATAGTGTCAGAGCGCGGCCTCCGAGAGTACCGCAAGCTCAACAAATATAACATTGGGCTCGCCACAGGTAGGTGCGGTCTTGTAATCAAATGCTCCAGGAGTAAGCACGATCCTTCCATTTGACCACCTGCAGAACGCAGCCAATTCCATCACATACTTGGCATGGTGTCTTGACTATACCCAGACACTATGCAATTGGCGTTTGAGCAACACTCTGATAACATTCCAGGAACACACAGCACTACATGTGAAAATGATTTATTTACACCCTTTTATATTCCAGACGGTAATCAAGGCAAGCCAATTTTGCTGCAAGCACCTTGTCAAAATACAATTGTATACGAAACAAGCTTGTCGAAACAGCAGCCACATGTTGCGACACTTGACGCTGGTATATTTCCTTTCCCAGTCTACACGTCTACTCCAATCCTCTCTGAAGTCCATTTTTCTCGGTCTCTCGCACTCTATCATTGAACAACTCCGGTCAGACCCGCGAAGCGCTTGCGCCTCTAGCCGGGCGCATCCGAAGAAACTTATCTCGGAACAATGCTGTCATACTGGCATAACAAGCAAATTTCCTAATACTTTCAGATCCTTGGTGCTTACCGTCAATACCACTACTCTCACTGTTTCCAACACGTCTTCGTTTAGCTGGAATATTGATAACAGGAATTTCGCCATACTTTCGGCGCCGCAGTCGTCGTACGCGCGTCACAGTATTTGCAAGTAGTAAAGGGCTGTTGAGGGGACCCGAGACATCTCCGATCAACAAAACAATGATACACAGAGACGACAACAACAAAGTATGCAAAATCGTGTTGTCAGGACTTTGCTCCGAGGAAGAGTCAAGCTGCCATGGCTTGCTTAGGTAAACGCGTGGCTGCCATGCGGCCACGCAATCGTAACATTCATTTTTTCTTCTCAATCTTCTCGATTTGTCATGTTCTATTCTAACTGGGGTTCTTTTTCATGAATGGGTCAGCTGGTCGTTCGGCATTGGGTGATTTCTCATGGAAAGTATATAGAAGTCGTTGGCTTTCATGGTGTATATTCTCTCTACTCGAGTGATGGGACAGCTTTCGAACAATGTCATGGTGCAGTCAATAATGCGACGAGCTTGAGTGTAAAGACAGCAGGTTAGATGACACGCTACGCGAGACACAGTGTTGCGCCACAGCAGACAAAAGCACGTCATGGAATACGAATGGCTGTCATTACTCTAGCTACAAATACAAGTTCGCTAGACGCTTGCCTCATAACGCCATGCTCCAGGGACGAAAGATTACTGTCCCGTGTTCGAAATCAGAAGCTGAAAGAGTCAAAAAAGAAGCCCCCAGCGCCACTGCGTCAGGGCGTGGAAAACAGAGCTGCAGATGGCCATGGCCAAATCGCCCGAGGGGATATCATGTCTGCATATCGCATATCGCATGTCTCGTCTAAACACCCTTGATAGCAACGGTGCGCTCGCTGTTCAGCTTGTCCGCATTCCGGTCGTGGCTCTCCTTCTTGCAGTCCTCGAGTCCCTCGCACTTGTGATCCTCGAGCATGCGATGACGGCTGCAGTGCCTGCCCTGGCAGAAGCCGCAGTCACCGACAATGGGTTGTGCGCGGTCCTTGCAGTCCTTGAAGGAACAACGGATCTTCTTTGGGGGCATGCCGCCGCGGAGCGGGAGTGCGAGGTGGAGAGTCGAGTTTGGGCCGATGGCGTAATCAGCCAAGGTGGTGTCGGATGAGGAAAGGTGCTTGCCGGCGTGGACGATGCGCAGATCCGAGGGCGTGGAGAGGTTGGTTCGGAGAGCGAGGAGAGAGCGCAGGGTGCTTATCGATGTGTTTGAGGGGATTGTGAGGGGGATTGCTGATGCACCATGTTAGCCGTGTCTGCTGCGACTTCATAATGCGACCTGTTCCGACGCTCGGAACAGTGGCGGGAACGACTTACTGCTGCTGCCGGATACCGTCTTGACGAAGATCTGCATCGTGTCCTCGGATTCGGAGCTGGACGAGCTGATGCTGCTGATGCTGGATGAACGGCGCATAGTGGCAGTTGCGGAGAGCCAAGTACGGGCAGGTGTCGTGTGCGGGTGCGGCGAGCGTGTGAGATGACGCTGATGTGATCGGCGAGTTGTGGCGGCGAATTGACCGGCTAGATAACGGAGATGGTTGAGCGGGTAGATGCAGATAGGAGATGTTGTATACAAGCAGGAGAGTGAGAGTAGTGCGAGTGCTATGACGGAGAGTGAATGGGTGGGTGGCAGTAGCAGCAGTAGCAGTAGCAGTAGTAGTAGTAGTGGTAGTAGTAGTAGTAGTGACAGATGGAGATCAAGTAGGTAAAGGTGACGCAGACCGCTTCTTAAACAAAGGCAAATGGAGCCCCATGCTGTCACTGGTGCCTTGGTCCGACCGATGGCACTGCATTGCGCTGCGCGCTGCACTGCACACGACTCGAGCCGACATGCGTTCGCAGCGCGTCCTTTGCCTCCCCGATGCAGGGTGGCTACCACTAGCCGACCTTCTTCCATGGTATTCTATGCCTTGCATCAGCACCAAAGCTAGCCTTTCGCCCTTCAAAACACGCCTCTCATCATCGCCAGCCATGAGGCAAGTCTGACAAAGTGTCCAAGACGCCCATGCATCTACTTCCACATCATCCCTCGCCCGACTTGCCTCTTGCATGTGACACGTATCGGCGACATGCCTCGCCCACTCCTGTATGGTACTTGTGACATGCAATCTAGATCGTGTCTCATGCACCCTGCATACCAGGAACTCGCTTGTTGCCGCCTCAAGGCGTCTAACACGCCGACAACAGCAGACAGCAGCGCCTGCCACTGTATTGTGTCGGATGAGGCGCATCGCTCGGCCTGCGCCAGTGTTTGCGATTCGTGGCGCGTGCATGACGCCTATGCCCTGTGTGAGGCTGGACGACTATCGTCATAAAACAGAGCCATCGTCATCCTTGGTCTTGACCATTGCCCTGCCGCTTCCATTCGACATGCTTCGTTCTGACATATGCACAAGGCCTAATGCTCCGAGTCGATGCGGACATGCCGTTGATCATGTCGAGTCACGCTACCATCCGCCCATCATGTCGTCTGTGCGACGACCGCTTGGATCCGTGTGCGGTCGGCACCTTTGGTACTCGAGACACGTCCATTGCTCTGTACGCCTACATGGTCAAACATCTTCCAAACATGGCCTTTCCCCACGCGCGCTTCCACGCACACATCTTGTATCCGTCCTGTCACATTGCCATTGCTTCTAGAAGCGTTTCATCGTCTTCCGGACCGCTTTGGGGCCCAAACAATCATGTTTATTGCTACGCTACTATCATACACCGCTGCTAACCCAAGTTTACAACATGCTCTTTGGGAAGTCCTTCATTGCCTGTCTTACACCCAAATCGCCCAAAATCTCCTCGGTACCCCCAAGAATAGCATCGAATTTGTAGGTGCGGTGGAATTGTTCAATGACTCGACCCATTCCACCCTGGGTGATTCCGCGACCTCCGAAGATGTTGACGGCTTCATCTGCAATCTCGTGTGCAGAACGAGTAGCATACGACTTGAGTAGACCAATGGGTCCGCCGAGATGTTTTGATTGTTGCGCGTACGACATGTGCGTCATTTGGTAGGCGATAGATTCTAGCCATGCTTGGTTGGCTTCGACGTGTGAGATCATCTTTGCAAGCCTGGATAGTGTAAGCACGGGCAAGGTAGCGTGAACCCATCGTTAGAGGCAATACTCACTTCTGACGGATGGCAGGTTGCTCTATGAGCTTCTTGCCAAAAACAATTCGCTGGTTAGACCACTTCAAGCACTCCTCTACAACGGTGCGAGACTGTCGGATAACAGCGCAAGCCATCATGAAGCGCTGCAGAGGTAAAAACACAAAGTCAGCCCATGTCTCACAGACAATTTGTAGGGTCTGTGCTTACCTCGTGGTTAAAGTTACTCATGATAACAACAAAGCCCTTGTGCTCTTCACCCAGAAGATGGTCTACTGGTACCTTGGCATCGTTGAACTCGACGAATGCGGTACCTGCTGTTGTGGAGTAGCTCGTCTTGATGAGCTTGGTCTCTACGGCCTCATCGCGTTCGATGAGTAGGACAGAGAAGCCCTTTTCCGTCTTGCAACCTGTAACGAAATAGTCGCAGAACATTCCATTGGTGATCCACTTCTTTGTGCCTCGTACAATGTAATGCTTGCCGTCTGGGGTCAGAGTCGCAGTGGTCCTAATTCCAGCGACATCAGATCCAGCAAAAGCCTCGGTGATGGCTAGGCACATCTTCTTCTTGCCAGTCAACACCTCGTTTACCACGCGCGTCTTCAGCTCAGATTCAGGCATCCACTGCAAGACGGCTGTCAAGCTGATGGTCATACCAGCCATGTTGCCGTCTTGGAATCCACGAGCGTTTGCGCGCACACCTTCCTGTGCCTGAATAAGGTCATGGAGGTAGTCAAATTCCTCGCCCTTGACAACACCCATCAGGTTCTTGCCGTGGAGATGCTTTCCAGGCCCAAGACGCATGGCCAGCATGTCGTTCTCAGCCATCTTGTTGATCAACTCTTGGCTGATATATGTACCATCCTTCTCCTTTTGTTGTGCCTCGGGTGTGACGTGTGTGTCGACAAACTTGCGGACCTCCTTTTGCAGTGCCCGATGCGATTCCTTGAAGTAAGGGCTCTTGAACTGCGGTCGCAACCACAACGGTTCTGCGTATGGTACTGGGCTCAGATCGCCAGGCTTTCCGACGATGACTTCTGATTTCTCGCCCTCGATTGTGCCGATGCATAGCTCTTGGTACTTGTCCAAAACTTCTTGTCTGTGTAGATTGTAGAAAGCCGTTGTCGCATCTTGACCAGCTACCTGCTCGAGCACGACGGAGCCGCCAGGGTGGGCGTCGACGAAATCGCTCAGATCGTAGACTTTGTGGTCGATGATGCACCAGAGGTCCTCTGGTGTGTTGTGCGAAGCGACTGACTCGCGTGTGAGCGTGGCGTGAGGCATGTTGGCGGTAGTAGAAAGGGATGCGACGGTTGGGCGAGGAAGGAGCGACGTGATGCACGGCAGAGAGGACTGGAGGAGTTTAGGATGAAAGGAGAACCGGCTACCAACACTGCACTACAATATGCGGGTCTCTAGACGTTTGGCCTCGGTCTACAACATGAGCTAGCCGTCTCCGCGTAGCACTCCGTCTTGTGTGGAGCTGGCGCAGAGAACATCTGGGGAAGATGCCGAGGCACGAGAGGTAATCATGTCTCCAACACCGCTGATTGGCTGTACGATACCCACGGCTTTCCAACGGCAACCACGAATTCTGATTTCTTCATGGCAAAGTCCTTGCTCCATTATTCGGCAAGTCATCTACAAACTTCTGCACATTGTCTCTAAGACAGTTCATTCTATCACCTACCCATTGATCGGATCTAGCATTGTGACCGTCTCACCCTTGCCGCAACCTGCGCTGTGCATCAGTGGCACATGATGTGTCGTCAGTATAGCTCCAAGTAATTGTCTTCTTTTCTTTATTCTGATCTCTCGTTTTGCCTTCTGCATTCAAGTTCATCCTGCGCCGAAAACGACGTTATCAAAAGAAGACATACACCGTATACAAGGGAAAAACTAAATCGGTATAGATATAATAAGCTTTACCTTGCAGCCTACATTATCTTCTAGTAAGAAAACTTATTAAGATTATCTATGTTATAGTCTTCTAGGTTTTTAATCTATATCTATATAGCTCTCTATATACCCTTCTATAGTAGGAAAGAGGAAGTTTGTTTTTTCTCTTCAATCTAGTGATAGGTGGTGAAACCCAGCCGTTTTGCTTCGAGAGAACTTTGATATGCTATTCAGTGTCCGATCTAGCAGAAATATAGCATGGAAGACAAGAAGAGCTAGGGCGACAGCAAGATCAGGAAGCAACGTGTTCCTGCTAATTTCTCGTGTAACATTGTAGGTTTGTCGGCAGTAAAACTACTCGTGGCAGGTGTTACGCAGCGATCAAGCCGACTAAGTTCCCTTCGGTAGACCTTCAAGAAAAATGGCCCTGTTGTTCGGAGCGGAAAGTCGCACGAGCTTCAACAGACGTACATTATCTCTACTATTCAGGAATACTTTAGGAAAGGAGAATGGAGAATGTCTTGTTCCGTAGCGCCAAAGTTATCTGTCAAAATCCGAGAAGGAGTAGTAGATATAGCAAACAAGCCCCAGTCCCAGGTTACAGCTTTCATTTCCTACTTATATTCACCTAGCGTTCGCTCCGCACAATGTTATCACCTCAATAGAACTTCCCTCAGGAAGTGTGCCGGTGAAAGCAAGCCAATCATGTCGTGCCCCTCACTCTCATCTTTTCGAAGTGAAAAATGTTTGCCCCTCCATACATCCCACTACACACCCCGCCATGCCCCTCGTTGCCTCGATAAGAGCGCTTGCTCTTCTGCCCCTCCAATAGTGCCGTAATCGACAACGTGTTGCTCAACTTTCCGGATCCAGTAACCTCCCGTAACGCTGCCAATGCTGTGCGGGTGAAGGTTGAACTTCCACCAGTTTTTCAACACGTGCGCACAAATGCACTCTCAGTGTCGACTAAATTAGTTTCGCACGGCAGCAAAGAAGTATTTGTATACAAGACTTTCTTCATCAATCCATATGTGCGTCAAAGAGGCACACATATTGCTACTCGCATCATAGTGACAAGTGTGCTATTTGGTATTCTCTGAGATCTATATCGCAAACAAAAAATGTCTACATGTCTATTTTAACACTTGAGTATCGTCTCAATGTCTCCGCCGAACCTTATAGTCATATGCACAATCTCTATCGCTCGTGTACGCCTTAACACCCCTCCAGCTTCGCCAACGCCTTCCTCAACTCATCTTCTCTCTTCCCCAAAACAGCCAAACCTCTATCCACACAAGCCCTCTGAAGCTCCTCCTTCCCAAGACCTGCCCATCCGCCATCTCTATTAACCAACTTATCGTCCGTGTTCAAGTACTCCAACTTCTTCCTAACATTGCGCTGTAAGAGGAACTTGGGTGCTGTCAGAGGTAGCCAGTCAAATATTGCGGGATAGCAATCGAGTTGTGCGGCGGTAAGCGAGAGCTCGTAGAGCGTCATCTCGTTCCATTTCTTCGTGGTGACTGGCATGAGCAGTCCACTATTCGGTGGGGAAACGGATTGCGCGTCAGAAGATGCGGTGCCAATAGGCGGGCGATCCCTGCTCATCAGTCGCATTGCATCTAGAGCGACTCTTCTTAACCGGTCTTGCCGCTTGTCCTCAAGTTTCCGTATCGCGCGTTGAACCTGCTGTGGTATTCTGCACGCCTCTGGAATTACAGGCGTAATGTACATGACGACAATCGGTAACCACTCTCCAAGTAACAACACCAAAAGACCGAACGCCGGTAACCTCAACGTGTCCGATCTGCTTCTCCGCACAATCTGCCATTCCGCTCTTGTCAGAACCTCGCTTATGTCTTTGTTGGGTATTTGAGCAGCCTTTTGGCGCAGTGTCTTGGCGAATTTTGATGTTTGTCGGACGTGTGAGATGCCCGTTTTATAGAAGGCGAGGTATGCGCGACCGGCGCGGTATAGCCACTTGACAAAGTTCTGGTCTGGTTTTCGTGCGGGAACGGATATTTCGGGGGCATAGGTAAAAGGCGGTGGGTTCAACTTCTCCTTCGCTCGCATTGTTGGGACGGTTGTGGCCTTCGAAGTGGGTGTCTGCGCGGGAACGAGGGGGGAAGATTGAGATTTCTTTGGAGGTCGCGAAGAATATGTGACCTTGAGTGTGTTCACATTGCTGGTTTTGGCAGGAGGTGGTGGCATGGCCCCGCCATATTCCGCCTTCTTTGCCGGCGACGCTGAAGATGAGGCATGTCGGCTCATTTGTGTCTCCCACCTCTTTGTCTGCCTCCCCCATTGTATGATATCCCGGGACCCATCATGCCATATTTGACAGCTCAATGCAGGCATCGTGGCCCGGGTGTGTATACTTCGATGGCATTTCAGGTTTGCGACGACAGTGTAAGATCGCGCTGGTATAGGAAACGTGGGAAACATTGGCCGCGGTTTCATTGTCGTGTGAAAAGCATGCGCGCACCGGCAATACAACAATACAGCAATACAGCAACAGAGCCAACGTTGGCTGACGGCTACTAGTGGTGACGTTTCTCATTCGTAGGGCAAGAAAAAACTGGGTCTGATCGTGCCGCGGGAGACACGCGCGATGTCATCACACCTCGCGTCAGCGCTAACTCGACTTGGTCAACCAATGATTGTTGTAATAGATGCGTGACACAAGCTTGCTAATGGACCGGAGTTGTGCAGCTTTATTTGAATGCTTGGAAATATCCCCCGTCTATGTCGTAATTGACGCTACACCATCTCGTTAACCCATTGCTTGCGCCTTGCTGATGCCAATATATACAAGAACGCGAAAGCGTTGCAAAACGCCAATTTGCCTCTAAGGGCTTGAAAGAGACTCCAAGCACATATGCATGGCATGGTATTGTGCGCCCATTAACACCTCGCAGAACGCTATGTCAGATCAAATCAAAATAGGAAGCTACCATACACAGGAACTAAGGAAATTCGTAGAAGATACAAGGACCCGACCGTTACAGGCCAGACAATATGAAAGTAAGTAGAGCAAAACCTTGAATAGAAGGGGACAATGTGGTAGGGCCTCATCCAGAATTTACAACGCACGTTGACCCAGAAGGTAAGTCGTCGCCAGGGATTGTTTGAGTCGCGTGGGTTATGATGAGGTCGCCAGGAAATTGTCGCAAGGGTATTCCATAAGGTTGCTGCGCGGAACAAGGATGCGAGGGCCTTCGGGGTTCACCATTCAGGGCCAGGTGAATAGCATGGGTCCAACGGTTTACTGTGTTTTCGATGAGCTGGTTCGTGGGAGATGCATGGCTACTTTTCAGGGGGATTTGGATGGATGGGCGCAGTCGGGTTTGGTTGGTTGGAATATACAACATGTCGATACATGTGCGGATGGAGTGGCATATAGGACATGGGTTATTGTAGCAATGTCGGGTTTATCTGGTGGTAACCTCCGAGACAGCCGTGCTTGATATCTAGGATTTTGGCTGTACGGAAATAGTTTACTCAGCGTTGATACTGAGCGAGCTGGGCCATGATTTCAGACATGTCTGGTGTGGGGCCAGCTTGAGTAGGTGTCTGTACTGGTGGAGCGGCGGCCTGGCTCTGGTTTGCGAATAGAGAAGCAAGTGCGGGGAACTGGTTGCCCAGCTGCGCAAGATGTGGCTGAGCTGGGCCACTGAAACCAGGGGTCTGAACAGGACTAGGCACCTGGGCAAGCAGGCGTGCAAGATCGGCATTTAAGCCTTGATTCGGCGCGGGTTGCGCATTTTGGGGTATGTTGTTGCCGGACATCGCACCGAGCAGCTGCGACAAGCTAGCACCGTCGAGGGATGCTATGAGATTAGAGATGTTGGGTTGAGTGGTTGGCAGAGACGGGAAGGGGTTATTCGGTTGAGGGAAGTGCGGTGGCAGAGTCTGACCGAAGCCATACGAGGATGATGGCGGCAGAACCGGTCGCAGCTGGGTTTGTTTGGCATTGTTGACGAGAAGACCAGCCGTCGTGGGGTCAAGATCGGCGTATTCTAGGAACACGAGTCAGTAGTCACTCATACAAAGCATAGGCAATCATACCATTGAACTGGACATTGTTGGCACCGCCACGTCGGTCGAAAATCTGGACGCTGACCTTACCTTTGGTCAGGCCAGTAGTATCGAGCCTCACAATAGCTAGGACTCCTTCGAGGATTTGTCTGCGAACTACAGCTGGTTCAGGGAATCGACCACTCAGTATCAGGACGTTACTGCGTAAGTTTTGCGAGCGGAAAGTATCCTCGACGTAGCGAATGAAGTCACTACAACAGTGTTAGCGCCTGCTCTCACGCAGCGGATGTTGAACATCAACCTACCGGGGAAGTCCCTCATTGAGCACAAGAATCTGGATATCAGGTACCTCGTGGGGCAATCGGCGTCGAAGGTCCAATCCATCTTCTGTATAGTCGCGACGTGGAGATGGGCTTCTGTGTCTGCGTGGTGGTGTCCTGGACCTGCTACGATATCGCGCATCGAACCTGTCGCGGCTTCTATCTCGTGATCGTATGCCCCGAGGAGGAGCCCGTGGCGATGGCGACCGCATGGGTCGGTAATCATCTCGATCGCGAAAGCGTCGATCCCTCGGCGACATGGAGTTTGGATGCCCTACATAACGATTATCCCTGGGCGCCGGTCCCGTCCCGCCCCTAGTATAATCCGGGGAACGCGAGCGTCGCCGCGGTGTCGGATTAGGTGGTTCTATCTTTTTCGTGTTTCGCTGGGGCTTGGATATCTCGAGGTCTGTTCTCGTCAGTCCACTGTTAACTAGTCGTGTAGTGAGGTGACTTGACATACGCATCTTCCTGCCACGCACTGCCTGTCCCTGTTCGGCATCCAGGGCCCTGCGACATGACTCCGAGTCAAGGAATTGAACGAAGCCATATGCCTGCTTGATCGATATCTGCGCGAGCCTGCCGTGGCGGTAGAAACGGTGAAAGATGTCGCGCTTGGTGACTTTTTCAGTGGGGAGGTTTCCTAAGAAAAGGTTAGGCGCATCCTTGGTGCCAAAACAATCCCATCTCACCAATGAAGAGACGCGAGCCCATGGGGAATTGGTCCCATTGCCCCTCCGTTACAAACTTCCTCTCTTGATCCAAAAATTCCTCATATCTTCTATTCACCTCGGGCGGCCACCTCTGGTCTTCGTCGTCGGGCGTTTCGCTGCGTTCGCCCGGCTGCTGCTGAGCATGGGCAGACGTTGTAGAGAAGTCCTGATTCTGCACGTTCATTGGCTGAAAAGAGCCATTTCCTCTCTGCTGGGCATTGGGTGCTTGCTGACTCTGTGGATGATAGGATCTGATATCATCGTTGGGGTCATAGTTGGGGTGCGTAGCGGGCTTATCTTGGGTAGGCGGCCTCGCAGGGAGATTGGTGGCCGAGGGCAAGGACGAGGCATGGTGTTGTGTCTGCGGTGACTGGAGGGACACTTGTGCAGAAGCATATTGAGTCGAGGGCGCATTGTTGGCAGCAGGTGTCAGAGAATCCAACAGGGCTTGTACGTCAATATTGGAGCCAGTATGCGCTCCAGTCTGGTAGTGAGCGCCTTGGGTAGACTGGGCGGGCGCATGCTGAGCAGCATAGGCATTGTCATGGGAGTATGGGTACGCAGAATGAAGACCTTGACCAGACGCGTGCTGCGCGTCACTGGCCGAAGCAGCGCGCGACTGATGCTGTGAGGTGAAATTCTGCATTGAAGAGGTATCATGCGGCTGCGTACCCATGCTGCCACCAAAACCAGTCGACTGCGAGAAAGCACCCGGCGCATCATGTCCTCCACCCTGTACGCCTATAGTGTGGAAGTTGGCGGTCGCGGACTGGTCGGCGAAGTACGGCGTGGACGTGTTCGCGTTCGCGCTGGAGCTGTGCGCCTGCTGGGGGAAATGGGGAGCGGAAGGAGCTGCAGAGTCGGTGTTGCTGAGTGAGACATCATTATAGTTTGCATCCATGTGCTCTACAAGGATGGGAATGTTGGCGGGCGACGGGACGTTTTGCGGACGCGGGCTCTCCGGCGTCAGTGACTGGTGCCGTACGTGCTCAGCTTCTTGCGGTGGACTGGAGTTGGGTCTCATGTAGACTGCGGAGCCAGAGCGCAGAGCTGGCAGACAAGGCGTGGGTGAAGGGGAAGTCAACTCAAAGCATCTACGGAACGCACCGTCGCGACAAGGGCTGGAGAGCTGCAGCAGATTGAGCACTAGAAGAAGAAGAAGCCGATGGCGGGGCTGGCTAGGTGCTATATGATGGTCGAGGTTAGATGGATGGGATGGCAGACGCGCGAAAGCCACAGGCACGGAAGCGAGAAGCGGGTCCCGTAAAAGTGGCAAGAGATGTTGGGTGCAGTCAGGCAAGGTGCAAGAGGGAATGTGGTGCAGCAGATGTTGGGACACGGCGCCGTGTCGACTCCGAGGATAGCCTGGAATCTCGAACTTCTCTGGTTAAGCTTTGCCCACGTGATGTGCTTTAGTGCCCTTCTAGCGTCCGTTATGTGGTTAAAATGGTCTTTCTGACCCTAGCCTGTGCACATGCCCGTTATAACATGATCTCATCTTGACAAAGCCCAACCCCCCGAGCAATTTGCGCGACCGGTGATGCTGCCTCGACGTCTTGTCTTCCATTCGCTCGTCCCGTTCCAGTTTCGAACAAGTGCCAGCAGTGCCGCTGGCGACGAGCTTCGCGCTGCGCGCAACTGGCTTGCGAGCCTGGATGCAGAGACGATCCCTCTGCAGAGCATTGGCGAACTGAGCTTCAGCAGATCATCAGGCCCCGGTGGCCAGAACGTCAACAAGTATGACACACTACAATAAATTTCCAAACGTGCGCGCTATACTAAAAATGTGCACAAAGAGTCAATTCAAAAGCTACATTAAAGGTGCCTCTAGACGCCCTGCTGCACCATGTCCCTGCAGCTTTGCATGGCGAGATTAGACGTTCCCGCTACGTAGCTGCTAGGTCAAATACTATAATAGTGCAGGCCGACGACAGTCGAAAGCAGAGCGACAATGCTCAAAGTTGCTACAAGCGCTTATACGAAGCCATTGCCCGGGCTGGACAAGACGCTGTCCCCGCCGAGACGCCAGCAGCACAGGTGCAGCGTGTCAAACATCTGTATGTTTTCGTCCATTGCGACGGCCCTAGCGACGGCCCGAAAGCTGATAACACACCAGACAAAAGTCTGATAACGAGCGCCGCCTCAAGAGCAAGAAGCAGCAAAGCGCTAAGAAGACGTCGCGGCGAGGCCGGGGTGATGAGTGAAGCGGTCTGCGGGGAAGCGGCTTGCCACAGCATCATTGATCAGCTTGACGCGCAGGTGACGTGGTTCAACCGTTAAACGGTAGCACGTCTCACGATAGTGCGAGTGTGGCCGTAGCGGTGTAGCTTATGGTATTCGATCCGATAAGAGATAGGAAGAATACTTCATGCAGGGAGTGCTCGGTACAATTAGTGTCTGCTGACCAAGGTCTCTTGATCCTTCACGTTTCCATCGCCGACGACAAATTCTGGAGCGCTTCATTTGCAGGCCAGTACTTGACGCCCGTCTGCACCAACAACTCCGAATCATCTCTCTTTCCCTGCTGTCGTAGCGATTCGGCCAGTCTAGCAACCTTATCGCCTTCACCACTTTCCATGGCCCGTACATACTTGCGTAGTGCTGCTCGCGATGCCTTCTGCAACGACGAATCGCTATCCGCAAGTAACCGGTGCAGAGATAACAGCCGTCGAACAGCGACTTCGGAAACCCTGACAGTTTCCGTGGGATGTTGCTGAATGGCGGAGCTTATCAAATCCAAGGCCCTGCTTAATGCAAGGGCGATCTCTGGGTCGGTAGGATCGCAACCAAATAGCAGCATGCGGAACCTGCAGATAGCGGTCTCCACGGCTTGTGGAGAGTTATCTTGCAGGTAATCTAGCACGTGCTGCAAGATGCGTGGTATGCAGGCTAGCTGACTAAACTCGGCAAACATCTCGAAGAAGCTGTCGGCGAGTTTGGCCTTGCCCTGGAACTGCTTCATGGCGGAATCGAAGACTGCCAGTGGGATAGCGCCAGTGAGTACTGGTGCAGAGGCCAAGTTCTGCAGAGCTACCTCATCCACACCGTCATCCTGCTTCAAGCTGGGATTCACATCCTCGGCGGTCACCTCGGGGAGCGCAATCATGTCTTCGTCCCCGTCCTCATCTGTGCGCGACTTGCTTGTGCGATCGATGTCCAAACCGAGAATCTTCCTCCGACCAGCGATCTTGCCAACGTAGATAGTCTCGAGCTTCGCGTATTCCAGCCACATGACCTCGGAGTTCTTGCAGAAGCGCAGCCCTCGCTGCATATAGCTCCGCGCATTGGTAATGTCGGCCTGTGTATCCATGAAGTAATTGGCCGCAAGGATCCATATGTCAGGCTTGGTAGGGTGGAGTCGAGCGACCGAGGTGAAGATGTCGTTCAGTCTCTTGTATGCCTTGTCCTTGCGCGCAAAGTCGATGTATTGCATCCATAGCACCAGGTCGCCCGGGAACTTGCGCGTTGCCCGGTTGTAGAGAAAGTAGATTGTCCGCTGACCAGAGCCCTTGTACCGTACACCAAGTCGCTTTACTCGTTTGCGGCGGAGAGCATCGACACTCTTTTCGAATTCGATGTATCGCATGTAGTCCTCAGGGTGCGAGCCTCTAGCATTGATGATGTGTTCGAAGTCGGAGCGTTTCTTCGCTATGGAGCCGATCTCTTCCTACGGATTGTTAGAAGACATGGCGTAGCGCGAAGATGCGCGTATCTTACCCGTGTGAAGATTTTCTTGCGCTCAAGCTCGTTCAGCTCCGTCGCCGACTGCTCGAGGTAGAAACGCGCCTTGTCACTCGGTCCGGCCATGTTTGCGCGTGTCCAGTGTTGCTGGCAAAGTTGAGATCAGAAAAGTTGACCGTGCCTTAGAAAAAAGTTAGGCTAACGCTGCTCCCGCCGATAGCGCCTTGGCTGCGGACCTCGGAAGCGCGAACCCTGGCCATGACAACTTCAGGAGGCTCGCGTGTCTGACGACTGCGAATCATCAATTCACGACGCTCTTTTGCTTCTTTCTTCTCTTCCAATGCTCGAGCGTCGCTGAGAGGCTACCTGCATCTTTTACAATGGTCAAGGACAAGGACGGCGACACCGTCGCTACGGTACGCGCAGGCAGACCTCACCCCCGAGAGCTCCGCATGCTCACAAGACGTAGTTCAATGGAAAATGGATATCATATTCGCATACCGCCATGGCCTACTGTATGTCCATGCTAGGCCCCTGTAATTGGCTGTACTGACGACAAGCACAGGTGCCTTTGTCGGCGCCCTCGTAGTTGGAATGTACGCACTTGACTCTCTGCTACCCCACGACGCGACTGAACATCCGCAGATGGCTACACTACCACAAGATCGTACAGAACGAGTTCTACGTTAGTCGCATGCTGCATGTCAGGCTTCAGCTATACTGACAACATACCCAGGGCTACCCAGATGAATGGTTCCCATCCGTGTCCGCGACTATCGGTGACCGCTATCCAGAGCGTTCGGTGTTTATGCTCTTCATCGCCCTCACATCCGGTATGGAACAAGGCCCGACACATAGACGACTATACTGACATATGCAGGCCCTCGATTTGCGCTCGTCGGCCTTTGGTACATCTTGACCCGCCGTCCTAACTCGTCCCTCCCCAAGTTCATCGCTGGCGTTGGCATCTTTCGGACCTTGACATGCGGGGGGTGGACATATGTGACCTCTACAGACGACCATGACTGGCACGACATTTTCATGATCTCATACCTTGTCGCGACCCTTCCTTGGACCTTGGGCTGTGTTGCTCTCAGCCCCAAGAACCCCACTGCTCTCAAGTACCGAAAAGTCCTCGCTGCCAGCTTTTTCGGAACTCTTGTGCCATTGATATACTTCTTCATTCAACACAAGGTACATCGTGTTGCCGGAGGTATGTCATCTCACTGTACTGTCAGGTCCTTGTTAATATGTTTCTAGCCTACACTATCTACGCTTTCTTCGAATGGGCACTGGTTCTGCTCGACGTAGCCTTTGATGCTGTCACGATGATCGAATTCCAACATTTGGAGATTGTCGTCAAGGATGTTCGAGGTGTATCCCGCCTGTACGTTCCTCGTCTCCCAATATAGATAGACACTCATCAAGAATGTATACTTCTTACGATCACCTTCTGACAATATACCTCTTGTAGTGCGGGCTCCAAATCTACATCAGACAGCATCCAGGAGTAAGCTGTCATTTGCTTTCGGAATGCGAAGCGTTACTGACGTTTCCAGAAAAAACAAGGACATGAGCGCGACCTTCTCAGGTGCCTTTGTCTGGTCCGGACTCATTTATGCTGCGGCAGATGTGTACAATGGAGTAAGTGGCATGTCAAGATGCTACTAGACGCAACTGACTGGTTCACAGTTTGTCTTCTGGTCCATGCTTACTTCCCTTGGCGTCTGCGTCTGGTGTAAGTTCAACTCCAGCTTCATGATTGTAATATCTTTGTTGATGACCTGTAGACTTCCCGCTTTGGCACATGGGTATCTCTGGTTATGAGGCCTTGGTTATGTGCACCATCACTCCCTTCTTCCTTGGCATCAAGCCCATACGCTACCTTGCCACTCGCTACGTCTGGTTCTTTCATTTGCTCTCACTCTCTGGGCTTCTTGCCTTTCTCGCAAAGACGCCTGTCAACCGACTCTTCGCTGTTGGTTTTGGTCTATCCATGTCGTGCCTCGCATGGTCTGCTACTTTCTTCGCCGAACGATCCCAACCACATCGCCTCGAAGCACGCATCTCTGCTTTTGCTATTGGTCTAATAGCTTCTAGTATTGCCAAGTTTGCTTTTTGGACAAACAACCCAATCTGGCCAATTATGCATGAGGCGAACGGCGGATGGAACAGGACCGGTCTTGTCGTTGCCTTCGTATCGATGCTCATATCGACCAGATCTACTGCCAGCTCTGGTGCTGATGTGCCAGCTCAGGGCCCTACTAAAGGGTCGTCCGTTTTTGCGAGCTTCGGTTTAGCAGGAGTCATGTTCGCCATGCACTCGCTGCTCTCCGACTCGAGTACGATGATCTCTTGGGTATGGGAAGGCTACCCCGTTCGGGGTCCCCTGGCTGTTCCCCATGGCACTTTGACTTTGTTAGCTATGGGATTCGGTCTTACGGTTGGGTTGTTCGCGCCAAACCTGTCGAGATCGTGGGCCTTCTACGGCGTAGGTTCAATTGGCGCTGCCGTTCTAACTACCACTAGTCACTGGTCTGGGTTCTATGGTGCCCTTGTTCTTGCCATGTACACTATGGCAGCAGCACCTATCCTTATTGCCCACGCGGCGCGCCACTCGCCAGGCCGGACGTTCGGACTCGGATTCTTGGTCTACAACTTCATGGTCCTCTTCCACGTCTGGGTTGTAGCCTACGCGTTCGTTCCTGGTGGCCCGCTCGTCCGCGAACATACAGACTGGGTCATGACAGCTATGATGCTCCAGATCGGTGCTGGCATCTTCAGTGTCTCTGCGCAACCGCCTGCACTTAAGAACTACAAGGGTAAGGCTGTCATTACTGCAGCCGCCGGTAGACAGCGGTCCTACTACCTGTACGTTCTTGGTGCCCTGGAGCTGATTGCCATCGCTACTGCCTACCTACGCTTCCCGTCATACGACTACACACCCTACCACCCAGAAACCAAGACCATCACTGCTGGTATCTGGACGATACACTTCTCCCTTGATAACGACATGTGGTCTTCTGAATACCGCATGCGTGACCTGATCAAAGAAATGGAAGTCGATGTCATAGGTCTCCTAGAAAGCGATCTCCAACGCATCATCATGGGCAACCGCGATACAACACAGTTCCTTGCCGAAGACCTAGGCATGTATGTCGATTTTGGCCCGGGCCCGAACAAGCATACATGGGGCTCAGCGCTCCTCTCCAAGTTCCCGATTGTAAACTCTACACACCATCTCCTCCCGTCGCCCGTTGGCGAACTCGCTCCCGCCATCGAAGCCACAATCGATGCCTACGGTGAGATGATCGATATCTTCGTCTTTCACTCGGGCCAGGAAGAGGACCCCGAGGATCGCCGCCTACAGTCAGAATATCTAGCCGAACGCATGAAGGCTACGCCTCGCCCTGCCATCCTCTTGTCGTACTTGGTCATCAAACCTGGCGAGGGCAACTACAATACTTATGTGGGTGAGAAGAGCGGAATGAAGGATATCGATCCGTCAGACTGGGATAGATGGTGCGAGTACATTCTCTTCAAGGGGTTGAAAAGGAGTGGGTATGCGCGTGTTTCCAGGCATACCATTACGGATACCGAGTTGCAGGTAAGTTGATCCCTCTCTTCTCGTCTATCGTACCAGAACGATGTGGTGCTAATGATGTTGATGCAGGTGGGCAAATTCGTCGTCGGCGAGCCGGAGAATGGAAACGAGCTTGTACATGAATCGCAGGTTCCTGCTGGTTTGAGATTCCCGGAACTGTTCAAGGGACATGGTGTCAGGGGGCATAGGTACCACGTCTTCAATGAGCCCAGATACTATGCTTGAGCTGGAGGCATGGGCTGAACAGATTGGGAGGAACTGAAAATTGGGTTATTTGGAATAGACTTGTACTGTATGATAACCAGGAACGGGAAAATACAGCTGTAGTATTGTTTCATCGTCCATGTGAATTCTTGGATACTACTTGTTGTCCACTACCGATACAGCGCTTCGTGTGCTGTTGCCCAGGAATACAGATGGCTCTACAAGAGCCATAACAGGACGCCCATACCCATGCATGCATTGCGCAAGTCTTTGCCACGCCCAATTCGTAAAACCCCAAATGCCGAACCCATACTTTTCGATCATTCCTTCATCCCTTTCATGATCGTCATCATCTCCCCGATTGTAACCTCCCCAGAAGCTGTTGGCTCTCCCTCCCATTGTAAAAACACAAATGCATTGAACACAACATGCGTCACGCTCATTTGGCAACAGCCGCGCTAAGAACCTGTGTCCTGAAGAAGCCTCCCTTTGTCCTCTCGATGACTTGCTGGTAGACGGACTGTGGTGGGTGGTTCATGACGACCGTGCCGGCCTGGTAATCGATCTTCGCATCTACACGAGTGTCCCGGATAAGGTTGACAATCCACTTCTCACCCTCATCTTGCGAAAGACCGAGACGAGTTGAGAGGTCCCTGATCATGTATTAGTGTGATGCCAAGGGCGGAGAAATGGCCAATACTCACTTGATATCAATCCTCTGATGGATTTTGCAGTAGCTCTCTGAGATGAGATGTCTCGCCGCATCTACGAACTGTTCCGCTGCACCCAACAAGAAGAAATCGTTCTTCAGAATCTCCTCGGTCTCGCTGAGTTTCTTCTGCGCCTCCTCGAAGTCAAAGTCGATGTACAAGGCCTTGATGAAGTCGGTGACGGGGTCACTGTATTCGTAACCCTCCTGTCGTACAATCCTGATCAAATCCTTGAGCTGCTTCTGGTACTGGTTCGAGTTGCGGCCACGGTTGCGGCCGGTAATCACGGCAGCAGAGAGGTAACGCAGGATCCAGGGGCAGTTTGTCTGGATGGTGTTGATGTATGCGGGGGAGAAGAACATGTCGGTGAGGGTTTCGCGCGAGGCTTCGTGGTTGAAGAGGGGGAAGAGCGACCAGTGGATCAACCAGGTGCGGTGCTGCAGCTGTGCGAGCGGGTTGTTGAAGAGGCGTGTGTCGATGATCTCCTTGAGCTTGTTGATCTCCTCCATGGCCGAGTCCCAGTTTACGGAGAGGATTTCGCAGGCGAGCTTGCCCCAGGTGGCTTCGCGCTCCTTGTCGCCGTCTGTGGTCTGTAGTGAGACGGAGTCAGTAAGCAAACCAAGTACGAGGGCGCGTTGGGCAGACGTACCAGAACCCTGAATCGGTAGAGCAGCTCAGCGGCGTGGGGGTATACACCGCACGAGTACTGGAACTGGCCAAACTCGAGCAACTGGTTGACCATGTCCATGTCCACACCATGGCTCTCCTTGAGGTATGCCAAGTTTTGCTGCTTGTCGCTCCTCAGGTTTGTGACGACGTTCTCGTCGTCGAGCAGGCCGCTGATCTTGCTCGTCGCCTCGTCGAGCTGGTCGCGCTTCTTCAGGACCTGGTCGCGCTTGGTCTTGAACTCGTCGGACATGTCGTCGAGGCCGTGGACTTCCTGGTGCAGCTGTCCGACGAAATCCGTCATGTTGGTGGGCTTGAGGAGTTCGAGGAGGAGCTTCTTCTGCTCGACGGTCTGGTCGGCTTCTTCATCGCTGGAGAAGTTGAGGAGCGGGTAGACGAGATGACGGTCGAGGTTGGGCATAAGCTTGGGGAGGAGCGAGTACTGTTCGGCGACGTTGGCGCCATTTGCCGCTGAGTCGGCCATGTTGGGTGGATGTCGCAGCTGTGTGGGTGCAACGTGGTGGGTGAGGTTGGTGGAGCGGGCGAGGCGCGAAATTCGTTATGTCGGCCGTGGCGGGGTGAAAAAACCCGCGACTGTGCGCAAGCGAGGTACCCTGTACGCTAAACTTGTGGTGTTGAGCCGCGAGCCATGGCAGCAGCCTGCACGTCACAACCAGGCTATCCGCTTCGTCTTCGCCGTCGCTGTGTTTGAACGGCTCCTTGCTGGAACAGCATGCCTCCATCTCAATCTCTGGTCCCGCTGCTGCGGCCATTGGCTGCCCCAAGAGCAGTCGCATGCCGACAGCACTTCCGCTTCTACACGGCCTCTTCCCAACACCCATCCACGCCCCAGCAAGCCCAGCGAGCCGCCGACCTTGCTGCCGCAGAGTCGCTGACCGAAGGCGACAGTGCGCAACCGCCCCAACAGAAGCCCGTACTGCCCTCGAAGCATCCACGAGCCGACAACAAGCCAAGAGATAGCAACAAGCCAAGAAATAGCAACAAGCCAAAGACATCGTCACAAGCACTCAAACTGTCTCTGCCGCCGCCCAAGTACGCAGTCTCGAGATCCGTCAACAAGAATCTGCCCATCTACACCGACTACAAGCGAGGAGGCAACTTGCACTTGACAACGGTACGCAAGATCACAGGAGACGTATCAGCGCTGAGGGACGAGCTGAGAGTCTTCCTGAACAAGAAGAACGAGGACGTCAAGATCAACAGCGTAACACAACATGTTGTTGTCAAGGGCCATCATACTAGCGAGATTGCGCAATTCTTGAAGGCCCGGGGCATGTAAATTCCCCAGCGAGGCGCATGTTTGACCGAAGAAAATGGGGCGCAGAACAGAGCATGGAAACGAACCCATCTCTGCTGTAGCAAAACTTGTATCATACGGGAACGAGTGCAGACGATTAACCTTGGATACCATGAGGCGTCAAGAAGCGACGAATGGGCATATTGTACACCACCATGACGGGTAGCATTGACTTCATAAAGTAATCACCCGAATTTCATTACTATTATAAGAAGCTTCAATCTGTACCTCCACATTACTGGTACAAGGCCTCCAGATTCTTCACACCCTTCGTCCTGCCTAACTGCATTTTTGAGCTTTCATCAGGTCTTGGGCCGCCGATAGTCGTACTTGAACACTTCTTAGAATGGACATACTAGTAAAACTTAGCTAGAGACCGTACAATAGTCATGCGCTGGATACCTTACCACAAAGGTTGCCCTACTCTATCGGTGGACGGGGACAGACAACCCAGCACTTGTCGTCGTCACAGCGTTCATGACAGGGTGGAGGTAATGTACCGCGCTTCTGGGCCCCCTCTCCTTTGGCCGATGGAACGCAGCATGCATAGCACTGACCGAAGTAGCACTCCCAGCGGCATCTGAGAGAGGAAAAATCCATAACGGCATTGGCGTCGGCGGAGCCGACAGCCATTGTCGGAAGACAGACGGCCCAACACTGGCCAAACATGCATTCCCAGTGGCACTTGGGCCCGCGGTTAGCAACGTCAGCCTTCCCAACGTCGATGTTTTTATCCTCATTCTCATCGACATCACAGATCATGCCGCAGAGCGAGTCGTCCGTACTACACACCTCGCGACAAAGCTTGGTTGGGATGTCCGGAATTTCCTCGATGCTGGTTTCGCTCCCAGCTACATCTTGAAGAACAGGATCAGTCCAGCATATACCAGAAGTCCAGTCACAATGGTAGAGGAAAGGGTTCTTTAGTTGCGCATGGCTCGAAGAGACGGAGATGGTGGTGTCGGTTTTCATGTCGGCTTCGTCGATGACGAGTGCGCTATTGGCCCTGAGAGCTGCAACGGCATCGTCGCCGATACATTGCCGCGTGCAGTATGTATGAATACAGACCCAGAAGCACCGCTTTGCTTCCTCGCGCTTCATTACTGGAGCCATAGAAGTCGAAGAGCTCTCAACAACGACATTGCCGGCAGTAGCAGAGTCGGAGCCGTTGAGTTGCTGGTTAGCGCGGCAACTACTACGGCATCGATAGCACTGCGGGATTGTCAGTTCATGTTCCGGTATACTCTAGGTTCAAAATCCACACACAAGGGTGGTACATCATTAAATCAATGAACTTACGTCGGGATCTTTGCATCGCAATCGGAAGCATTGGTCCTCAGTGAGGCCAATTTGCTTACAAAACAGGTTGATGTATACACAGCGATAGCAGTTGACCTCAGTTGACACGTTGTTGGGGACATTGTCTGAGGTACTGGCTGGGATAGCGATCGAGACGTCGCTAGGGATAGTGGTCGGGACCGAGACACCGCCAGTAGTGGGAATTGCAATGGGTGAAGCCGTGGTCAAAGCAGCCAGCAGGAAGAGCGCGAGAATTTTGAAGAGCTGGAGCGGAGTCATCTTGATGGTTGTGTCGTGGTTGCTTTGTGTGCGTCAAGGAAGGGTGGGGCGGGTGAACGAAGAAGATAGAAATCGAAGGTAATAAGAGCAAGTACGGGTCGGAGCGGATCAAAGCAAACGGGAGTGTACCCGATGAGGGAGGAGGTGAGAGTCTGGCGGAAGCAGAAGCGTGTTTGCACTCGGCTCCGTACGCGAACGGCGGTCTAATACGGCGCGCAAGAAAATACTCCCTCGAGGTGGCACGCGAAAGTCGGAAGGCAGAAGTGAAAGTAAAAATGCAATATGAAGAAAATGATATGGAGAGGAAGACGTTGGACAGGACATACGTATATGATGGGCAGATTGTAATCGGTGGCAACATCCTCAGCACTTTGTTACCATGCGATTGAAGCATCATCATCATCAGAGCCGTCGAGAGCTCACAAGAGTTCTTGCACAGGAGATTTGCTTTGGATGCATAGTGCTTCATTGATGTTGGATGTTGTCATTGAATAGCTCCACAACGCTGCAACGTAGATATGGAAGTTGCGTGGGTGCCGACGGTACTAAACTTCCGTTGTTGGCTTTTATTGGCGATAAGTGATCACATGCACACTGACTGGTCCTTGGAAGTCTCGACCATGACACTGGTGCAGACAGCGATCTGTACGTGAACAATATAGTCTAACGTACGACCGCGGATTAAAATCGCATGGCGACCGTGTTTTCATGCTTATATCACACATGTTGGTACCTGTACGAAGGAGAAATGCATACAAACCGACGCGCGAAAACTCGTCTGAAGCGCAAAAGTGCACACTTTAAGCGTTGCAGGCCTATATTCATAAATCACCGAGCGTCATAGCATCCATATCTCATTTACTCAAGTACATCCGCTCCGGAGTAGCTGTACCCTTCTGTGGTTTTGATGGACCGACGTTGAATTTACATTCAGGCTATGATCAACCATACCTACTTGAGCTGGTCGACACTCTGGACCCTGACGACAATAGGCCCAGGAAGGAACCTCCACTAGTAAGCTACAGGGTGGCACTTAGCACGAGGCAGTGGTAGGATCGACTGTTCCGCAGAGCGCGCTTTCGCTGGACCAATCTCGCTCCTATTTATTCACCTTGGTCTGTCGCATGCCAGGTATCTTGAGACCCTTACGGATATAACGTTCGCGTATCTGTCGATCGTGTAGGGCTGTCGAATTGGTAGCTCAGAAATGCCATGATGGTCCATGCGGTTTCGCTAAACCCGATCTAGCAGAGACAATCCGATCCCACCGCACCCGTGTATTGTCGACTGCCGTGTGATCGATGCGCTGTATGAAGGCTTGCTTCGACGTGCAGCTCGCTCCAAATCTCTAGTATCATATGGCCATCTTCAAATTCCTAAGTCAGCCAGTGACGCAAGTAGTTTTTTGCCTTGATCTTGACTTTGGCTCACAGAAACGCTTTTCCAGAGAGATCCTGGGTTTGCCTTCTTGTGCTCGTCTCGGCCAAACGTGTCGCTACGAAACCGTTGGTGTGGAGTTGCCACCATTCATAGGTCACGTCACGGATCACGGTCCGTCCATGAATAATTCTATGTCTGAAGGTAATAGCCGACGAAGCCTACCAGTATGACTCTTGCATAATGTGCCTTATTGTACCGTATGCTACTACCTTTTATGTTACGAAGCAAACCTTTAAACCCAAATTCGTGGTATAGATTGAACATTAGTGCTGCCAGCCCATTGTGGTATCGTATGCAAACCGGATTTCATGAATTCATGTAACCGACATAAGCCACTCTCAAGACGTAGGTTGGCTGTGTCGTAGGGCATGCGTATCGCTTTCTGATAACTGGCGATGGAAATTCTGAGTACAAAATCTTAAAGCTTTTATGGATATCCTTGAAACCAATTCGAGAAGCAACACGCGTAGGGATCGCACTATCAAAACTCGCGGGCTATACGTATGCCTAGTAAGAAGTCGGTAGGATACAACATTGGGTAGATTGGACAAGTCTCCAAGCTGGCCAAACGGCGTTGCAACAGCAGATGTTCCAGTTCATGCTTCGTGTGAAAATGATATCTCTATGAGTGTCTTGGCTCCCAGGCTTTGTTTATTGCGGCTCAGAAAGGTCTAAATACAAAGTAAATACACAGATCTTGGAAGGCGATCTTGAATGATCAACCGTTCTGCGTCTTTGAAAAGCGATGCACCCATGCTTCGAACAGGTTCAGCACAGGAGAATGCACCTAGTCCTAGTCTGCAGGGTCTACACTTGAGGATGCTGCTGGGAAATTGCACGCTCTCACTGCGTCCAGAAGTGTTCCTGGGCGACCCTCTCTACGCGAATCTGGTTGTTTTCTCTCGGAATCTCTGCGGCGGTGACGGCGTGCGACTGTCGGTGTTCGTAGGTACGGCTAGGGAGGCCAGCGGGCTGGAGGTGTGGATAGTCTCGGCTAGGATGAATTCGCGTGGTAAGGGTGCTCATGAGCGCATGCGTGGACGACGGAACTGCAAACGCGTAAAGTCGCCTGGGGAGGGCCTGGGGAGGGTGCAAAGTTCTAACTCCCAAGTTCGAGACGAGATCCGGACTTTGCTGATCAGAGCAACTCTTGGCGACAAAATCGAGAGAAGTAGATCGACCTCTCCAATGCAGAGACAATCTAACTCTGCACGTTGGACGTTCCTGAACACATTTCAAGTACACCACTTGTGTGATATGGGTAGTCCAATTGTGTGAGGCCATCTTAAGGGTCGCTTTACGACCTGCTGGGACCTCGATACGAATCAGTGTTTTTGGATTAGGAGCATTTTGGCGGCCGTTTGGCGAAACATTTGACCGACATATTGGGAGAACTGAATTGAACCTCAAAACATCTGGGCAAACGCGCTCTTTTTCAGCAGTTTAGCAGGCATTCTAGACAGCTGGTGCATAGCAAACTGCTAGCAACCTACAGCTACTCACCTACCTAAGCATCTGGAGAGCATTTGGGATCCGAGCGTCACTCTTTTGCTGCCCCTGACTGGCTGCGGGATCTTGTTCCGGTCTTTAACCTTTACCAAGCAAGGGTCACCGACATCGAGCGGACTGACGGCAGTATCGGAGGTTGGCCGCACCTGACAGCATTGATCGAGATGAGCATAGGCTCTGCATGAATACCGTATGTTCAGCACACAGTCTAGTCTAAGGGAACAGAGTCACGGGGATAGCGATAAAAAGGCGACACGCTAGCTTATATCCAGTAGTTGTGTATACTGAATCCAGGGTAGCGTGTCGCTTTTTTATCGCCATCCCCGTGAGTGACGCTGCACCTCAATCTAGCCAACACCACAGACATACCGGGCATCGAGCGTTCTCAACAGGTGAGTTATAAGCTCAACTCCTTTTTCACCGCGTCAGAGAATAAGGCATATGTCCTGGCGAATTGCCAAATGACTAATGTTATCGAGACTACGTTAGAGCTGGCCAGCCTTTTGCCCCGTAGCATATCTAGCTCGCACCTGCCTCGCTTCCACGTGTGACGTACCTTGCTTGATCTTTCTTAGTTCCTATCGAACATTGCCGACAAGATCCTACAGATGCCACTGCTTCGGTAAAGTCAACGCGCAAATCCAAGAAGTCGTCAGAAGGTTTCCCAAGAGGATAAGTTAACCGATTGCATATTTTTGGTACGCACTTCCAATGCTGGCTATTCTGTCAATTCATGGCGAGCGCTATCGTGAGACACAAGGCACAAGCCAGGGCACCAGCTAATACGACGACAGGTACATTTTGATTCGAACGTTAGATTTGAATTCCTATATATGGGGTAATCTCCGGTACCTAACCAATACTTAAAACATATTACTGACTTTATACAGTAAATTCCGCTCTAGGAACGGCTGGTAAGTGGATCCATGAGGTTGCGGCGACAAATTCCGCTGATCTGCATAAGCCTTACCTGTCGAGCGCGCCGCGTTAAGTGTGAGTGTTCTGTTGCAGAGCGCTCCTTCTCATACTGATCCTACACGCAGGCGACGAAACCCGTCCAGTATGCAAAGCCTGTAGCAAGAGAAGCCGTCCTTGCCAGTGGGAAGAGCCACATACCAAGTTCAAGGATTACTGGCCTGATGGACCTTCATCAAGTCGATCTGCTGCTGGTGGCACCGATGACGAAACCGAGAGTAAGAGTGACATGATGGAAGTTGACGGTATCGAAGGAGTCGACGGCATTGGTAGAGGAGATGAAGCCGTTCGCACAAACAGTTTCAGCGAGGAGAGTTTCAGCCGGAACACTTCACCGAGACGACGGAAAAACAGTCGGACCGACGGAGTATCGGAGGGCCAATCTACCAGCGTTTCCTCACCGTCGGCTCACTTATCCCCAGGCTCACCATATTTTGTTCCTAGGTCCACGAGTACACCAGGTGGTGCGTCGGTGGCGAGTCTGCTGCAGTCGCCCGACCCGGCCGGCATGTCAGAGGGCTCGCTGCCGATGTATACCCGTCAGGCAATGCAGCAGGCGCACTCGCACTCGCATAACCGAAGGGATATGCCAGAGGGGGCGAGAAACTATCCACCTCAGCATTTTTCTTTGACACATGAAGAAGCCCTGCTGGTGCATCACTATACCGAATATCTTGGTCGTTGGCTAGACTGCACAGACGCCACACGTCAGTTTACACTGGGCGTGCCGGAAAAGGTCAAACAATGCCCAGTACTTTGCCAAGCTGTCATGTCCTTTGCGGCTCGCCACTGCAGAAAAGACGCAACAGCTGAAGCAGCCTACCAGCGCTGCATTGTCCTGCTCATCGAACGATTGAACGAGCAAGCGGCTAGCCACGATGAAACTCTTTTGTGTGCTATCGTCATACTGCGCTTCTATGAGCAGCTGAACGGTAGGTGCTGCTATATCCTTGTGCTTTTCCTGCCTAATACGTACCTCTAGTGCCGTCCAGCACTGGTTCTGATGATGAACAGCATCTCGCAGGCTGCTCAGCCATTATTCGATCATCCCAAGGAAATCACTACGTAGATCCATCAGCACCTACATTGCGCGAAGCTGCTTTTTGGGTTTACGTACGCCAGTGCCTCTACAATGCCACCATCAACCAGCAGCCACCTGATATCGACTTCTCATTACGGTTGCACCCAACCCCAAGCTCCCTGCGAGATGCACACCCGCTGGCACGATTAAGATTGGAGACCGCTTGGGCGAACCAAATGACATGGAATCTTGCATGTGTTGTAAATTTCTGCTTCGATGGCAAGGAACCACAGAATGAGAAAACTCACAAAATGCGACAATGGAAAGAGCTATGGGACCTTGTCCAAACGTGGATGCGTGACAGACCCGACGGTTTTAATGCGATCTTTGAAGGTCCAGCCAGCGACCAGGGCTCGTTTCCTGAGATCTTGTTCACTGCCGACTGGCACAGTAAGTCCTGTATCCACCCCGAGGTCCATTCTTGCGCTGGTGCTCACGAACTTATCAGCTTTGTCGTTTGTATTTTACCACTTTGCCTGCATTATGCTGTTGCGTTACAAGCCAGGCCCGAAGTTTGCAATCCGCAATGTTGGGAGGCTTTCTGAAACGGATGTAAGGACCCCAGCCACCAAGAAGAACATGTATTTACTCATCCAAACAGCATCGAATCTTATCGCATGCACGCGCCATTTGCGGAGCCTGTAATAGTTCACCGGAGACTGTTCCATTGATGATTACCGTCTGCCATACCATCTTCATATGGGGGCCTCTTATATGCGACCCGAAAGAAAGAGACCAGGTAGTACAGCTCCTGAGTGACTTCGAGAAAAACCATGTGTGGCCGACAACCTGGATCAGCAACGCGTTGAAAGCTGAATGGGGTATGCCTGGCTCGTCCACCTCTCCAGCTTAACACCGTGGAGCTTGGTCTTGAGTCGTCATTGACCATTTGCCCGTAGATACTGCGGTTAAGGCAGTCGCTAGTACCAAGTAGAGTCCACCCTTGATGGTGATCCATAACCTCCCCCAAAAGCAACCATCAAATCAGGTGTTGGAGGTTGTGCAGGATACCCGACGTAAGGAGTGAGGTGCTCCAGTATCTGGCAGCCAGCACCATCGTGTTTTGTACCATAAACATACCATTAACAAAAGTAGCCGCTCAATACCGTGACCAGATCCATATACCCCTCCCCCTTGTTAAGCTCAATACGGGTATCTCATTCCATTTTACGACACCAAGGATGTGGCTATAGCTCCAGACATATCAGTTGTCAGACTGAATTCGTGTTTTGATATGCTCCACATCTCGCGAACCAAGTTTCCGGGCAATTGTTCCGAGTGTATCATGGGATACAAAGGCCAGAGCCTCTTCCCATTTGAAGAGCTACTGTATATCGTAGGAAGAACTGAATGTTCTGGTGTACTCATGTCCGCTTAGTCTGCAGTTATGCATGTTATGTGACCCAACCGTCTACTCGATACGATATACAGTCTTTATGTGCACGCTGAATCTAGATAGCTTGGCATCTTGACAAAACGCAAGCTCCGAAGTCTACTCCGGGCTTCGGTCAAATAGACCGAGAGTGGTCTGAGCTGTACGCGTGTAGCCGTGACTGGTGACTGTACGAGTGGTAGGCCTGTCAACCACGTGGTTTGTAAGCCCTGTATGATGTGTTTGTTCCGTCTCATAGTCATGAGCATATCTAGTTTCTCCGTTCGTGATGATTCCAATGGTGCTGACATCTGCTGTATGTCGAGACACTTGCTGAAGTCTGATCGAAAGCTCTTTGCATCGAAAGCTCTTTGCGCAATGCAACATATATCAGATCTTATTTTGATATGATTGAGCTTGGAAACACACAAGAAGCTCGCTACTAATATCAGTTTCACCACCAGAACCGTTGGTGAAGCGCACAATCCTGAAGCAACGAAGTTTTTTCCAACATCATTCTGACCTTCTCTGTGTCCCCAGAGAGAAGTACCAACGTATGACAGACCATCTGCTCATTGCTTGACCTCGGAGGCTTTCTGAGTGCAACAACCGCAGTAGATACATTTGTTTCCCAATGCCACGTTCCCGCACGCACCCGACACGTAGCCAACCGCCAGGAGAAAGTACCGCTGACGCGCTCTCCTTGTGTGGTCTCCTGTGTATTCTCCAATCGTGGACGTACTTATGAATTTTCATGGGAACTACTGTCGAGTAGCTACGTCACTTTTGACAGCCGGGAGTTTGTTCCAGTCCACTGTTCCCTTTCGCGTAAGTCGTAACGAAGTGTAAGTCATGTCACATGACTCTCAGTACAACGAGACGTCACAGGGCTTGTTGGGTCTGGCATAGCGTTCTTAGCTATCTCCCCCCACCCCCACAGCTTACCTTCAGCATGCATCTTCTTATGCAACGTGCCCTATGGGGCTATAGCCCGAACCACCTCTGGCGAAGGCTCAGTTATACGCCACTGGACAGGTACCACCTCCACGACTCAAGTGATTATCGCCTCCGAATTTAGGGCATTAAAGTGCGTTCCTTGATCGAACAGCATTGAAGCCTAGCATGCACCGCAACGACTCGGTAACAGACTATGACAGGCTACACATTGATATGAGAGAGATAATGAGTTTTCAATCTGCATTGGACATCCGGGTACTGGGCGTCTGTTGCGGAAGCGGGCTGAACCAGCTCAACTTCGCGCTGGTCCGGTACCGTCAGTCCTCACCTGACGCTACATTGCGTCTAGAGCTCGTCCAAGTTAGTGCTCTCGACACTGTACTTCTCTGAATGCTGATCAACGACAGAGCGGCTCGATGCCTACATCGCCTCCTGTTCGGAACCATATCCTTACCTCCCTCCACGAAGCAGAACACGAATCCTCGCCAGTGGCATGCGCCAACGCGCTACTCGGTTACCTGTTTTCCAAAGGCATTAGGAGCTTCTGCGATAAGCACGACATACCGCTTGCGTCCATTGACCTGGTCGGCACACACGCGTTAGGTCTAAGGCGACCTGGTGTGCCCGAAAGCAACGATTTGAACACGCATCCGCTAGGGTGGAACGCCAATGTCAGCGCTCAGACTGGCATCAGTACCGTCTTTGATCTTACAGTCGTTGAAGCCGGTCTCGTAAGGCCTCACATATCTCCTATCGCCTACGTTGACAGACTGTTCTTGAGACACGCGTCTAAATTTCGCGCATGTCTGAATATTGGCGAGCTCGTAAATTGCAGCTTCATCCCTCCTCTATCTGACGGGGGTGCTCGAGAAACATGTTGTCGCGACTGCGGACCCGGAAGTCTACTCATCGACTACGCCATGAAATATTGCACCTCAAACGACCGAAACGAAGACAACAACGGAACATTTGCGACGAAAGGGAAGCCTCACGAAGGCGTTATGACACAATTTCTTGAGACATACGACTACTCACGCATCCTGCCTTCGCTCAGCGTAGCCTGGGAAATGTTTGGCGATCACGAAGCGCAAAGACTCATTGATGAGTGTGTCTTCTTGGAACTTTCTGAAGCAGACATCGTTGCTACTGTTACACGCGTAACAGCTGAGAACATTCTGAGGCAGTACCGCAGACTCCTTGCGCTCAGTTTTCCTGCTGGTCAGAACGTCGACGAACTGTTTATCAGTGGGCCGAGCGCGCGCAACGCGAATATCATAGATTACCTCGAAGCAGAGCTTCCCGAGAGCGTGATAACGAAGCCTCTCGATGATATAGGCATACCGGGTGACGCAAACGAGGCCGTATGTTATGCGCACCTTGCGCTGGAAGCTGTGCTTGGACAGCCTGAACGCTACTCTGCAGAACTATCACGGTCTTGGAGCCAGCCGGGCCATGAAATTGTACTGGGGAGAGTTGTGCGGGGCGAGAATTGGGAAAACCTCACCACTTGGCTGCAGAAGTTTGCTGGTGGGAAGCCACGACGCCTCGCCAAAACCGTGAGGATAGTCGGTAGCGTCGAATCTGGCATAAAAGACCTCGGGCTATGACGACAGGACAAGAACGTAATTTTATATTGAAGATGAAAAGGGGGTTGGGAAAGTTGGGAAGTAAAGGGAGGCAGTACCGCGCTTAATTTTGGGGCAGACCCACCAGGGCAGCTTTGACTTTTGTTTCGCGGAGTTCTGTCAAAGAAGACTACTTACGTTATGGAGAGATACGAAGCTCGAGATACAGCAGGGAAGGTTAGTAAAAAGAGCAATGTGAGCGCATTCGCTCTAAGTGTTCAGTCAAGCCGCGTATCCATGTTCGTCAGGTTCTGTCCGCTCTTGCAACGAAGCCTTTATCTTAGATAAGTTACTTTCACAGAGCATCAGTGTGCTGTATGATGCCTACATTCTGAGAAAAAGGCTGTTTCTGAGCTCGAAGCTCTTCGTCAAAACGCCCTGGCAGGCGCGGGGACTGCTTATCCGAAGACCCTGGATCACACGCCCAAACCACGCAACAACTGTTTCGTTGCATCGTATCTCCAACCCCATCCTCTCGTCCCGAGTAACATTGTTCTCCCAGAAGGGCCAAAACAGTTACAAAGATTCTCCCAATTCATGGCTATCTATTTTGCCACATTCCTATATACACTTTTGGAGCTAATCAAGAGGTATACAACCCATTTCAATATCCTGCAACCAATGCATCTCGCCGGCTTTGAACACTATCGAAGAACAACTAAGCTGCAGTTGCCCGTCCTCCGCAACACCAAGGTCGTCATTGTTACACAGTAGGTACTTATATCAAGACGTCATCTTTTTTTTTCATTGAGTAAGTATGGTAGCAAACAATAATACTACGTGTACGCCTTATGTGCATGTCGTACAGCATGCGCTTCGCAACGAGAAGCCGCCTGTTGTGTATGATGAGACTACTCCTCGAACGCACGATCTTTCGATCAATTGTACGATACGTGCGCCTACCACGATTAACAGAACTCCAGACTTTAGATATAAAAAGGAAGCGAAGAGGCCGTATACCGCATTTCTAGGTCGCGATGGTAGATTGACAGAACTCGATAGATCGCAGAGTCAACACGGAGAATTAGCGGCACGAGGCTGACAATTGCGTGTATGTGCGCAAAGATGTTTATAAACTCATTCATATCAATTGTTCGCTCATCATTCGAGACACTTAATCTAGACGATACGAAGCTGTCGTTACAACCCCTCTTAGGGAACTACAGCCACGGTCTCGTTTTGCTTGCCTTCCACAATATCGCGCATGATGCGAGCCTTTTGTTGCTCTTCCGCCTCGCTGCTGACATCCTTGAACACCTGGTCCATTTCCTCAAGTGTTTTGCCAGAGGTCTCCGGCACAACGAAAAATGTGAAAACGAAGGCGAGCAGACAGAAGACGGCAAAAAAGGTGTAGGCTCCGAAGCCAGTGTTTTGAATGAGAGGCGGAGTTATAAGACCCTGGTACGTGTCAGTCGCGGCTTATATCAGTCATAGAGGAAGTGTGGACCTACGATGATAAAGTTGTTGAACCAGTTCGAACACGTTGAGAGTGCGACACCCTTCGCCCTCAATGAAGACGGAAAAATCTCTGAGGGCATAGCCCATGGGACTGGTCCCCAAGTAGCTCCAAAGCTGAACATGAAGAAGAATAGGAAGGCGACAGCAACCCAGCCTTCCACTGCGTAGTCCAGCCATCGGTCACCAAACTTGCCAACCAAGACGGCGATGATGAGATGGCAGATGAACATGAGAGCAGCGCCCACAAGGAGCAACGGTCGGCGTCCAAAGCGATCCATAGTCCACAGACTTGTTACAACACCAACGAGCTGCGTGCAGTTGATGATGCCAGAAAGCAGAAGCTGCATTTCGTAGTCCTGGCCTAGTGTTTCGAAGAGAGAGGGCGAGTAGTAGATGAGAGCGTTGATACCTAGTATTGTTAGTTGTTTCCTTGCTGGAGCTAATGTGGTACATACCAACAAATTGCTGAAAGAACATGATGCCCACTCCAACGACAGTGCGCTTCCAACACCCATGCCTGAAGCAGTCAAGCCAAGATTGCACTTCAAGCTTAAACTCATTCTTGCGGGTTTTGGCCTGCAGTTCGGGATGCCTCTGAACGCTGACTTCATGATTGAAAGTGACCTCAGCACGGATCTCACACCATTCTTGAAAGATACGCGGGTCATCAGTAGGGAGCTTACGAAGCTTGCCTAGTACGACTAGCGCTTCGTCGTCGCGTCCTTTGCTAGCGAGCCATCGTGGAGAGAACGGCAGGAAGACAATGCCAACACCCAGAACAAGGCCTGGAATCATCTGGATGAGAAACGGAAGACGCCATGACCACTCGCCGGCCATGAAGCGCGTACCATAGGTTGTCCAGAAAGCGATTACGATGCCGAGAACAATGCTGAACTCCTGCAAAACAAGGAGAGCACCGCGAATCTCGGGAGGTGCGATTTCGGAAATGTAGAGTGGAGCGATAGTTGCAAGACTACACGAAATTAGTATACATCTCTTATACAAGGATGGCTGAACTTACGCTCCGATTCCCCACCCACCGATCAAACGTCCAACTGTCTACAGAAAGTCAGTCTACGTCTCAAACCTAGTTCGTACAGTTACAACTTACCAACATCGCGTAGTCCATTGCTGCTGTCTGCAAAACACTTCCAATGGTAAATATGATGACTGCAACGACAATAGAGTACTTCCTGGATAGCTTGTCTGCGATCCAACCAGCAAAGAGAGCACCAATCAAGGCGCCCAGCTCGAGCATAGCAGTCATCAACCCCTTCCAGAAGCCGGCTCCTGATGCTTCACTCGAGACACGTGGAAATCGGCCAAGGAACTGATCCATGACAAGGGTCACCGAGATAACACCTTGATCGTATCCAAAGAGAAGACCGCCGATCGTAGCGAAAGCTGCACACATGGCCACGTATGGGTTGGAGAAGAGGCCACGGAAGCCTATTGTTGAGTTAGTTTCCATGTACGTTCCAGTTATGGATTAAACTCTGGTAGGCCACAATGCATACCTGCTGGTCCATAGGGCTCCCTGGTTACCATTCCTTGCTTGCTGGAGTAAGGAGGCATCGACTCGCGCTGCTCATAAGGCGCGCTTTTGATCGAATCTTGTTCACCCATGATGTCGTTCAGTGGTGTGGTTTGTGACGCGCTGAAGCCGCCTATTGTAGTGAATAGCTTTGCCTGGAGGATGCAGTGAATGAGGGGAGGCAATCGACAGCTTTATGCACTTTCGATATCTCGCTTGATGCCGCGTCAATTCTTGTCCGGTGGGCCCACACCATGTACAGTATCTGCCAACGCTAGTGCCAGGCGTATGACTGCCGTTAGGCGCACATCCGACTATTTCCTGGAGCAAATGCCAAGACAAACAGGTTGAATGCTAGGTATAGACAGCGGCCAGCGTTTCCTCAAGTGAATGTACATTAGCTGGGCTTGATAACTACCGCTCGGGAGCTTCTGTCCGTTGATTCTTGTGTGGCTTGGGATCTGGCCGCGTTGTGCGCGTGTGGGGGTCCTGCTGTTGAGGCAACGCCGCTTGGGTCAAAACGTTCGCTCGAAGTTTCTGTGGGACCCTTGCGTCCGAGACTGGCCGAGCGGCTCTGCTACAGATCGTGTGAATCGGTAGTGAAAGCTCGATGAATATCTGGATCTTAATCTTGCTCTCCTGAGGTCAGGTCGCGTGTCATTGACCTGCGGAATCTGTTTCTGAGAGGCTGAAATGACTCCGCAAGCATTCAGACCCCTGTCGCCGTCTTCATAAGTTCGTCTCCGCGTCTTCAAAGGCCGCGGTGACTGTATGGGGTGCTCAGAGACCCCAGAAAACGCGCATGGGCGTGTCAGTACTACCCCAGATTCCCCATAGTTAGGTTCGCGTCGTTCCGCGCGGTGCTGTCGTCCAGTTGGGTAAACGTCTTTTCAAAGCAGACCATATTGAGGGAAAAACTGCCGGGGAAAGTGGAGGTCGCGGCGGGAATTGCTGAAGAGGTCGAGACAGGCAAGCGCTAGCAGCCACACTAACCCAGATAAGCATCGGAAGGAAAGAGTCGCCGATAAAGCGGGTCGCACTACTGATCTGCAGTAATGTCCACCGCCGACTTGGTTTCCCTCCGATATTCTGCTATAACACCGAACAACGTCACTATCTCTTATGATCACTCATCAACCCAGTTTTGCTACAGCTGGAAAAGGTGGGGTCCCCACAAACCCCCTCCTTCATCGTCTGGGGAAACTACGGCGACGGTGACGGCGACAACGAGTTTAAAGTTTCGTTCGAGGCTGCCCAGCGGAAGCGGAGTGAGCCTTTTGACACCTGGCTTCTATAAACAAAGGTCCATTGCATGTCCCGCATACATGGGAGGTTCGACTCAGGCATGTCATGCGGTTTGTATATTCTGGTATTCTTTTCGCGGAATCGAGAACTTTTGACCAGAAGCAGTGCGAGTACACGGAAGTTCTTCCTGTTATACGCTTTATATGATCAAACTATCTTGACAAGGTCGCGCTAACCTACGAAAACGTATCCGCTGTATCCTTCTCGATACAAACCGACGTTCGATCTTGTCTTGTGATGCTATAGTATCGCCACCCCTATTACAAGATCATCGACATTGTGAAAGTCCATATCCCTACCGGCTCCCTAGTTCACCGTTCGTACATGATACACACTTGGATTTTCAAGACGTTCCAGCCAATTTCTACTTCTAGTCCCTCTCATCTCTCTCAATGCTCGGACAACATCCACTTCAAACTCGGCCGGTAGCTCCGCAGGACTGTCGTTCACGACGCGCAAACATTTCCGGCGATACACATACATATCTGCCAACAATCTACGCATAGGTGATGTGTGCTTCGTGAATTTGTACGTGTGGACAATCAAGCTCGTCTCGATGCGCCAAACACGACTGTGAGCACCAACGAAAGCATCCATGACGTCGTTCATCCAACGCTTGTCGTCAATATGCTCGCCAAAGACATAGGCGAAGACTAGGAATCGGAAGGCAATATTGACGTTGGGGTGAGTACCTCGGACAAGAGAATAGACGGTACGAATTATGCCGTCTTTGAGCCAATATGTGTACTCTTTGATGACCTCGAGGGAGAACTGTACGCCACTAAAATTGACGTACCATCCGAGATTGCGTCCAAGAGATGTGCTAGTATCTTCTTTCGCGTTCAAAGTAAAGTAAGCGGTGTTCGTCGCGAGAATGTGTTCGTGGTAAGATAAAAATGTTTGAGCGTTATTGTTGACAATTAATTTGAGATAACGACCAGCAGTGCTAGGTGATGTCAGTGCATGATTCCTGAGGACTGTAATAGGGAGCTTACGTTGGTAGTACCCGAGGCCGTAGTATATGCGAAGGCTGTATTGTAGTAGGAGGTACTGTACTCGGTTGAACTCGATTGGATACTATTTGTGGGTTTACAAAGTCAGTATACGTCTCAAGTGCAATCCATACAATGGCACTTACATGCAGGTATGTTAGTCCTTGGAGAATGGGTTACTTGTTCTGGAGCCTCCGCGGCAACCTGCCGAGCCAAACTGTGGATCTTTCGCTCGAATTCTGCCTCCTTTTGCTCCTGCGCTGGTTGCGCCATGTTCTTACTAGGATCCCTGTTTTCTGACTTGAGAGTATCATGGAACCGTGATTTTCTCGTGGCATCTGAACTCTTCTGCTCTTGGGTTCGCGGCTCGACTGAAGATGGTGTCGTATTGCTGGGCTTTTCCAGAATTCCGTGAAGCAGTAGTGATGGTCTGCCTTGTAGCTTCGGCTCTTGGGTTAGTGAGTCAGTCGATGTCGCTGTCTGAGTGCCTTGGTCGCGAGTGGTAGGCTTGAGTGTTTGAGGGAGAGCCTGGAGGCTCTCAAGACGTGTGATCTCCGCGTGAGTAGCCTCAAGGTTGTCGTTTAGGAACTCGCGCTCAGCAATAAGCTTTTGTTCCCGCTGCTTGAAGCGCTGTTTTTGATCTTCAATCTGTCTAACAAAACGCTTACGGAGCGCCTCTATCCCCTCTTCGAGCTTGGGGCTGAGCATCTGAGCCTTTTCGTCTCTGCTGATAACCTTGGGTTTACTGGGTAGGTGCGACTCAGTCGGAACTGCTTGTATAGTGGGCTGTTTCCGAATTTCTTGCTCAGATAATGCTGGTCGATCATCAAGTTTCGGTATCTGCGTCGGCAACTTGGCTGATGCTTGTGGTCTGCAGCTCTGCTCTCTGGAGGGAGTCTTGTGGTCATCAAGGAGCTGCTTAGCAGGTACCGATGGCGGCTGCAGGTGCGATTGAGGTTGAGACGATGACACGTTGCCGTCATCATCCTCGGATACTACTGTATCCTCGAGACCTGGATTTTGAGCGATGTTTTCAGTCGTCGGCACCACTTCGTCTTTCTTGAGGACCTCATTTGCCGTCATCTCCACACTTTCCTGGGATACCTGGACCTCAGGAGTTGGCTGGAACCCGTTGCTTAGCTCTTCTTGGGAAACTGTGACATCTTGAACCCCTTCTCTTCCAGAGGCCCATCCATTTTTGGAAACTCGCTCCTCAGCACGGGTATTACAAGAGACATTGCTGGAGTCCAGTCTGGATTGCGTGATCGTCGGTAGTCGCTCAGACTCATTGACAACACGCCCTAGTTGCGAAAGCTCGCCATGCAAGAAACCATCCTTGCCTTGCTCGGCTGCAACTACATCGTTCATTTGCTCTGTGGTTCGGCTAGATTCCGCGGGTTCTTCGGACGAGTCAACAACGACATCCGCTTCACAAGGCGCTTTGTCTCCGTTCTCCTTCCCACTCCATACTGGAGAAGAATCGAGTGGGTCGACGGTTCCATCCTTGTTGTCCTCTCGCTTTTCAATCATACTGCTTCGAGACATTTTCTCCCTGTTACCAGAGTTGATGTTCTCATTCGCATTCGCGTTAGCTTTATTTTTGTTCTTCTTCTTGTTTCCAGCCATGTTGAATGATTGCTATCGGTTTGTTTCTGGAGCAATTATCGTTCGCTGATGTTGGTTGAGACTCGTTTACTGTGAACGAAAGTGCAATGGTGAGGTTCGAGGAACTAGTCAGAGAAAAGAAGAGTTTATATAAACTAGGGGAACAACAAGAGAACGGCCAAGTTAGTCGGCGCAAGCGCATATATGTCCAGGTGGCAACCACTGGAGCCTCTAGCGCACTCCTAGTTGCGACTGTAATCGAAGTGAAGAGTGAATATGGGCAAGGATAGAGTGAGTCAGAGTGAATGACTTTCCTAATTGCTATGACGATTATAGAATATCCAGGCTGTGGCACGAAGTCATTCCCAAGTGAAGCAACAGCTGTTCATGCTTCAGCAGTAGCCATTTCGTGTATTAACCCCAAGGACGGTCCCCATATCTCGGTTTCATTCTCTACAACGCATTTGGTACGCCCATAATAATTTGCTAGGCAGACGATCGAAATCTGGCTTTCACACTTATCATAATTTGTAGTACAGGCACGAACATCCGCAATTAGTCTTCGGTATGAGACTGGGTGAAATGCAGAGCAACCCCGATGTTACATACCTGCCCAACCCAAGAGCATCGTTAGGTATCTATTCATTATTAACTCGGGATACCTAGGCACGAATGACGACTTGATATCTTGGTACGCATTGGAAGAGTTCTGAATGATCACTATGGCATCGACAGCATTCAACAAAACGATTGAATATGCTTATCATCAGGGGTTACGAACTTGACAACAAGCCACATGAACGATGTTATCACGGGGACGGAAAATTGTTTTTTGTGTTGATTGCTATTTGATATAAAAGTCGGCAAAGTCCGTATGATGCAAGCAACGAGCGGAAACTGTTCCAACCACTGCATAATCACATGCTTCAATGACAATTTCAACCTATTAAATCTGCAACGAAAGCCTCTACGACTGCCAGAAATCACCAGACAACCACCTGTTGAGCATCTCGAGCGAAGCCTCGGGCTGGTCGTAAGGGACCATGTGGCCACCAGCATGAAGCCTCATGAAGGTAAAGTTACCGCTGGACTTGACCTGACCAACAGTCTTGCCGTCACCGTCGATCTTGAAGTCCTCCATCTGAGCCTTCTTGTAATCCTTGGCACCAGGCCACTCAAGCGCCTCAGTCCAGGCCTTGTTGCCGAGCCAGTTGCAGATGTAGTCGGCATCACCAGCGTAGATCAGGACGGGGATCTTCTCAAGGATACCGGGAACGACGCGGTGGAAAGGCTTCATCCAGTCACCCTGGAGAAGGAAGTTACGGTTGATGTCGAAGTTGCAAGACTCGTAGTTGGAGACCTCGGCGCCGACGGCCTTCATGACCTCCTTCTTGTTAAGGTAGCCCTGTATCCAGTCAAGCTCATCGTAGCAGAGAGAGTTGCTGCCACAAGGCTTGCGAACATCGTAGACGTTCTGGCCGGTGCGTTGGTAAGGACCGATCATAGCGTTGTTGCAGTAGATGGACGCAGGCACGCAAGACCAGACAGACTCGGAGTTGTAGCAGTTCTCAATGAGGCTGGCGCAACGAGGGTAGGCGTTGTCCATAGACTGGCACTGAGACTCATCAAGAACGGCGGGCCAGCCACCCTCACCACAGGCCATAGGACGGTAATACTCGTACTGAGTAAGGCCATCGGTCAGACCGTTACCGATGAGGACGGACTGGAGGTTGATGTTGCGGTTATTGTGGGACAGAATCTCAGAGGCAAAGACGGGGATGTAGTGTCCGGCGTAGGACTCTCCGGAGATGTGGAAGCTCTGGTGAGAGTACTCGGGGAACTGCTTGAAGAAGAGGGTAAGCAGGGCGTAGATGTCCTTGCCGGCAGCGACAGTGTTGCTAACTGAGCCGCTCGAGTATGAGTATCCGACGTTGACGGGCTGGTCGAGGAAGATGACGGAAGCATTGGCGTTCCAAGAGTAGGGGTTGTGCTTGACCTTCTGGTCCTTTGTGATGGAAGCCGGGCCGAGTTCCATGAACAGGCCGGTCAGCGAAGAGCAACCGGGTCCGCCATTGAGCCAGAGCACAACGGGGTCGTTCTTGGGGTCGTTTCGCGACTCGAAGAACCCTGCGAAGTGTTAGATACAGGGGTGTGTATGATGGCCATGCGGGTACTCACAGTAGAAGAGGTGCTTGTCCTCGTCATCGTCGTCAAGGTAACCAGAGTACTGCTTGACCTTGTCGACGCCGAGCACGCTGGGGTCGACCTTCTTGGCCCTCAAGCTGTACTGCTCGAGCTGGCCGTCAATCTCGCGCTGCTTCTCGCCGTTCTCGTTCTCAACCCAGACGCTCTGGATGTCGGCACCCTTGATGATGTGGTCCCATTCGCTGTCGTGCTTGCGCGTGTGAGGCTTGGGCTGGGAGAAGAAAGCAGCCTTCTCGAAGCTCTCGGGGAACATCATGGCGACTTCGTCCCAGATGGCGCGAGCCTCGCCAGTGAGCGACTTGAGGCTCTCCTCGAGGTTTTGGAGCGGCTTGCTCCATGACGACGTCGACTCCTTGAGCTCGCTGAAGGAGTCAGGGAACTTGAGGATCTGCTGCTGCTGAGGCGCAACAGCGGCGGATGCGGCTCCAACGAGGAGCGCCGATGCGGCGACCTTCATGATGGCGGTGCTAAGCTTCCGGAGCTATAGCGGTAGATGAGTGAAGACAAGATGAGCACCTCTACAAGTGAATGAAGAAGCACACGGTGATGGATGGGCAAGAGGAGGGATGGATGGAGGAGGAGAGATGGGATGGGTCTAGTTAAGTCAAGCTATGGGTAGCTCTTGTGGAGGAGGCGCGGCTTGTCCAGGCAACGGAGCATGACGCATCCCAACAGCTTATCAGAGTGGCTGGCCCGCCCGAGCTCCAGCATCACATGGGCTTAGCGTTTCACGATAGCGGTGATCGGCGCGTGTGGCAGGACACGCGCCGGCCGTGGACCGCCATCATAGACATGATGACGCTTGCAGCTTCATTCCCGCCGTCTGGACATGGAAGCCGTGGCGAGTTCCTGCTGCCGAGCTGTCTGCGCACCTCGGGAAGCTAGAGCTGGACCTGCATGGTCCAAATCCGGCCTAGCGCCCTTTCACTCATAGTGACTGCACCTAGGCATGTCATCGCGCAGACCCCACCAAAATGTCGTGCAACTTTTATGACTTGGGCCCAACATCTACAGTTCAACCACGATTATACCCATACCAACACCCGTAATCACTCAAGATGCCTGTCGGAATCAACCAGCCGTCCAATCAGATCAAGCTCACCAATGTCTCGCTGGTGCGCATGAAGAAGGGTGCGCAAACCTCGCCAGAAGCTCGTGTCCTGCGCAAACTAACATCCCACAGGCAAGAAGCGCTTCGAAATCGCATGCTACAAGAACAAAGTCCTCGAGTGGCGCAACAAAATTGAGAAGGATCTGTCCAACGTGCTGCAAATCGAGAACGTCTTCCTCAACGTATCAAAGGGCCAAGTCGCACCAAAAGCCGATCTCGAAAAGGCCTTCCCCAAGAAATCACTCGAAGATATCATCACCGACATACTGGATCATGGCGAGCTGCAAGTAGGCGAGAAGGAGCGCAACGCTGAGTTGGAGAGAACCAAGAATGAGGTCATCGATATCGTGGCGGGGAAACTTGTGGATCCCAAAACAAAGCGTGTCTATACCACGGGCATGATCGAGAAGGCTCTGGACCAATTAAGCTCGGCAGCGGCGACGCAACAAGGGGACAAGAGTGAGAACAAGGAGGATGGTGAGGACAAGGGCAAAGCCAAAGAACTGCCCAAGTGGTCCGGCATCGTCACAAACAAATCGGCCAAGTCGCAGGCACTGTTTGCTATGAAGGCCCTTATAGCCCACCAGCCGATACCCGTCGCCCGTATGCAGATGAAGTTGCGCGTTACCTGTCCGACATCCGTTCTGAAGCAAGCCATAAAGACCGCTCCCAAGGCGCAAGCAGGCACTGAGGACAAAGGAACTACCGGCACTGTTAAGGATGCGATACTGGGATTCATGGAGAACATTGAGAGCCAAGAGACAATAGGCGCTGAATGGGAGGCAGTCGGTCTCGTCGAGCCTGGGGCCTTCAAGGGATTGAACGAGCTCATCGAGGGCCAGACAAAGGGAAGAGGCAATGTTGAAGTTCTCGAGATGGCTGTCGGTGCCGACGACTGAGTGGTGACACGTCTTACAAGCACGCATCGCGCAGGACACTCGCCCTCGCGTGCGGCAGCATTAGGACGGAAGCTACCTCTCGCAGGACAAGTCCCTATGTCTCTTGAGGATGAAGCACTTGCATTCATGAACGGCAAGCAACAAGACGAGCATAGTCTTTGCGAACATGTCCTCCGCCCCACAAAAGGCCGCTTCTGGGCCAGTTCCACCATGCTTGCCCTGGCGGAGCTTTACACTGCCCCCTGCCATAGCGTCGGTGCCCTGGAGAAATGCGGATTCATAGCTAGACGTTACTCTAGAACGTATTCTGCTAGACGTATACAGTGAACCGAGCGCATAATCAGCTGCCTATATGTCCATGCACAGCAATCCGGCCCTGTTCACAACTCTATGCATGGCCATCGGCCTCACATGAAGCACCACGACTTCTCCTTTTATTCGTTTTGGTGTATTACCACTTTAAATCCTCCACCAATGCAGTGCTACCTGTAACGGTTCCGATGCATCAGCACAGAGCCACTCGTTGCGGGACAGCTGTTTCCGACCTGCATAGCCTCGCATATTCGTGCATGTAAGTAACGTGGGGTAGTCAAAATTGAGATTTGGGGCAACAAAGCTTCAGGGCTGAGGTTTGGGAGATTCCGTGTAGCAGTGGGGAGCGATGATAGTCACGGATCGATATTTGTAATGAAAAGACAGGATGGCTGCGTGAACGCGCGAAAGAATTTCATTTCATGGCAGTAGTATACACATGTATGCTGATCGAAAGTCGTGAAAAGGGTCGTTGAGTCGTGTTTTCTCGTTGCTTGCGTCTGTTTTCGTCGTATGCTTCGTGATCATGAGTCCTGAGTCATTATCGTTACCGTGTGAATGCCGTACCTAACCCATGCTGTGAAACAAGAAAGTCGTCAAAAAAGGAATGTCCACAGAACAAACATCCAAAAGACAGAGAGCAAAAAGAAAAGCTTGTAACACCAGGTTGTCGTCGAAGCCGTGCCGGTCCGTCTCAGACACACATTCAGCTCGCCGGACGCATCCTTATAGCGACATTCTCAGTCACTACTTCAATCCCACCACCGACGATTAGGCACACGCCCATTGTCGCTCAATATCCCAAGCACATCAGCACTACTCGTCTGCACTCCCCACACCCGCTCGATCGGATCCGCAATCGCCATCCAATCTAGACCTCTGACATCGTACATATCCAGTACTACGCGAACTAGCCACGGCGAGTACATCGGACAACTGGTGTCTTGGTAGAGAAACGGGGAAGTTGGTTCAGCCACAACATCATTGTCATGACTAGTCTGCTGTGCGAACGATAAGGGGTGAGGACGTGGACGACGACGTCGCGACGAGTGCGATGGTGGTGGTGGAGGTGGGTTTGAGAACAATTCCGTCTCGCTTCCAGTCGAGCTTGGAGAACTTGTCGCTGAAGACGCGGCACTAGATGCATCGGAGAGAATGGAATCATCGCTCATCTTGGTGTTCAGGGGGAGTAGCATTTGAATGGACCGCATTGCTCCCTGTGCCGCAGCTTTAATGGCATCATAGCTTGAAAGTGTGATGAGCGAGCCAGTGGACTTTGACAGCGGCGATTCCTCCGTAGGAGAACTACTGATACGCAATGATGGTGAGTCGAATGATTGTGATCGTATACGCACCCTTGGCGAAGGAGTACGTGGTAGTGCCATGACGGGGCAGTGACTGCGGCCGGACGAAAAAAAACCAGACGAAAGGAGAAAACGCAACGAAGAGGCCTTCCACCGGCCTAACGAGTGTCGGTACCATCAGTAAGGGTTATATCCACAGTAGTCACCTCAGACATGCGGCCGTTCCGCTAGCCCTGCATATCGAATATGCAACCATGCCACGAATTCGGCACCATACGAGGAAGTCACATGTCTTCCGAGTTCCCTCCTTTGAGAAAGGCGTAAATTGCGGGGAATACGGGAGCACAGACGAACAGGAGACAATGATACTGCAGATGCCGATGATCGGGAGAGGTCGATTTGTTGCAGGATGCGTGGGACAGCGCACTCCACACTTGGCGCTTGATCTATCAACCAGATAGGTCACAAAGGACCGACATAATTAGTTAAATATGTGTGAACCTCAGGAGAATATTTTGCGCGCGACAACCGCCACCGATCGCAGCTTCGATCCACGTTGGTTGTTGTTGTGCATGCTTGTGGAATCAAACTGAACCAACCTGGACACCTTTAGCGGTCCGAGCCGATAGCTCTGCTTACAAAAATCAAAGGCGGTAGTCAGGAAACATAGTGCGCACCGAGGTACTAACAAGCGTGGTGGTGGTGTGACGTGGTGGGCGAAGTATGGCCGCATATGCGATGTTAGTCCTTCATCACCAATTACTAGGCCTATCTAGGCACCATACAGCCATTCCCCCGAGATGGCCAACACGGCCCATCGACTGTCGAAAGCGAGCACACGTCATGTTGGAACAAGTCGAAATTTGAATGTGTGATTTTGGTACAGGCTGTATTCGGCCAACCCTAACCGTGCCGCACCACCTCACTCCATATCGTGCATTGCCGCATGAAGTGTAAGCGTGAAAGCCAATGAAAGCCGTTTGATAAACACCGTAAGTGCACCACCCATTTCGTAAAGGCATGTTCCAGCCCCAGCTGCCCAGCGCAAGCGAAAACCTTTAACCCTTCTTCTTGGAGACACCGACGGTTCGGCCGCGGCGACCGGTGGTCTTTGAGTGCTGACCGCGGACACGGAGGCCCCAGTAGTGACGGAGACCACGGTGAGCGCGGATCTTCTTCAAGCGCTCGAGATCGTCACGGAGCTTGGAGGCGACACCGTTGGCGAGGACCTGGCTGTTCTTGCCATCGACGATATCACGCTGCCTGTTGAGGAACCAGGAAGGAATCTTGTCTGTGGGGTGTCAGTGTGGGGCCTTTGCTACGGAAACTGCCATTGCGTACACTGGAGAGGGTTCTGGATGATGGTAACGATACGCTCAAGCTCTTCGGAGGTGAGGTCACCAGCGCGCTTGGTCAGATCGACATCGGCCTTCTTGCAGACCAAGTTGGAGTATCGGCGACCGACACCAGTGATCTTGGTCAGGGCGTACATGACCTTCTGCTTTCCATCGACGTTTGTGTTCAACAAACGGATGATGTATTGGAAGCTGGTAAAGTCAGCACTGCTCTGGTCATACAATTGTGCCTCCGATTCTGTATCGCCCCTGTGCGTAGATCTCCGCAGTCGAAAGCCATCCGCTACCTCGATTGGCCACTTCAGTCCGAACAGCATGTCGAAATCCTCTCTTCGTGTTTGATTCCCATAATCTTCTTACAACACTTGTTGCATCCATTCATCACTCTATCCTCTCTATCCTCGGATTGCTGCTGGACTGGAAGGGCGAATCGCGATGTTGTGCGGCTAGAATCGGACCAAGGGTATCGAAGCCAAGGCAGTAGACCGGACAGAAATCTTCAGGCTGTAGTCTGTACGTACTTGGACTTCTCTCCGGAGACGAGCGCTGTAACGTTGTCAGCATGTCTCTACTTGGAGTGTCTCGACATCGATCATTGCGACCCCACTCCGCGCGCTGGGGGAGGCGCACTCGGCGCGAATAATGCCAGGGTCGCAACAAATGATGCAAGTCGACAGTATCCGGGTATACTCACACATGATGGCGGCTTGTCGTACGTCGTCGATGTGGTGTTGTCGATGCTCTGGAAGTCAAAACGGCGGGATCTGAAATGCTGAAATTCGCTTAAGCAAGTGGTGGGAACGGCACTAGTGCTGACGCTAACCATATCCGTCGCTCCACCCGCCGCAACTACCCTCTTTGTATTCACCCAGTCTCTGCGACTCTGCGCAATCGTTTGGACTCGCAGTTAAACTGCTTGCACATGACGTCCTGCTTCATCGCTCTTGTCGCCATACCTCTGCAGACAAGGGTGCTGTGGCTATGGGCCTGTGGCTGTGCACTAGTATCACGGGGTGTCTAGCGATACATCTCTTCACCCGCTCGACCCCAAGTTGTTGCCTGTAATTCAACCGGTACGTCATTTGTTCTTTCACAGTTCATTTCATGCAGTCCTTGTTATCACGATGCCATGACCCCAGCCACATCTCTGTCAGCCTCCACAGGTTCGTGAGGGCGCGAGACTTCTCTAGGACAGCTGCGCCACAATTTTGGCCTCAACAGTTCTCCTCACATCCAAGTCATTTGCTAGAATATATGATGCCTAAAATCAGGCGCAAACTATCAGTCGGTGTAGCTGCCTTATATCCACATATAGGCCTGGTTGCTAAAGGTTCTTATCACCCGTGGACAGAACGAGTACTTGATAGCGCCGCCACAACCTATTCCTGCCAATCACTCTTCCTCCACACAGCCTGAGGACATCCCCGTCCCTAAAAGAATCTTTCCGTCTGCCGTTTGTCTACTCTTTTCTCTGACCGGATCATCTCATGCATCAAGCGAAGCATTGTCTGGACCAATACAGTCGCAGAACTCGATTCTTTGCTTAGCAACGGCCGACAACCAGGAAACGTTCGTTAGAGATGGACTCTCAGGCTCCCTCAGTCACCCCCGGTGGATCTCCCAGCAGCCTTGGATTTACAGCGGCTCCCCTTCACACGGACGAGCTCGCCAGACATGACACTGCATCGTCTACCGGAAGTGCAAATCGATTGTCTGAAGGCTATTGGGCACTGAACCTCAGCGGCAATTGTTCGAGCTGTCACCACCACCACAATTCTGTGCAGGTGCGTGTTCGTGTATCAGGCGACTCTACTGAGGTCGGCGACGTCCGCTGCGATAAGTGTAAGAAGTTGTGGCTAGCCTTCGGGAAAGGCAATAGCAGGCGATTATCTCTTCTTTCTACAAAGAGCTTAGATCGGGAGTTGCTCGAAGCTGAGACCGAATTCCACAGCACCCTAGTCAATATCATCAAAGCCACCAACCCTATTGCCGCATTACATCCCACTCTTACGGCCATCCCAGAAGTCGCATCAGTCAGTCCATCACGGGAGACATCCGTGCGCTCGACTGCCCGTAGTCATATCCAACGGCACTCAGCAGCCGTAGGCAGCGAATCCAAGCCAGACTCTTCTGGATTCAGTGGTGCGGTCCGAGCACAAAGCCTCAGCCAGAAGTACACGAACATTGGCAAACTTGTGGTATCCAAGGGCCGGAAGAGCTTTCTTCGTCTCAAAATGAAGGTTGCAGCAAATTTCCGCACGTCAAAAGTCAGTACCGACGAGCCATTGTTCCCAAGCGAGAATCATCCCACTCGAGACGACCATAGCCAGGTTCAGGCGCCTGCCATAGCACTTTCGCCAGCTCCGGCAGATCTAACGGACGCTCACTCAGATCATGATGCCGAATTCAGCGAAGGTTACCCCGATGTCTGCACTTCGTCAACTACCGCTGCGGGTGCGCTAGCTGCGCTCAAAGCGGTCGACCGCCAGGCCATCCAGGCTCTACCTCCATGCGAGCGCTTCGATTGGGGCCGCAGGCAATTGACAGAATTTAAAGCTCGATATACTGGATCTACCACCTTGGCCAGCCTTCCTGTGATGAGTGATGTCGGAACTCAAGCTGACGCTTCTGAGGACTTGCTACTGCTCCGACCACTTGTTAGACGTCACTCTGCCTTGGCCTATGTTGGAAACATCTTCGGAACTAATGAATACTGGGATACCTTTCGGGGAAGTACCCACACTCTAGATAGTCGGCCATTCAGCATGAGCGAAACGAATCTTTCGGACGCTGATACCGCTGTTGAACGAATGACCATGGCTCCTACGCCACATCAACTGTTCATCGAGAGCTTGCAAAGAGATCGTCGTGGCTCAGGATCTCCTCGTCCTCTCTCGATGCATAGTATCATGAACGACTGGCAGCAAACACGTCGAAACCGAGGGGAGGCTCGCTTGTCCATTGACTCGGCTGCAACTGGAAATGCTGTTAGAAACATTACTACCACACGAAGGCGTGCAAGTAATCGTCTCTCCCGCAGTTCGATGAACAGAACATCCTCGGTCTACGGTACCGAACCACAAACTCCGCGCGCTCAATTCCACTGAACAAAGAGATTGGGTATACAGAGGTACCTGGACGTGTAGACCCGCCTTCTATTCCATCACTGATGTCTGAAGTCGATGTGAGTCCATAGGATTGAGTTCTCAGTGTGATCAGGGATTCCTACGGTGTTACGGGGCTGGATGGACTCCAAGCATCTGTTTCGTGGTGTTGCTTCCCAAGTCGGATTCATTTTCGTATACGACATCATTCGTCCTGTTCCAACGCGTTCTCTTCGGCAGTTGCGTCGCTACATCACAAGTTTCCGAGTTTTCGCTTTCTAGTGTCACGAGTCGGATGGGCTAGAACGCAATCTTTCAATTACGAACATAGTTCGCTATGTGTTCGTTGGCTCAGAGTTCCCTCAAGTACAATCGGATCTTAGCGTTCTAGACACTTGTAAATGAAGCGTCTTTCTTTTTAGAAAACATTTTCTTCTACATCCTGTCTGCTGTCACAATACCTCAACGCCATTGGTCTAATCAACGTGCTGGTACCAAAACGCGGGTATGACGCAGTTGACTAACGCTGTATTATGTCGTGGTGACAGTATGCCCCCTAAAAGCCTGTGTTCACTGTGTACAGCGTAATTAACACCATCGCTTCGATACCTCTACGCAAACTCTCAAAAAAGCCTAAACCATTCATCATTGCTTCCTACCAATCGTCAATCATATCATTAAACTCTTCACTCTCCACATCCATGACTTTCCTGGCAGCCTCACTTCCACTAACAGGTAGCATCTCCAGTCCACCATCTTCGTCATCTGTCTTCTTGAACTCTTTTGGCACCTCTTCAGGGTCAAGAAGACCGACCTGGAACAGCACAGAAGCTTGGTCCCAGTACACCCTCTCGGACCATATCTTGCCCGCTCTGAAGCCTACAATGCTCACCACCACTATCTCAACTTTCTGGTTTGTGGGCGCAACGCCAGGAAGAATCCATGGCATCTGGCAGGTATGCTTGAATTGTATGTAGAGTTCGTCCACGATTTGGTCGACGCCCACTGTGCGCGAGATGAGCCGCATGTGCATCGATGGTGGAGAGATTTTGAGGAAGTAGTCACGGTAAAAGCGCTTCAAGTCCGGAAGTCCGCTTCCACCAGTCATGGTTGGTGTGAAGTTTATGTAAGGCGTAGGCTTCTTAGTGTAGGTTTCTAGGAGTTTATCGACGGATTTGCCACGGTACTTTTCTGCTTGGTGTCAACTCTCATACGAATGAAGGCAAGGGGTGAATATACACACGTTCTTCGTTCTCCTCCAGTACCCGCTCCAAATCCACTTCGGCACTGAAACCCCGACGAACTGTACTCAAACTTCTACTCCAGGCGAGCGCATCAGCGACGGCATCGTACTCATCCAGATCATGCTCTGCAAACCCTGCATCCACACCTTCGTACGTAAAGCAAGGATACAAGATTTTGTCCTGTAAGCCTCCTGCGCCTATGCCAGGTGTAACACGCTTTTGCACTGTTTTCCGCTTGCCCTGTATACCCAGGACTTCTGGGCGACGCGTAACGCCTACGGTATTATCGTTGCCGGATGTTCCCTCAGCAAGATGCACGAGCACACGAAAAGAGGATGTAAAGCGATGTCGCGTATCGGGGATGGATGTTGGGTAGTAAGCGATTAGGGAGCAGAGTTTCGAGGTGGCAGTTTTAGGTTCCGAGAAAACGTCTAGACATACGGCTGCAGCGTCACCGAAGGCTGAACAGATACAGTCAGTACGTGTTTCGGCCGCCGGTGGTTAGGCGCATGACATGCGCCAGGCTGTGAGGGGCTTGTATACCTACGATGGCGTACCGTTCCCCAATGCCCATCTTGTCGCCTAGTTTATGAAGCGTCTGCACATATTGCTTCCCGCCTTTTCCGAAGGGTATGTATTCCACAATGAAGCCTTCGTCGCGCCATGCCTTCATCGTCTCCATGTCGAACTCGGTGTCTTCGGCGGTGATGTACAGCACAGGCGTGCTACTCCTAAACGACAGCCAGCCATTGCGGTCGGCAAGAAACTGTTGCGCCATCTCGTGGTTCGGAGTCGTGGTCGCAATGGTATGCGCGCTCACGCGATGGCTGTGGTAGCTCCACTATTGACAAGCGTAGCTATCCCGGTTTCGTGTTGGATCCGTCCGATGATGGATGAGATGTTATCGACGGCGTTTCGCGATGCACAATGTCAGGTCAGGTCCTCGCAGACGGCCAATTGCAAAATGATCGTGCATGTAGCGGTGCATTGTCGGTGTGCGCTCACATGAGTATTGTTGAAAGCTGGTTATTTGAGTGGCTCCCAGTGGAGTCGTGCCGGCGTCCTCCACACCGTGCATGACGTAGGGCCTGTAAGCCTCTCAGCTAAACCGAAAGAGGCGTTGCCGTCTGCGTCGCACCTGATCTCGTTCATTGTCCTGGAAAGTTGGCATAGATGAACACTGCAGATGGTCACGAGATTTTTGCATTTTATCAACATACCCTCGACAACCCATTGGCTGTACACAATGTGAATCGCAGTTGTGGCAGGCTGCAGCAGCTCCCGAGTCAATCACATCGCCCTGGTGCCTGATTCGTAACTAGGATGGACGACAGTCAACAGATACCATCACGCCCTCCAGTTTCTTCTTCTCTCACTTTGTCTTTTATCATTATTATATGTTGTGCTACAAGATGAAGCGTACAGCGAGGTCAGACCCAAATCGCTCCGACCTCACAGCAGCGAAACGACCGCGCACGTATGATTACATCCCGCTTGATATACGACATCTTACTAAAACTTTGTAGTGTGCCAAATCCAGCTACAGACCGTAGGTTCTGGGGCCTGAGCTGCGAGGATAGCGCTCGGGTCGTTGATCTCTACGACAAAGGGAGGCTGCTCATAGCGGACTACAACAAAGCTCAACAAGAAGTCGAGGCTAGGCGGAATCTGCTCGAGGAATCTGCGAGAGGACCTGATGAATGGGACTTTATGTCTCGCTGGGACTTCGATTTTGAATACGAGTTCGATGATACTGTAGACGAAGAGGAACAGCTCAGACATGCTAAACTCAAATATATTATGGACAAAGATACCGAGCTCTGTAATCTCGCAAGAGACCTAGAAGCCGCCAGCTATTCGGTTGATCGTATCGCTACGGCTTGCGCCGATCTGCAGCTATGTTCATCGTTTACAGCAATCATTCTCGCCAAGCTTCCTCGCGAGCTTCGAGACCATGTCTACGATTATCTCTGGGCAGGAGAGCACGTCGAGAGGATGGATAAGGCTATCTCGTTTGTTCCTCGGCACTATTTCTCAGATGAAGCTGGCATCAACGCACCAGAGCTGCCTGTGCCGCGTTTCGCGAACGTCACCTTCGTTGGTCCAGAATTCGCATCTGAAGCTGCGACTCGGTACTTCAGAGTCTTGTCAAGTGCGGAACTTGACTACCGTTACGTACGTGCCCATCTTGAACGCAACCGCTTTGATTCCATGCCATTCGCGGTCAAGAACGAAATTCGGCGCCTTGTGATGACGATTGATGAGAGCGCTGGGACTATCTACCCAGGTACAAGGATAGCTCGTGAAGCTCTCAATGACAGCATGAACAGCCTGCTCATGTTCAAAGATTACCAAAACATCAGCATCGAAATTTATCTGGAAGCGAACATGCAATGGAGCCTCGCCTTCTACCAGGCTCTCGAAGTCATCAAGCCAGTGTTCATGACACTTCGCGAAGCCAACATAGAGATCAAGGTTCTGGGTTACGACTTCTTCAGCACCACCGAAGACGATGATACTGACATCTTTTCCGAACAACTCAACCACTATCTCACAGCAGGTAAACCTGAAGAATGGCTCGACATGAAAGCCAGAGAAGTCAAAAGCATACCACGAGGACTGCTTCGGCAGCGGTGCAAACGAGTAAGAAGCTCAGAACTTGTATAGAGAGTGAACTAAGAATGTGTGTAGACACTGAGGATCATGCGAAAGAACCTTGAGTTCTACATCCGGGACAGTCGCAAGGCCACAGGGGCTGCTACAGCGAGCTTGTGATTATGTGGTAGTGGTACCGCACTGGCAGATAGAACCTCAGGGTAACGAACACTTATTTATTTCCTCAAATCGAAGATACTGGCATGCCCAGGGCAATTGTGGGATTATCATAGATCACCATAGCACTAGGGTAATACTATCTGAGCTGAAACTACAGCTTCGCTCTGGGCGCTTCACCGTCATGGTTCCATCCTGGCATATCCGCTAAATCCTTGGCACGCGCTGCCCTTCGTGACTTCAGCGCATCGCCAGTGCCTGGGCGCCATCTCCATGCATGTGCTAGGTCATCTGATAATGTTCCTTCTAGCAGCTCGACCACATGCTTACCAATGTTAGGTAGAAGCTTGAAGGTGTGACTACACATGGTATTAGAAACGTGTGGAAACGTCCAGTACAACAGAACCAAGACTTACCCACTGTCACCCGTGGCCAGAATAAAGTTCTTCCACTCGGGATGTTCACACATCAACAGTGCTGCATCTGCTGTATCGGTACACCAACACAGATGCCTGTTGAACAGTTCCTTCTCGGTAAATTTGGGCAGAAACGTTGCGATCGCCTTGCGGACACTGACCTCCGAGGCGTCCGGGTAGGTATCTGTAGGGTGTTTTGCGGCAGATCTAGGTACAGAAATAAGTTTTGGAGAAGATGCGCCAAAAGGTTGATGCTGCTTGAAGCGCGTAAAACCCGGAAACTCGTCACAGACTTTGATGACGCCGTGTTCATCGGGCTCGAAGAAGAAGCCCACGTCGCCATTGTAGACTACGGGGACGTTCTTGTATTCTGCGGCCTCGCTCGGGGACAGTTGAATGTGAGCGTATACCCAGGCCTTTACATGTTAGATGTGCGTGTTTAATGATTGAGTTGCAGCAATATACCTTCGACACACATTGGTCTTGAAGATCAACCAATGTAGGACTCCATGCACCAGCCGCCAAAACCACCTTGTCAGCATAGTATTTTGTTCCGTCGACCGTCTCAACGCCAACACAAACGCCCTCGGCAAGAAGAGGTTGTTTGAAAGAGCCTGCTCCGCCAAAGCCAAACTTGACGCCTTTGTCGCGCAGAAATCCACCGATAGCGTTGATGGCTTTTGCTGCTGCGAGCCATCCGCCGTCTTGGCTAAAGACGGCTTTCCATCCTTTGATCTGTTCGCGATCGAGAAGCGGCATCTTCTCCAGGATCTTATCCTCCGAGTCTAGCCATTCTGTAGTCGCCTCCAGACCAGCGTTCGCATCGAGCAGGGCTTGGTAAGCTTGTTTGAGATCCGCAAGTCCTTTCTCGCCATGCGCGCAGTCAAGCTATAATATCCGTTAGCCTTGAGTCTGCTCATACGTTTTTTACGTGTTGTCACTCACCCGCCCGGTCTTGTGAAAGTACTCTTTAAACAAATCGTCTTCTGTCCACATCTGCCTTGCCTCTAAGCTCAGCTGCAAATCCACCTTGTTCCGCAAGCGGATGCCCATGATCTTGTTCAAGTCATTGCCAGCTGATTGGGATGATGGGATCGGGTAAGTGTCCAGAACTGTGATATTCGATGGTGTGTATCCCGTGCGTACAAGATGGAGGGCTGTTGAAGACCCAATGGTACCGCCACCACCCACTACGATGACGGAAGTATTGGCCCTGGTAGGTGCCATGTTGGAGTAACAGTGTCTATCACGCTTGAGATTTCTCGCGTACTGGAGTGTCAAAGAGCGATGCCGGAAGTCGTTATCAGTACCGACCCACGATGTTATCCCGCCGGTTAAGTATCGATCAAGGCTGCACACGCCACCAGCGGAATGATACGATGGCGACCCATTTCGCACGCGCCAGATGCGAACTCAGGAAGTTTCGATTGAGTAATTGAGGCCTGCCGTCCCAAGTATCACCGGCCCTCCTCGCTTGGCGATCCCGACTATTACAGTGTCCAAACAGGGTTAGGCTGGCGGGCGTCAGTGGTGCGTAAAGCCGCGGCTATCTCTGTTCCCACCTGGCTTGCGCACCGAGCAAACGCTGGTCTTCCTTAATGCTTTGCATCGCGGTAGCAGGAATGGGTCGATACAGCTGCACCGCGATATCAACAACCCCGAATTGTTACGAGCGCAGTACTCAACCCGCGGAGCATCTTGCGTCTGACTCGCATGCTGTAACCCAAGCGTAGCAACCCGATATCTAAGCCTTGCAAAGCCTGTGTTCCATGTCTAGCGCGTGCTTGCCATCCCTTAACTATCCTAGCTTAGAACCTCCACTTTTCCCGACTGTTCGCACTTCCATGTTCAGCCTAGCCTGCACTCTCACCCAGACTGTCCTCTCCCTCGGACACCCGTCTGCCACCAGAGCCATGGACTCCACAAGTCGCTATCAGCTGGACCCATCGGCGGGAACGACTTGCTTTACCCCAGCTTGGGGTAATGTAGGCCCGAAATCCACAGATAAGCCGGGATGCTGGATGCGTGGATAGACGGCAGGTGGGAGATATGTGTGAGGGGATGTGGTATATATAAAGCTCGCGTGCTATGCTTTTGGTTGCACTTCAGCTCAGAGCTCAGCTCACATCTGTCTCTATTCATTTCTGGTCTTGCCAATAAGAGTCTTCTAAGATGTCTAGACTCGACGCTGCCCCTCCAAATACACATGCTGGCGGTAATGACGATGCTCTTCGCACAAAGGGCAGCGATCCGCTCAACGCTCCTCCCACGTATGAGGTAGCCGATGAAAGAGTCAACATGGAAGAATATGCTAGGACAGTGCCAAGATGGAAGAGAATCTGGCAACACAGTTTGACACAAATGATGTTACTCAGTGTGCAGGCCTTCTGTGGCCCTGCCATGGCTGATGCTATCGCCGGTAAGCTTCCTATCGACGCATCAAATGTAGTGATTTAAGCTAAGAAGGTTCCAGGTCTCGGTGGAGGTGGTCTCGCAACTCCTCAAACCTCGAACATTGCGACGGCTGTCAACTACACAATGCTGGCTGTCTGCTGTGCCCTCGGTGGACCCATTGTTAACAAGCTTGGAACAAAGTGGGCATTGGTCATCGGTGCTTGCTCGTTTCCAATTCGAGGGTCTTCATACTACTGCAACTCCAAGTTCGGAAACCAGTGGTACCTGATTTTAGGTGGCTTCTTCACCGGCATTGGCACCGGCACTTGGTAGTAAGTGTCTTTGTAAGAATTACATGTAAGCCATACACTGACTTGGTACCTCTGGATTCAGTGTAGCTGAGTCGGGCACCATTATGTCTCTTGCACCATCCGGATCTCGTGGCAAATACTTAGCTCTTTGGATCGTTGCTCGAAACTTGGGGCAGCTAGTTGGTGGTGCTATCAAGTGAGTCTTCTCGATGTGGGATCGACAAAGCGATAGCTGACATTAGCCCTACAGTCTGTCGAAAAACCACGAGAAAGGTGTAGTCGGTGGTGTAACACCCGATACATATGTCGCTTTCTTGATTATCGAATGTATGGCCTTGCCCTTTGCCTTCCTCATATCCCCTCTTGAACGAGTCGTACGCTCGGACGGAACGCGTATCCTAGTATCCGAGAAAATCGGCACCAAGATGGAATTCAAACAGATCAAGATAACTATGACCTCAAAGCTGATCTTATTATCTGCTTTCTGGGCTATATGGTCTTTCTTCTACAGGTTCGTCAATCCTGCCAGATACTGACAGGAACACCTGCTGATAAGGCGTTAGTGGTACATGGTCCACCTACCTTGGTACCTACTTCAGCGTCCGCGCCCGCGCACTCTCCTCCCTTATCTCGCCTTTCTTCTGCATCGTTGGATGCTTCGGTTTGGGCTTCATACTTGATCTCAAGGGCGTCAGTCAACGACGTCGCGCACAAATCGGTCTCTTCACAGTCGTGCTCCTCAACCTTGGCGTGTACATCTGGTCGATTGTCATGCAAGCTCGTTTTAACAGCAATAACCCCGGAAAGATCGATTGGGACGATTCGTTATATGCGCGTTCCTTCTTGCCGTACTTCTTTGTTCAAACCACCGGTCCTTTGTCACAGTCGTATATGTACTGGTTGTTGTCTTCCTTTGCAACAGACGCTCAAGGTATGCCTCATTACCTAGTAGCTCTAACAGATCAGAGACTGACAAGATACAGCCAACGTACGCAATGGTGCAGCTTTCCGCTGTCTTGAGGCCATCGGACAAGCCATCTCGTACGGCATGAACACGCAAATCAAGACATCGCCTCTAATCGGATTCTGCGTCACATTCGGTTTGATGGCTGTTGCTCTAGGCCCGATGCTGGTATTGGTGAATTCAACACCAGACCGCATCCCTGCTGATGTGATTGCGGAAGAGCAGTATCACCAAGAGAAGAAGATAGATAATGTGGAGGTTGAGACCAAGGTATGAGCCTGCACAGAGAAGTCTGGTTCGACGAATTGGGAATGGGTCCTTTCGGATGAACACGATATAGACGTGAATACAATATTTGACGTAATTCTGAGCTTGATGTTTTTAAATTGTGGCTCGCAACTCCAAATTCGTCTTTATCAACGGGGCGTAAGAGAGAAACACGTAGACAAGGCGTGAGCCACTGGTCATCTAGCTGCCTCTCCGTCATCGACGGGGCGTCTTGAATGAAAACGAGCTTCTCGTCTTTATGCGTGGCGTTATCAAGTGCTGACATGCCATCATGCAAGTTAGATTGTTTTCTACGCTACCTTTTGCCAATACAAGCATACACTCACGGCCTGTGTATGAAAGGTCGACGTAGTTGATGAGCTCAGCACTAGCTGAATGCGGAAGTCACACAATCTCAGATCAAGGTAACACAAACATTCGGAGAAAGACGTACAGAATTGCGTAAGCTGATACGTTTGAGCAGATCAGAAGCTAAGGCTGTGCTTACTGACTTATCTGGCTATTCTGCCGGTATTTACACGATGCTGACAACGATCAAATGAAGTGTCAACGATTGAGAGTATATCAAGGTACATCTGCACCGGAATCTGCGTTCGGACTTTGCCCTATGCCATTGCAATTTGTCTTATCTTCAATACAACATTATGGCTTCTATAGCAGAGAACGGAGTAGAGCATCCTTCGGGCCAACTCATAGTGCATGCTATCGAAGAGAAGGCGACATGGATACCAAACAACATGTTCATGAGATACGCGTTGGAAGACTGGGAGCAGGATGGTTACAAAACAATTACGTGGAAGCAGTATGCCAACGCCATCGACAAGATGGCTTTTTGGTTTGACGAACAGCTCGAAAAGGTGGTAGATCGCGAAACGGTTGCTTACTTTGGGCCGAACGATCCCCGATATGCCATCCTGGTACCAGCGATTGCTAAAAATGGACGCAAGGTAAGTGTTGATTTTCAGAATGCAAATTTTCGACTGACGACTCTTGTAGTTGCTGGTTCCAGATGGCCGTGTGACCAACGAGGGGCTGGCGGGGTTGGTGGCGTTGACCAACTGCAAAGTTTGGCTCTATGCAACGGACAATGCTGCAGGACCATTGGTTAAACCGGAGTCGAGCTTGAAATTATGTGCAGTGCCGTCATTGGAGTGGATGCTCGACAATGAAGGGCAGGAGCGCTACCCATATGAGACAACCTTTGAAAGGGCCAAGTGGGATGAGATAGTCATCATCCATACATCCGGTACTACTGGTAAGTCAAGCAGAACGCATTCAAAAGCCACAAGCTTATCTTTCTTCAGGCGATCCTAAACCCATCTTTCATACCAACGGGATGTGGTCCGCGCTGAGAAACGTACCCATACTGAGCCGAAGACACTGGCCTCGGGGCATCGTGTATGAAAGCTGGATCGGAAAGACAGCTCTCAATCCTTGTCCACCGCAATGGGTTGCCGGCCTGCATGCGATGATCATGGCGCCAGTGTTTCTCGATGCTCCATGTGTGATGATGCCCAGAGGCGAAGTTACCCTGACTCCCGCCCTGTTCAAGAAGATTACCTCGATGAACAAGATCGATGGCATGAAGTGTCCACCTTTTACTATTGCCGGCCTCTACGAAGATCCAGCAACCAGAGAGATTTTGAAATCGCTGGAGTTCGTCGTGTACATGGGCGCACCCTTGGACCGAGCGATTGGGGACGACCTCTGTCAGCATACGCGATTAAGCCCAGTCATCGGATCTACAGAGACTGGAGACCAGATCGATCTACGACCAGCGGACAGGAGCCTTTGGTACACGCACGACTTCGTTCCGGAGAATGGTCATAAGATGGTGCCTTTTGATACGGACAATCTTCACGAGCTTATCCTCGAGAATGCTGAGGATGGTCGTACCAACCCTTTCCAGCTAGCTTTCTGGAACTCAGGACATCGGTACTTGAAGCGTATTGAAACTAAGGAGCTGTACCGACCTGTCAAAGACTCTGACGGTCGCACACGATGGGCATTCTCTGCTCGCAAAGATGACTTGACGAAGTTGGACTGGCTGGCGAAGTTCCATGCCCAGGACATTGAGAGCCGGATTCTACAACACAAGGAGGTGCAGAACGTGGTGGTGGGTGGGGAGGGTCGTCCTACGCCGTACGTTATTGTGCAAGTAAAGGAGGGAGCATTGGATGAGAAGAGCGAGGCGCGGCTGCTTGATGAGCTGTATGACAGCGTAATTGCTGGCGCCAACAAGGACGATATCGACGAAATCAGGATTCCAAGGGAGACGGTTATGGCCGCGACGAAAGAGAAACCACTCAAGGTTAATCTCAAGCAAGTGGTGCAGAGGAGAGCTATTGAACAAGACTACCTGGAGGAAATTGAGCAAGCATATCTGCAGTTAGAGAGAGCCAGAGGGACCTAGTTTCATCCGAATGACACTCGACGCGAAATCTAGCCAACTCTTCTCCGTTGCTTGTTGTTTGATGATGGTGCTTTAGGTCGAGTCAGCCAAACCTAGGAAAGCGCGTCCACGGCAGCCACAAAACGCGCTAGCTGTGAACCTCGGCATATTGAGGTAATGATGTCGGTCGTTGCGGTTGACTTACTCCGCATTTCATGGAAGAGCGTCCATAAACACTGAGCTGTCTTGTTTGGTGAAATTTTTTACGGTCCTTAATCTACGTTGATAGTACAAGCGATCTTACAAGCATAATGTCCTACTCCAAGCGCATCGACCAGATTGAAGGCCATCTCAACTACCCCAAGGGTATGTTGGCTGGCCAAACTGCCATCATTACAGGTTCTGGACAGGGAATTGGCGCTGAGGCTGCAAAGCTGTTTGCGAAAGAGGGTGCGAAGGTTGTAGTTGCTGATGTAGATGCTAGTGGGTTGATGCAAGTATCTTGAATGTCTGAATACCAGCTAACAGCTCGCAGAGAAAGCGGGCTCTGTAGCCGCAGAGATCAACGAATCTGGTGGCAGCGCCATAGCTGTGGCAGGCGACGTGCTCGACGATGCCTACGTCAAGAAGCTCATCTCTGAAGCCGCTGAGTTTGGAGGCGGCAAGATCCACATCATTGTGAACAATGCCGGCTACACATGGGACGGTGTGATCCACAAGATGACGGACAAGCAATGGCACACTATTGTCGACCTGCACGCGACAGCGCCGTTCAAGATTGTGAGGGCTGCAGCACCGTACTTCAGGGTCAAGGACGGCGAGCCTAGGAACATCATCAACATCTCAAGCACAAGTGGTGTAAATGGCAACGCGGGACAGATCAACTACGCGCTGGCCAAGGCAGGTGTTACTGGTATGACCAAGACAATTGCCAAAGAGTATGTTCTTGTCATGTTTCCCCTACTATGTCCCGCCTAACAATGTGCAGATGGGGCCCTCAATTCGGCGTGCGCGCAAACACGGTTGCTTTCGGTCATATTCAGACGCGCTTGACGGCGGCGAAGGAGGCTGGCGCCTTCATCACAACACCCGACGGCGAGAAGGTAGCGCTGGGTATACCACAGGCACAGAAGGCGGGTGCTGGTCAGGGCCAGGAGCACATGGACATTCCGCTGAGGAGACCTGGTACAGCGACCGAGGCGGCGAGTGCCGTGTTGGCCGTGGCGAGTCCGCTGTTCAGCTATGTGAACGGAGAGACGATCAAGGTGACTGGAGGCAGGAATATGTAGAGAAAGTGCAAGACTGGTGCGACACTTGACAAACTCTTCTCCCCTCGTAGCTCAAACACTTGGTGTGGTGATGAAGTCGCAAAAGACAGTGGCATGGTTTCAACTACCAAGCATCTTGGACAGGGTCTCGGCGCGCGTGTTCCGCTCCGCTATCCCCAGATGCATCTGCCACCAGTCTGCCGCAACATCCAGACAAGACGTAGCCCCTCGTCGACTTTGTTCTTGCGTGTGTTCCTATAATTTGCCGTCACTCCCTAGATCCGTCCACCATGTACATGCGCAATCGACAGCCCACGTCACCAATTACTCTCTGAAGCATCCGCATACCTAGTTAGCCATCGTTCGCTCTCGCGGACCATTCGCCGCGGGCGAGCATCCCCTACCACGACCTTGCGCAACACGTGTACGACGACGACGACACCCTCTCCCTGCCACTAGCTCGCCATGAGCGACGAGAAGCATGGCTACGTCCGCGAGCCATCACCACCGCCCATCCCCACATACGACGAGGCAACCTCGTCGCGCAATGCCCCTGCGCGCCTGGGACCCAACGAGACCAGCGACGATGCCGAGCGGCAAGGCCTGCTAAGCCCGCATGTCCGCGTCCAGTCGGATCCGCGCAGGCGCAATGGATACTACCAGGCTCCTTCAGTGCAGTCGGTAGACGACGATGGCGACTCGGATCTCGGGAGTCCGGTGCGGGAGAGCCAGGACGAGGACCTGCGCCAGACCATGGAGGAGATGGATATCCTGGACCCAGAGGCCGTCGAAGAAGGACGGGCGAGGCGGAACAGATCACGAGGGAGGTTCTCGAAACGCTTCTACAGTATCAGACATTCACTTTCCAGTTGGAACCTGCCCCGGATACCCTGGCCGAGCTGGCGTCCCAACTTCAGCGCCGTGACGGACCATATACCCACCATACCAGAAGAGTACAAGCCAGGATGGTCCATCATTGCCCGACTGTTCGGTCTCATCTTGATCATAATCCTCGTCTACTTTCTCGTCGTCAGCGAGGTGGTGCCCATGGGCGGTGGATTCGGCACCCCATTCAACCCCGAATGGGTACGGTCCACGGCCATGGGGAGCGTCGAGAGCTGGAGAATTGAGAAGAATCTCGAGTACATCACAAGCTACGACCACATAGGCGGAACCGAGGGAAGTTACGTGCTGGGCCAGTGGATCGAAGGCAAATTCAAGGACGCACACATGGATACATATACCCATGATGAGTATGCTAGACATCCGAGCCATTGTTGAGCCCCACGCTGACTTGACCAGATACTACGTATACATGAACTATGCGACCAAGGGCGGCCGGAAAGTCGCCATCGTGGATCCACCGGACAAGAAATGGGAAGCCAAACTCGAAGAACCGTCCGTCTTCAATCCAGCCAAAGCCCAGACGCCCGCCTACCACGCTCTGTCCGCGAGCGGGAACGCTACCGGACCTCTGATATACGTCAACTACTGCGACAAGAAAGACTTCAAGCGGTTATGGGATAGCGAGGTGGACGTGCAAGGTGCAATCGTGCTTTGCCGATACTACGGCACACAACCCGACCTAGCCATCAAAGTCAAATATGCCCAAGACGCTGGAGTCGCCGGTGTCTTGGTATACTCGGATCCAGCAGACGACGGCTTCAAAAAGGGAAATCCCTGGCCGGATGGCAAATGGCGACCTGGTGACAGCGTGCAACGAGGCTCGGTTGCACAGACAAACATGATCATGGGAGATGTTCTTACGCCTGGACGGCCGAGTGTGAAGAAGGTGGAGCGTATGCCGCGCGACAAGAACCCAGCATTACCCAAGATCCCAAGTCTACCACTTTCCTGGAAGGATGCGCAGAAACTCCTCAAGTCGCTCAAAGGTTCAGGCGAGGAGCTGCCGGATGAGTGGGTCGGCGGTGTGCCGGATGTTGGCGACAAATGGTTCTCTGGTCATCCAAAGACTTCTCCAAAGGTGTTCCTGCAAAACGACCAGGATGAGGTCGAACAACAGCGCATCACCAACGTTTTCGGATCTCTCAAGGGCAGCGAAGATCCCGCTAGCAAGATCGTAATCGGAAACCACCGCGACTCCTGGTGCTTCGGTGCAGCAGACCCGGGCTCTGGCACGGCTGTTATGCTCGAAGTCGTTCGTGTGCTAGGCGAGTTGCGTACTCAAGGGTGGCGACCCCTCCGCACTATCGAGTTTGCTTCCTGGGACGCTGGTGAATATAACAGAATCGGCTCCACAGAGCACGTTGAAGCCAACGTCCAAGCCCTTCGCGATAGCGCTATTGCCTATCTCAATGTCGATGTGGGCGTGACAGGTGACAAACTCTGGGCAAACGGCTCCCCCATCTTCCAACATGCCTGGACGCGCGTGCTCGACCGACTGTCCGATCCCCACGAAAACAAGACTCTAAAAGAACTCTGGGAGACCTCAGACTCCAAGATCGGCAATCTAGGGGCCGGAAGTGATTACGTCGCCTTCCAGTCCATCGTCGGTACCTCCTCGCTCGATTTCGGCTTCACAACTAAACAAGGCCAATCGAATCCCATCGCGCGCAGCTGCTACGAGACGCTCTCCTGGATGCGCAAATACATCGACCCCTCCTTCTCCTACCATGCGCTGCTCACGCAACTCTGGGTTCTCCTTATCCTCGAGCTTGCCCAAGAGCCCATCATCCCTATGAAGATTGACGATTATGCCCGCTCTTTGCAAGAAGAGGGCCAAAAGCTGTTGGACTGGACTGAGAAGGTGAGCGGTGGTGGAGAGTACGACATTGAGATTTTCCAGCCTCTGGTAGACAGCCTTAGTATGTTCAAGAAGAAGGCAGAGGCGTTTGGGCGTTGGGAACAAACTTGGTATAACCAAGTCTACGCGACTGGTGGCTTTGAGAGCAGTGGTGTCACTATACAAAGAGTCGCACACAACGGAAGAATTGCGGGTTTTGAGACCGACTTGCTTGATCTTGCAAGGGGCAAAGATGACAAAGGGCCTCATGGTGTAAGTTCCACTCATTCTTTCATAAATATGGCCAACATCGACTAACACGCATAGCTCCCCAATCGCGACCAATACAAACATGTCATCTTCGCCCCCGATCTTAACAACGGCCTGGAAGCCAGCGTCTTCCCTTTTGCACGCGAGGCAATCGAGAAGAAAGACTGGGACGCCGCTGCCAAAGCGATCAAAAAGACGGCTGATATATTGAACCGCGCGAGCGACAGGCTCGGCTGACATTCGTATATGTGTGTATAGCAGAGTTGCATTTACATGGTGTTTTGGGCGTAATGAAAGAATGGCAACATTGCATCATCGGTTTGGGGGTCCATCTCGTATGTAGTGCTGGTCTTCAGCTTCATCTGTTGGTATAATATTGACGTCAATCTTGGTGAACATCACCATCACCATTAGACAATTACGTCTAGTCATCACGTCTCATACTGTACTATCCATATTAGTTATGCCCCATTGTGTTGATGGCGCAAACAACCCCTTGTCTTTCTCGATTTTCGCATTCTTCTGCCAGCTCGCTTCTTGAGATCGAAAACACACAAAGGCGATGATACGACTTCCTCAAGAAGGATCGAAATATCGTAACATGTTTCTCCCGACGTCTCTGGTGTCGACTTCGGCCTGGACGATTGGAAGAGAACGCAAGTTTATGAATGTGGTGAAGGCCGGTCTCATTATCCTGATAATTTCCTTGCACCAAGGTAGTGTCGACTCTGATTAATCTGATGCGTCTGAATGGGGTCTTGCAAGAGAACCTGCTACTTGACAATGCATATATCAAACTACGAGAGCTTTGGGATCATCAAGGAATACTGATCCCGAGTGGTATTTGAACATGGCGCACTGTCGACTCGCAAGTCGTAATATTTAGTGCCGGGAGCCATCTTAGCAATCGGCGATCTAGTGGCGTTCGAACGTTCGATGAACTCTACTGTGCTCTCGGTAAGTCGTCTGCGACAGTGGTTTGGTGGTTAGAACGAATTTCTTCCGTCGCAATCTCTCGTTGTGTGCAGCCGAAAGTTAGTTTCGAGGTTTCGTGATGCTTTTACTACGATCCTTAAGTCTGTTTTGATTTTGGGGTATAAATCTCAAAAGTGCTAGCAGCCCGTTGAAATGGTAGCTGGGTAATCGTACGAGTAGAGCCAGTGCAAATCTCCACGTTGTGACTGTCCGAAGCGAAGCCTCTGTCTAGTCAAGAACCGCCACGGCTGCGACCGAAAAACGTGGAGTCAGCCAGGCGCTAGAAGCACTAGTCGGTGACTAGTTCTTACGTACAGTCCAGCGAAACCTCGGCCGCCCCGACAAGCTCCTATCACTATGCTGAATAAACGGCTTCATGCATCGGTTCACCGTTCAGCGGCTCGACTGACGCTGCCTCATGAGTTCGAGTGCTTGATGTCAGGCACCGCACCAGCCGGCACATCCACGTAAGACGCCATTCGACTTCCAGACCGAACAAACAGATATCCCCAGCCTGTGAGCAAAACGTATGCAACAACATTCATCAAGTACCGGTCTAGCATACCGCTAAGTGATGCGCTGCACAACACACTTTTCGCTTCGAACATAAAGTGAGCCAGTGAAGAGGAAAGCGCTCTGAATTCGATACAGCCAGTACGCCCGAAACACCTCATCGCGTTAGCGTTCAGCCTCAGCACCCCTGAGCAAATCAGCCCATGTACTACCAGCACCGCTTGGGATAATCGACTGTTTTTACTCGCACAACAGCGAAGCCGGCTGACTAGACAAACAACATGCCTATGACGCCCAGCCTCGTGGCTTGCGTCGTTGGCTTCGGAAAAGATGTAGTGTCGCTGTGTCTGCTCGAAGGAAAAGCCACCAGCTGAAGTTTTGGCACGATGTAGACGCTTGCCGGCCTAGAATCGCCCGACATGGGAAACTATGCTCGCTTCTTTGCTTGGAGAAATCGATGACAGGTCATGAGACGATTTGTATAAGGAGACCGCTACGCAGCGATGGTGTTGAAATGAAACCACATCTTCGAAGCGCTGCAAATGCACTCACACTCGTTCCATCCTCATTCATTCAGCTCAGCCACATACTACTCTAGATCAATATAGTGACCGTTGTTCAAACTTCCTTCTACTATCGTCATTCTGCGCTGTTGCGTCAACCAACCTCATATTAGCCAACGCCAAGCATCTTCTTTCGATCGCAATGTCCGGACCAGAAAGCAAACTCGGCGGTCTTTCCACCAGCATAGTCGCCGTAATTGCTGTGGGTGGTGTCGCGGGCCTTCTGGCACTCATCGTCGTCGCTGCTATCATTATGGATATACCAAAGCGTATGAAAAGGAAGAAGAACACGGGCATCATGGCAGCGGAAGAGATGGAGAAGAATAGTATGGATATCGAAGAAAAACCTATGGGAATCAATGAGATGAGCAAAGGCGCTCCCAAAGTGTCGACAACCCGAACATCGATGAGATCTCCAAGCCAATACTCAAGCACGCAAGTTGATCGGTCAACGTCGCCAGAGTGTCAATGCGCACATCCTTCGATAGTAATACATCCGTCGCCAGTATATATGAGTACCTCGACGTTATCACAAGGTTATTAAAACCCTGCCATGTACCCCACGAACCTCTTGGATAGGACGGCCCGTTTCTACTCCATCCGGGCCGATTCGGGCTCTCGGACAACTTTTACACCTTTATTCGGCGTTAGCATCTGTGATGGCTTCACTAAATCCGAGCACATTTCGTTGCCATGAGATCAAGGCGTTGTGTTCGGAAGTGTGGTACCTTTTGTCGACACGGTGTATGGAGTTAACGGCTATAAACGCTGGGCAACACGAAACTGCGAGCCTCGCGCATCAACCTATCGCTTGCTCTAGCACTATCATCCAAAGTGCTGTAGTCTAGGCACCAGGTGCATTCTTCTTCTCTAGCACCCGATTCGCCACTGTCATACTGCATCATCGTCGTGCCAAATACAGATGGCATAGATTTCAGCTTTGTAAAATCAGTCAGCGTCAGCACTTGTAGTAATGAAGGCTTTGATGCCCCTCGAGTAGAAGGAAGAAATTCTTTGATTGTTGGTCTCTGCCATCTGCTGTAGTGCGTCATATCGATGTGCTGCCCAATTTGTATAGTCTTGAAAGGGCAATTGCTTTCTCTCTTGCGTCGATCTCGCGACGACGATGCGTTAGGGCTAAGGATAGTATGTTGCTAACGCATACTACGATCAGAGCGAGATGTCTTAGGTAATAAGCACTAAGAAACGAGGCCAACGTCATGCCCCACGTTTCATACCTTACCAGTGGAGTAAGGTAGACGCTCTATCGAGGCAGCTGTCGCGGCCATTCCGTTCCAGTGCTACCGCTTACTTTCTACGACAAAGATATGGAAAGGTACTCAATCTACATAAATACTCGAGGACTCCTTCCAGACTGAAGGTAGCACCTGTACAGACTTTCAAGGCTCTTCCTCCTGACCTTTATTGAGACTGCATTATTCTCATAATCTTTCCACACTTCCATTATTGTCCATCTCTGCTGCATTCACAACACCGTTCACGATGGCGGACTTCAAACCCTACAGCGAGCAGCCCGAGCTCCATACCAAAGCCCCTTACCGCGCTGCTATGCTCACTCAGCCTGCAAATCTCAAGCAAGCGCTCAAAGACGCTCAAGCTGATGCGAGTAAAAGTCTCATGGGTATCGCACAAGGCATCCCAAGTACCTTCATGACCAAGTTGATCGCATCCACGAAGCCAGATTTCATCTGGTTCGATGTGGAGCATGGCATGTACAACCGGTTGACATTACACGAGTAAGTTGTCTTGTTAGGACGGTCAACCATGAGATTGTTTTAAGGCCGGGGTATACATAAGACCATACCGCTGACAGATGCGACATAGTTGCATCCACGCCGCACAACATCACTCGGAGGGAAAATCAATGGCCATCTGCCGTGTACCAAAACATGACGAAATCAGCCTCACAACAGCACTTGATGCAGGTTGTGCCGGAGTCGTCATCCCGCATGTTGAAACCGCCCAAGAAGTCAAGGACTTCATGAAAGAGATGTACTTTGGCGGTACGTCACCCTTTCTTCTCTTCATCTTCCCCATGATACTGATACATTTTTCTAGGCGGTAAAGGCCACCGTTCATTCAGTCCCTGGACCTTCACTCCTGGAATGACACAATCTCTTTACCCCAACGATGCCTACCAGGTGCAGACGGCGAACAATCACGTCTGTATTATCCCGCAGATCGAATCGGTCAAGGGTGTTGAGAATTGCGAGGAGATTGCTGCAGTAGAAGGCATCTCTGGTCTCATGTTCGGCCCTGGAGATTACATGATTGAGGCTGGTATGGATATCGATGGATTCTTGAAGGGAAACCCTGATCCCAAGTTCTTCGAGGCGATGGGCAGATTCAATGCTGCGGCCGCCAAGCATGATTTACCTATCTTTGGGTAAGTCTATGGTCCTTTCCGATCTTGAAAAAGGTAGCTAATGATGATCAGTGGTGTGATGGGGGTAGATCAGATACCAATGGCCATTCAGTCAGGTATGCGAGCAATTGCTGTGCAGTTCGATGTCTGGGGCACTACACGACTCTTCGCAAATTCTTTGGAAGAGGGCTGGAAACATGCAAAAAGCTTCGAGGGAAACTCGAAACCGAGTATGGCGGACGGACAGGCGAAGACGCCTTGATAAGCTTGGTTAATGGATGGAGGAGTTTGTTTTTCTTGTATTGTGAGGTAACAAATGAATGTAGCTAGGGAGATTGTACTCCTAATCCCGCAATGAGTAATGATAGACAGAACATCTGACGCAGTTCGCAGTCAGCTGTGTTACCTCTAGTGTTGCAGAGAAAGCCAGACTTAAGCTAATGGTGGGAAGCCTTACGCAACAACAAGGCCTCTAATAAATATTCTAAAGAGACAGTCTTATTTGCAGTACTCTATTATATATTCTATCCTTTTATTAGGGTTTATTAGCCGTGTTGTAGTAAGTAATTAGAAGAAGAGGCCGAATTGAAGCTGCTCTTACTTCCGGCTTTTTCTGCAACGCTAGAGGTTACCTTCGCGAATTATTGCTGTGCCGCTGTCGCCACTGTTAATGGATTTCGGAAGACGCGAGAGGAAGAACCAATATAGCGTAGGGATAAATCCGACTTTACCGTAGTGCAAGGCAGAAATCCTGGAAGTGATCATTGTTGCACACCCCAAAAGAGGGCATTGATTTTCCTGCCACATTAGGCGTCCGGTTGAAGGCCACCTTAACGAGGCTGTGTGCGTACTTGGCACTCTGAGAGTTTGCCAATCAGCTCTACCGGTGCGCAGAGCGTTTCCTGAACTCTATGAGCTATACTCGAAAGAGCTAGCCGAGTGCTACTCACCATGAGAAGGATGGACATAGCCTTGTGATGCCATCGCCGGGCGGTGATATAAGTAGAACAATTCGATCGTCTTGCAAACATTGGTAGTACCTACCGACATTCCCTTTGATACAGTATCAATTTGCATGCGTTGGTGCAAATTTGTATATCAAGATATCACTTCCTTATCATGTCCTTCCCAACTTCAATAAATCTTGACAACTGCGAACAAGACTCATCCAACAAATACATTTGCAGCACGTCTGCTCCGAACAGTGACTACGGTTAGTATATCTTGAGGTTTTGTCTCACGTTCGAATACCTAATTCTGGATACTAGAAAATGCAAAGAACGATGCGCAAAGCGCCTTCGGTAAATTCATCTTTACAGCATTGAAGCGGTTCAGTCTAACTGACTACTGATATAGACAGCGCTGTGAAAGCGCAGCAGAGAACAATTGGCATAGGCGTGGGGGTTGGAGTGGGACTGTTTCTCCTTTTCGCTGGCCTGGCTATCTGGGCGTTCCGACGGCATAGCAAGAAGCGAACGCGACAAATAAACGAACAGGCACAGACGCAGGCGAGTGTGCTACAGCCAAAGATGTCACAGACGAACCCACCGCAATCGTGGATAGGTCAGCGAGATGAAGTGGACGGGCTAGCATACAGGACTGAGGTTGAGGCTCAAGACAAACCGCAGCAGTACCAGCCGTACCAGGCCCAGGAGATGAACGCGAATCCGTACGGTAGCCAGTTCCAAGGTGGTCCGATATTAGAAGCGCAAGGAACACATGATGCTCAGGAGATGCCGTTGAGCTATAAGCACCATCCGCCGCAGGAAATGCCAGGAGGCACACAGGACGGAGGTGTTGAGAGGCGATGAGTTAGTTTGTGTTGCAATGCCAGGATTTCATCTCACATCAGCGTTCTGATGTAAGAGCGCGACGTTTTGACTGATAACAACATGGTTCGGATAGAGCGGACAGTTCCAAATTATGTGGGTAGTGGTAGAGGTTTTGGATGGTTCCAGCCGGTCGCCTCCACGTCGCGTCAAATGTGGCCCGTGCGTTACCAGCCATCACCCAACCACCACATTTCCAGCCTTCGAGAAATTACGCAACACAACAGCAGCTGCTATGGATCTAATAAACGGATACCTACATCGCAGTTCCCACTCTGTTCTCTGCCAGCGCATACCAACGCCGAAACCGTGCTCAACACGTGTACACGACTATCAACGGCGCCAGACAGTCAATAAGCCTCTTTGATACTTTCAAGACCATGCTTCTCAACCCTCGAACTCTGGCTCTGGCCGCTCTTTTCTCCACACTGGTTACTGGTCGGCCTTTTGACTCACCAAAACAGCGCGACATTGGTCGACGCGACAAGAGCTATTCGGTTGTGAATGTTGGTGGAGATTCATCAACTCCAGTGCCTGCGACAGCCACTTCGGTGATTGAGACGACAAAGACTGTCGAAGTCGTCGGTCCGGGAGCAACAATCACTCAGGAAGTTACTACAACCGTCATCAAGCCTCAGCCGGCGCCAGCACCGACAACCAGCTGCAGCTCGAGCAGCGCATCGAAGTCTTCGTCTTCGTCAACACCCGCTCCAACAACGACGTCGACGTCGACTCCAGGAGGATCTTCATCAAGTCCCAGTCCGTCGGTACCTTCATCAACATCCATGGCAACATCAACCATCTCAAGCTCGTTCTTTAGTAGCATGTCGACACCAATCGAGACGCCGAAGCCAATATTCGTTACCGTCACAATATCGAAGGACGAAGGTCCTACCGAGTACTATGACGATGGCATGTGGCACACGCACTACCGCATCAAAACGTTCGAGGCTGCCGCAGTGGTCACGGCGGCCCCGTAGCCGGCTTCATTCTCTTCTCTCGCTTGGGCGGTGGACTGGTCCGATCCGCCTGTTCTTTTCTTGTCCTGTGTTTTACGATATATACGAGTAATGGTTGGAAGCCATGATATGATGGCGAGGATTTGAAGCATGATGACTAGACGCGTCTGCGAGACGAGCACACATGTACAACTAGATTAGATAATAGATGCATGAACAAGCGCAAGATTTGAAATGGAAGAGTGATGGCTAGCCTGGTGATGACGCAGCTCGAAGGGGAAGCTCGCATCCCTGCTGGCTTGGCGAACGGTTACGCCCAAGGCGGCGGTGCCTATGCACCACGACCAGCTCTCCACAACCCCGGACGATCCGCTTCTCTCGCACACAATGGCGTCGCCGCCCCCCGTAGAAGACCAGGCTCGTCTGCTCGAAGATGCCCTCGCCGTGGTGCGCCAGCAGACGATGCTCATGCGGCGGTGTCTCGAGACGCCGGGCAAGTTGATGGATGCGCTCAAGTGCAGGTACGCGTGTGACGTGATATGAGGGCTGTTCTGGCTATGCGCTGCAGTACTAATGACTCCAATGCACAGCTCGACACTTGTTTCCGAACTTCGGACCAGCAGCCTCGGCCCGAAGCAGTACTACGAGCTCTACATGGCCGTCTTCGATGCCCTGCGCCATCTCGCCGTCTACCTCCGCGAGAACCACCCCGTAAACCACCTTGCCGACCTCTACGAACTCGTCCAGTATGCCGGAAATATCATCCCCCGCTTGTACCTCATGGTCACCGTCGGAACCGTCTACATGGCTATTGAGGATGCGCCCGTCAAGGAGATTATGAAGGACATGATGGAGATGAGTCGCGGAGTCCAACACCCTATCCGCGGTCTGTTTTTGCGCTACTACCTTGCGGGTCAAGCACGCGACTGCCTTCCATCTGGCGACAGCGAGGGGCCCGAGGGCAATCTCCAAGACTCCATCAGCTTCATCTTGACAAACTTTGTCGAGATGAACAAGCTGTGGGTGCGACTACAACATCAGGGACATTCCAGGGAGCGCGAACAGCGGACCAAAGAGCGACAGGAACTGCAACTTCTCGTGGGAAGCAACCTGGTCAGGCTCAGCCAATTGGTTGACTTGGACAACTACAAGAAGATCTTGAACCCGTTGCTAGAGCAGATTGTACAATGTCGAGATGTTCTCGCGCAAGAATACCTGCTCGAGGGTATGTATCAAGCCGCCGACACCCGGAGACCGCTAACATGCAGCAGTTGTTACACAGGTCTTCCCTGACGAATTCCACCTACACACGCTCGATCAGTTCCTCTCTGCCGTTGCGCGCTTGAACCCACATGTAAACGTCAAAGCCATTGTCGTAGGCCTCATGGACCGATTGTCGTCGTATGCGCAAAGAGAAGCCGAGTCCGAAAGCCCGGAACAGCGAAAAAAGACGGAAGAGGAGTCGATAGCACAGCTCATGGAACAAATGCGGATAGCAAAGGAGAAGAAGGCGGCCGAACCAGAGCCAGCGCCAGCGCAGCAGAACGGAGACGCACCAGAGACTTCGGAGACAGAACCAAGCACAGAAGAGGCTTCCGAAGAACCCCCCAAACCAACGGATACCTCTGCTGAGACTGAAGAGAACCAGGCGGCCGAGACAGACGGTGATATCGAGAAGAGGCGTGGTATACCCAACAACGTCAAACTGTTTGAGATCTTTCACGAACAGGTACAGACGCTGGTCAAGATGCAGCGGTTGCCAATACAGGACACAATCGGATTACTGGTGTCGCTGGCAAACCTCGCCCTGTATGTTTTACCAGTATTTACGATGACGACTGCGCTAATTCTACTAGAAATATCTATCCCGAAAGACTCGATTACATTGACCAAGTCCTTACCTTTGCAAACCAGAAGGTCGCCGAATACCAAAACAGCGCCGACCTACACTCACAAGCCACCCAAAGCCAGATCCTCAGTCTCCTCCTTTCGCCCATCAAGACCTACATCTCTCTCTTCACCGCGCTCGCGTTACCGAACTTCATCCCTCTTTTACATTCACAACCGTACCCGACTCGGAGAGCAGTTGCCGGCGAAGTCGCAAGGAGTCTGATGCGGAATCAGACCTTCATTGCATCTGTAGAGAACCTCGAAAGTGTGCTAGAGATTCTCAAGGTCCTCATTCGCGAAGGCATCCAACAAGCCCAAGGATACCCAGGTGGACCAATCCAAAGACGAGCACAGGAAACAGAGGAGACAATAGAAGAGCAAGGATGGCTAGCGCGGATAGTACATCTCATCCGTGGCAAGGACAACGATACCCAATTCAAGGTGAGTAAGATTAATGTTCAACCAAGATGCACACTAACAGCTCTCTCAGCTCCTCCAAGCTGCGCGCAAGTCTTTTGCCGAAGGCAACGAGCGTGTCAAATACACATCCCCGGCCATTATCACAGCATCACTCAAGCTCGCACGTCAATACAAGAAGCGCGAACACTTCGAAGACAACTGGCAATCGCAGTCATCAGCTCTTTACAAGTTCATGCACAACACCCTATCGACGCTGTACACCCGCGTTACAGGCTCCGCAGATCTCTCGCTCCGCCTCTTCATCGCCTGCGGTCAAGTAGCAGATCAAAACGGTTTCGAGGAGGTCGCGTACGAGTTCTTCGCGCAAGCATTTACAATATATGAGGAAGCGATTAGCGATTCAAGAGCGCAGTTCCAGGCTGTGTGCGTCATTGCGAGTGGCCTGCATACAACAAGAAACTTTGGCAAGGAAAACTACGATACCTTGATTACAAAGTGCGCGTTGCATGGAAGCAAGCTACTCAAGAAGCCAGATCAATGTCGTGCGGTATACCTTGCAAGTCACCTGTGGTGGGCGACTGAGATTAGGGCGTTGGGCGAAGAGGATCCAAAGAATGTAAGCGAAATCAATTCTACTCTCGACAAGATTGATACTGACAAGTATAGCTCTATCGCGATGGCAAGCGTGTGCTTGAGTGCTTACAGCGTGCTCTCCGCGTGGCCGATGCATGCATGGACGCTGCGGTCTCTGTTGAACTATTTGTTGAGATACTCAACAGATATGTCTACTACTTCGACCAAGAGAACGACGCTGTAAGTTGCACTCTTCTCCTTTCATATGAATGTCACTAACAACAAGCAGGTCACGACGAAGTACCTTAACGGCCTCATCGAGCTCATTCACTCAAACTTACAATCCAACGAGAATGCTTCTTCGCTTGAGAACCCAAGGAAACACTTTCAGCGCACCCTGGATTACATAGCGAGTCGAGAGTACGAAGGCGTGGTCACGGCACCGAAGTAATGTTTGTAGGAAAAGGAGGCGCAGTGCCTATTTTGAGTTGGAGCTCCTTGTACGACTACATGTACATGGATATTGCACGCTCGTATACCAAGTACATAGCATGGGAAAATCGAGAATGTTAATGAAGTCGAATGTGTTCTAGTGTGAACGCGTCTGTGCTGATACCTTCATAACCGCTTGCAAGGAGAATAGTGATGATGAGCTTAATCGCGACTAGCCAAATCTATCATGAACACACGTCAGAAGAGGAACGAAAGTGATAGCGTGTTGATGCTACTTGGTGCGTTTCCAGGTTGTCAAATTCAGTCAAATATCATGTCCTCTATCTTTGCGTCAACACTCCCTTTTCAATCTTGGAAAAAAGAACAAGTGTTCGATGCATGGACATGGATGCGTCCTGTCCGTCGCAAAGACACAGGTAAGGCGATGTTACCGTTGCCTGGATCTTGACTTCACAGTGGAACATGGAAAGAGAGTGCAGCATTTTGTATGTAGATGTGGTATACTTCAGAATAAGATAAATAAAAAAACTACTTACGCCAGTTCGCCCCGGGAGGAGAGCGCAATAGACTTCATATTAGCTTGACATTCCATATCGTGTACACTCTGAGCCTCTAGAGTTCCCACGACTGCTCCATTCAACGAAGTTCTAGCTCCTTCACAGAACTAAGACATGGTCATGTCAGGCAGCTTTCCCTTGTAAAACTCGGAACGCCCTTCGTAATCAAAATCCAATCCGACACATCCAAATTCGACCATTTTCTTATCGAAGTTCTGGTACGTGTACTCGATGAACATGTCAATACCCACATCGTAGTTAGTACAAGCTGTGTCGGATTCACATTTTGGGAGGACTCACCACACCCAGCACCACCGGCGGTCCAAATCTCCGCACCATCGAAGCAACCCGCATCAACGACCCACCTGCGATCCACCCACTCCGTACCAGGAAACATCTTGCTCGCCACCTCCACCATAACTCTATTTGTAGTAGCTTTCTTCCCTTCCAACACCCCACTTCTCGCTAGCCACATAGCTCCCGTACATGTCGTTAGAATGACTTTGGTCTGCTTACTTGCCTCCTGCAAGAACGACAGGCTCTCTTCTTTGACAGTAGCTGGGTTTGGGCCACCGAGGAGCAGGATATCTAGGTCGCGTGGAGCAGTCGCATAGGTGTGCGTGGGACGCACGTACATGTCTGGTGTGACATGGGCGGAATCCATAGAGGAGGAAATATATAGAAAGTCCATGGAGATGGCATGAGGCACCATGGAAGCGAACTGCGGGTTCATAGCTGCGATCAGATTGATGGTTTGGGGAGTCAAGTTGCCGAGGAGGTCAAGACCCGCAAGGTCCTAGATATGGGTGTACAAAGTCAGTGTATATCTCTCGTAGCTCTGCAACAGAGACACCCACGGTCATTTGAGTTCCTTCGTAGAGGACGCCGACGCGGATGGGAGTCTTGGTGGGGCACATTTTGGTAATATTGGGAGATTTGAATTATGGTCAAAGTTCGTGGGGTTATTAGTGGTTCGAAATATTGGTCATTGTCTTCAAGCACTTTATAAAACTTCGATTGTACGCAACGGATGTACTGATGCATCCCGCTCCGCTTATAGTGGCATGTAGATCCATGCATCATTTCCATCCTCCAGTGCTTTTGTGCACTTCCAAATTGGATTTACCGTCACGAACGAATAGTGGCTACAAGAATATTGTTGCCTGAAATGTGAGGTGGGGACAAAGAACCGGAGCGGATATGAGAATCACGCCGTGCCGCTTAGGCAACAGGTAATGGGAGTTTGATTGTATAAAACTAGACGCCTAAGAGACTTGGATAGGAAATTCTCAGATCTGAGTTGTAGGTATGTACAAGAAGGAAAACGTTCGATAGGGAACGGTGTGTGGACCACCGTATGCGTAGCGCACCATAGGTACAATTTGCTAGGGGCACCAGTCAAGTGTTGATATACAATGGATAACCATTAGAGATTAATGAAAGTCATGATTTCGTGGGTACCGCTGCATCAGTACCTGGGCGGCGCTTCTGAGCTGAAACGACGGAATTCCTCCCTCGCCAATTCTCGCTCTCTTGCATCGGAGCTCGTGGAGCTATTATCAGTACTGTACTTTGAACTTGTCTGCCGTGTCATCATGTGGGAAGCAGGTGTGACAGGAGTGAAAGGGGTGACAGGGGTAATAGGAGTCTTGGGCGTCTTGGGTTCCTCTGATCCTGCGACTGAGGCAGCACGTGTTCGCTGGAGCGATGCGTCTACGATTCGAGTAGAATCGCTGCTCATGTGGTTCAGTAGTGAGATAATCTCCAAGCTAGGACTTCTTGCCGGACTGGGGCGGTGAGGAGGTCTGAGCGACGACTCCATAGGCCTTTGAATTGGAATTTCGGGTATCTTTTCGACAGCAGGGGTTCTTCGACCCCCCTGAGAGTTAGCGCTATTCGCACGACTGCGAATGACCTCTTTTTGTGGAAAGGTAACTCGCTTGCGGGAATTTCGAGACGGTGAGCGACCATCGTTTGTAGAGGGTAGAGTCGGCGTATAAACCTGAACTGGAGACTTTCGATGTGATCTTGGAGGTGGTGTCGCAAGGCTAGATTTCGGTCTTTCACTATTCATCTCCAACTTTGCTAGGGCGTCGGTCACCGCATCACCTACGTCTATCTCGTTTAACTGGTGATGCTCAAGTTCGTAGGTTTCTCGTTGTGGTGTAGCTCGGCGCGAGGGTGGGTTTGTATGCTCCAAAACGGAGCTTGCATTTGGCGGTGGGGTAGAAGCTGGCAATGGCCACTCGGCAGGAAGCTCAGGAACTGGAGGCACATTGGCTTCGGTGCGCGGAGTCTTGTCGTTTAACGTCGATTTAGAGGATGTCGCGAATGAAATGGTGGTGTGCCGACTTCTCGAAGAATCGCCCGAGAGGCGCTTGACTTTCCAGCTGCCTGTCTTGTCATCCACTTCTAGTGTGGAGTGAGGGTATTGCAGCGAATCAGCTAGTGTTTGTGTATCCTCGAACACCGAGGACTGATATCTGTGCAATGTCGAGTTTGAGTCGTTCGGTTGCAGCATTGAAATAGGAAGTACGGGCGCTGGGAGAGGTAGATTCTTCTCGTTCTCGTCGTACAGGTCAATACGGCTTCTAGAATAGTCGCCTGACTTTCTTGCTCCGTTTGGCACATAGAAGCGTAGGTCGACGCGGACTACAGCGAACATGATGATGACGAGGATCTCAGTAACGAAGTTGAAGCAGTAGAAGCTTCCCTTGCTCAGGTACCATGGCAACTCGACAATGCCGCGCTGGACATCGACCAATGGGATTGCAGGAATCCAGGCCAATACGCAGCGGAATATCTGTCCAATCGAGAGGAGGGACACCGAGATGAGTAAGATGGTGATGTTATATCTTAGTCGACCAGCACCAAATTTGTCAATTTCTGTTCGTGGGATAAGGAGGGAAACGCCGACGAGAATAGCCGGTGCGAAGCAGAATATGGTGAAATACGTCTGCGCGATGACGAACAAAACATGGAAGGCATCGAGTTTACTTTGGTTGCGCGTAAAGAACTGCCATATCTGGCTGACGATGAGCATGAGCAGTGTAGCTACCAGCACGACAAGCCCGCCTCTATGGAAGATGCGGTACGGTGTTGACCATCCCAGACGTGCGTGTTGGGCGCGGACAACGCGTTGGACGAAGAACCAGTTCACACCGTACAAGATGATGGTACCGATGTAGACGAAGATGTTCGCTGCGATAGCAAGACCGACATTCCTAGGATAGTTGGACCATGCTATCCGCAAGGACATTGTAATAACTCGAATCTTGCAGAGACCTGCGGCATGTTAGTCGCCGCCATACCAATCAGAAAGTGTGGTGGGAGTATACCAAGAATAGCGCCATTGAATATGAACTTATGCCCGCGACCCTTGTTGCCCTTCAGAATCTTGATGTGGATGATACCAAACATGAGGTATAGGATAAGTAAAACGACTGAGACAGGCACATCAGGCACGATCATAGGTGTTCCACCCAAGCCGGCATTCAAAGGTGCATATGGGGGTCCTCGTCCAGCTTGCCCAGATGCTCCAGCCTGGGTATGGTTAGTTATGCGTAGCAGGTGGCTGAAGTTGACATCACTCACTGGAGGACCCTGGGTTCCTTGCTGCGAAGACATCCTTGCCTGTTTGATGTTCGACGTATGAAACGTTTGCTGCAGAGGAGGTTGGAGAGGACCAAAAAGCTCCACGTTGGAGGCGGGAAAGAGGTGGTGTATATCAGGTTCTACGACCACTCGACTGCTGCGGTCTAGACGATAGTATGCATCGCTTAGGGCAGGGCACCAGTAGGCTCAGATAAGCAAACTAGATGACGAGTATGCAGTCAAGATTCCATGTCTGCTTCTAATTGGATGGGCAATGGTTCCATATGGTGTGTGCGGCCTATCCGCAGCCGTGCTTAGATGTGGGCAGCATAACGCCTTCACTAAATCGGGGTGCCGGCTTCTTCGGAGAGTGGATACTTACCGCACCCGTGGTACGCGAGCGATCTTTCCGTTGATCTAACACTTTGCTATTCTCAACGCATAGTATGCTTTTCCTCGTCGGGTCTCCTGTCTATGGTGTCCAGGTGCTGCCGCGTCTTGCAGTATGCAAGACATGCCATTCGTGAATAAGAGCATTGCCTGAGTCGCAGTGTAGTCTGCTGTGCCTCAATAAGGCGCGTCTATGTTGACGTTATCGAAGGCTGATGGTAGTACCGGGTCTCCTCAGTGATGCCGGAGATCTGCAAAAGTCCCTTCCTGAGTGGAGGATCGGCGAAAACGTCAAACGAGCTCCGACCAGATGAACCCAAAACGGACCACTATCTGGGGCACGGTGGTGGATGATGCGTGTATCGGGTGTTTTGCAGAATAAAAGACCGATTGTGCTTTTATCCTGAAATAGAAGTTGCATGTGAAACTGTAGAGGTAGTCGAAGAAAGATGGTGTCGCCCTTGCATGAAGGACCGGATTAGGATGTTCCCCCTGTTGTCGAGCCAGGGGGAATGGAGTTGTAGTTTGTGAGGTGGGCAATGGTTGTCCAGAGGTGTCATGGGTGGCTGATGGCAGCTACCCCAGATTTTCGGCGCGGTGAAACTTGTCGGAACCTTGGAATGAGGTCGGAACTTGACTTTATGTCATGCCCAACAATAACGTGTGCCACATGCAATCCGGTCAATGCTTCGTTCGAACCCTGTGGTAGTTTTCCGCGATTCCCTAGTCTATTATAATGCCGCCGAAGTCCAAGCAACGTGCGGTCAAGCCTGCCAACTCTAGCTCCAAGAAAGCCATCCCACAGCCCTTCACCGCAGCTCCGGCCGAACTCGACACGCTCCTCTCCACCTTTGACCGCTCGCTCGTATACATATCACATGTCGATGTGCATCCAGCATGGTTCAAACGGCGTATATTCGCCGTCCCTGTTCTCCTGAACACGACCATCCTCGCGCTTATACTATGGCGCCTGTACGCAATCGGACCCCACTACTGGGCCATTATCCTCTCCGTCCTCGGAAACCATAACGAAACCACCATATACTGGGCCACCACACCATGGGCGACTTTGATATGGAGGGTGGGAAAACGCATGCTCATGTTCATGCTGGACTTCTTGCTGTTCCGTTTCGTGGCACTCTGGCCATACACCTTCTTTGTGGAGCAGCCAGGCAACCCAGTGAGCTGGCGGTGGAACGTGGGGTTCAGAGATGACGAAGTATATGTGAGAGTGAGCAGGTCATGGGGAGCGAAAGACCTGCTTGGAGAGGCCGAGGGCGGGAGTGGCCGGGCCGGAGCAGACAATCCCTTCTTCAAAACCAGAGTTCTACCCGCGGTTGACAAGTCAAGACTGAGAGAAAAGACGGGATACCTACTCATGGATGCAGACTTTGATCTGGATTTCTTTGGCATGGTCGCTGCAACGCAGCTCCTTGATCGCAAAGACATTACGCTTGATCACCTTCGCAAAAGTGTCTTCGTTTACGTCGGTGACCCTGAGACAGAGAATGGGCAATGGGCTGTCTGGGAGTTCGCAAAGCTTGATGAAGGCTCGGAAACGGAAGCAAGGGACAAGGTCATACAGTTTAAAGAACGACTCACGGCTATGGGCAAGGAGAGCTTGTTCTTCCGGTGGGTCGAACTCATCCAGTATGAAAGTAATGCGCCCGGCGGTTTTACGCAAGAGAGGCAGATTGCAGCTGCGGAGAAAGTGAAGAAGATGTTCGAGGACGAAGGTGTGGATTTCGAGGTGTTTGAAAAGGAGATTGGGGGTATGCATGACATTGCTGGTGCTTAGCCTCGACACGTCGTCGAGCTTTAACATGGAAAAATGCAGTACGATTGGACGGCATAGACGATATCAAAAAGATACCCAAGTGTTATACATTTCAGATTTACATATCCCTCGTAAAGTCATGAGTGACGCGCGTGAACAAACGCCTGAGATGCGATTTGACTTCTCCCTTAACTCCATCCCCTACTCCTAAGCATCTTCCCCAACGAACCACCCAAGATCTTCGCATCTTTACTTCTTGATCTCGGCGTCGGACTCGCATGCCTAGACTCCCGAGTCTTAGTCTCTGTAGGCGAAGTTTCCCTGCGTCTCCGTGTAGCAGCACCTCTGACTTCTGCGCTGCTGGAGGAGTTGAGCGTATCGCTACGCTTCCTTAGACGGCGAGTTGGACTCGAGGAGGAGGTCTGAGGATTTGAATAAGATTGAGAAGAGGTGTGGGGAGATACAGAGGTAGACGTCGCTCTACGTCTGCGCTTCTCCTCACCATGCTTGGTTTCTGGCGTCCGAGCCACTGCAGGGCTAGGTGTACGTGTCCGTTCTCGTGCTCCTTGTAGTTGTTGTGTCCTTTCCTTCTCTGCTGCCACACTTCTTCTCCCCATGTCCTCCAGTTCGTCGATAGATACCTGCACCACCTTCTTCGCCTCAATTTCCTCTGAGCGTCTTCTTACAGGCACATCGTTTCTTGACGCGGCATACGCGTCTAGTATCTTCTCCACTTCTTTGCGATTGGCATCTGTGCTTGCTAGACGGACGACCTCTAGAACAAGGAGGAAGGCGAGAATGTAGCCGACGAAGAAGCTGGTTCTGGTCCAAAACTCAGGGTTTACAAGGAAAGAGAAGAGTTTGATAGTCGCGACGAACATTTTGGCCGTCGACCGTTCGATTGGCTAAAGACTCTAGTACGATATGTGGAGAGGTCCGCCAGAGAGCAAAGCTGACAGTCGTGAGCGAGGGGCGGCCGATAAGACTGTGTAGTAGTAATCCTGTTCGACCCCAAATTACGGCGCGAATGCGGCGTATTCGTCAATAAAAAGTGAATGAAAGTGTTGTGCGGCCCGCGCCCGAAGGATAAGAATAGTGTTACACCGCGACGTCTGCAAGTTGTCAGACCTGATTCACGTTGCTTTTACCTGCTCTCGCGCAGCAGCGAGCCCCTCCGCCTTTTAACCATCATGTCAAGCCCCCACAAGTCGCCGCACACTGAGACACCGTAAACCCACAAGGTACGCGTTCCAAGTCCGGCCCTAATCCTGCGAACGACATCCCAGATCAAAAGCCTATCTATGGTTGGGTTTGTGGGAGGATTGGCAGGCGGTGCTTGAAACCAATCAGCATGTTTCAGATGGCTTGTTGCAAGGATGTCTGGGGTAGCACATGTTTAGAGTCCGCAACACCATGCCAGATGCAGAAGTAAGCTTGCCTAGAAGCGAGGGGCGCGCGCCAATAGATTGGGGTAGCGGCGCGATGGTGTGTCCACACGGGCCCGAAGTTTGGCGTCTGTCGCTCATCATTAAACTCTGGCTGAGCAATCTACACATGGCGGCTTGTATCGCTTGGAGCTGAAAGAAGGCAAGGTCTGGAAAGAGCGCACAGCATCATGTGCCTCGAAGTAGCGCTGCTCACGATACCACGGAAGTGCACGCCCTTGCATTCGGGACGCCCCAGCAAATCACCAGAAACTAGACGATTGTCCCGCCCATCAAAGCACGGGTTCGATACAAAGTCTAGAAGAGACACGAGTAGTATCTTGAGCTAAAGGCGCGTGTACCTCGTCATTGTTTCTTGCCAACATTGTTCCGTCTCACCCATGATCGATAGATCGTGATTTACAAGATCACACACCTCTGGACAACGTCAGTAGGTAGGCAGACAGATCCGTGCAAAACTCACCCTTCGTTGCTTGAGTCTCTCGATATCATCTTCCGCCCTTTTCAGCTTTCCGATGAGATCATTAATATCTCCCTCCAGCCTAACTCTCATGGCAGCATTGTCTGCAGCAGTCCTTCGAAGTTCCTCTTCCAGCTCCGTTATACGGCTCGTGTCTCTAAATATCATGGCCTTGAAATCTGTGGTGAGTTGCATCCTGACTGACGTAGTCGAAAGGTCGTAGCCGTTGCCCACAAGCTCGGTTTGGAGCTGAACAGGGCGGGCTTGTTGCAAAAGCACCGCTCTAACAATGGTGAGCGCAGACGGCTGCGTATTGTCGTGCTTCATGACTCTAGCACCGTCCCGGACCATGGAACCCCAAAACTCTGGTGATTCAATCCTTTGCTGAACGCGTTGGTCAGCAGCGGCTTGGTCAACCACGGTACTCCTCATCGTGGTAGCAACCACGATATTACGATACGCGTCCACTCCACAGATTCTCTCGTATAGTCTCTTCCGCCTGCGTTCGGTTCCGTCTACGCGTGTGCCATCCACCGGCTGAAGGAGAATCACGCCCTGCAACAGCTGACCGGCGCTAAACGTTGTCCCCAGACAATCTCCTATAAGAGTGAGTATATCTGTGTCAGTACGGTATATGTCGTCCCAGCCTGGTGTGTCGATAACATTAACCCATGCATTATCGACTAAAACAGATTCCGGAGTTATGTCCTGCGTGCTTAGATGCCTGTCAGCTAGTGAGTGGCACAACTATTGGTGGTGCATTATCTACATGCTTCAATACCATGTCCCACTCCAAGATCATTCCTGACGGATGCGTTGTTGATGATTGTCGATTTTCCAGCGCCGTTCACCCTAATAACTGCAATGAGAGGATGGCTGCTCATAGTCTTGGGCCTGGAAGACGCTGTTTGGTAGCTTGAGATGACGCATTGGATGAAAGTATCGACGACCACAGAGGTATTTAGAATTTTACCAGGACACCTTCACTTGGATCTATGACCTGTGATGTGCCCGCCCGGACAACGCACATCACTCTGCATGTAGCAGATGGCCCGTCATTCGCGAGATCAACTCGCATCCGGTACTTGCATAAGCCTTCTCTGTTCTCTCATCCTATTAAGAAATCTTATCAGTTCGTGTCCTTCGCTGTGTTGTTCTTTAGAGGCTTGCTGGCTTTCCGGTCAAGACCCGGCTTTTGCCAGGGGCACTGTGTACATGAGTGACGCAGCTTGTCAGGCATCACTTACAAAGTGATGTCAGTTCAACTACTTCAGGAATCTTGATATGTGAGTAGTATGTTGACGTATTTCGAATCTTCAGATTGACTGCTTCCCTCGGGACCTACAACGATCGTGGACATGTCGGCGAATCCAAAGCAACCGACCAAAGTCACAGCGATAGGTACATCTGGGTTTGGACGTGGTAGTCAGAACAGAATATCATCTGGCCCACCGTCAGACGACAATGCCGTTGCCAAATCTCGATAAGAAATCCTGGTCTGCAAACATGATTGATTCGAAGCCTGTAGAGAACTAACCCTTCCTTCTAGAGAGAGGACTGGCATTCTAGTACTGGGACCGACGGAAGCCGGAAAGTCATCGTTTATTGCCACAGTCACAGGCTCGGTCCTCATGGCTGAGGCGAAGGCCCGCGAAGAAAAGCTGCAGCGAAAGTTGAAGGAGGAACAAGAAGAGGCCCAAGAGCTGCACGTGAGGCTACAACAGAACAACCAGTCAGCGACCGAAAGCTGAGGCGTGAAAAATGGGATTTCCCAAGGAGACGGGAAAGACCAGCGCGGAATCGTAAGGAGACTCTTCGGGTGATGGTGTTCACAAAGTTTCTTTTCATTCTCGCTAAATCGTGTTGAAACCGAGGGTGGGATATGTTATAATTCCATTTCTTCGGCAGTCAATCAATGACCTGTGGATAAGCCAACTAGATCCTTGTCGCTCACCTCGATAACCAACACGCTACCATAGTGATACAATCATGGCGTATGCAACTCCTGTTTCCGATCCAGACCCTTGACAAACAAAACGCCTCGCTGAACCAATGCCACAAAAGAAAATAATGAATGACAACAACGACTGGACACTTCTCTGTGCTCACCAGCCTCCTGGCAATATTTCATCTTCAAACATGCTATGATCCCAGCCCTTCTCTTCTAAAAGTTTGGCCGCTTCTTCACTAATCCAGCGGTTTTCTCTTACAGTATTTGTACTTGTCATGGTCTGGCTGGCGCTGTGGTTGACAAGATGCGCTTCTTCGAAACCAAAGAAACATGCCCACATTGTAGCGCCAATCCATGAAAAGAAGGAAGATATTGGAACCCACCAACTTTGGATGAAGGTCCGGTAGATAAGGGTTGGAATAACAAAGGGGTATTTGGGAGCATTTGCGTTGACGCTGAATGGGTAAGGCGACGAGTAAGCGTACATGGGCTGGCAGTACATTTCACTGTGGAGTAGGTCAGTAAGTTTTCTTTGACGCAAGAGGGGCAGACGCCCAGGTACATACCAAGCGATCTCTTCACTCATCCACCAAGTGAAAAGAAGTATCAAGCAAATGCTCAAGCCTGTAAGCCCGCCCCATATTCTCCAAGGACTGCCTGACGTTTGTCGCAGGATTTTCAATCGTTGTTCCCAAAACAGACCCCTGGACCATTTCCACATTGAGAACGTCTGGACGTGGCCATCAATTGCGCAAGGGCATGTGCGGCTAATCACTTTGACCTTCTCGCCATTCTCCCCTTCTTCCACATGCTCTACTTGGTCTTCGACGCGCTTCATGCCACGACTTGCATCGCGGATGCTGGTTCGCGCTGCACGGAGGCGGTCGTTCATGCGGTGGAGATGTAACAATTCCTGTTGTCGCTGTCGTTCTGCTTCATTGCGGGGAGTCTCAGTTGGTAGTTGGAGGCCTTGAAGCGTATCTTCTTCCATTGGGCTTTCGGCAGATGGAGTGATGAGGTCTTCCAAAGAGTTGATAGTTGAGTCGCCATAGTCTACCGACGGTCGCCTGCCCTTGGATTTCGCTTCGTCGACAAGAGATTGCAAGGCAGACTTGGGAAGGTGTGGACGAAGAGGCTCTATAGCGACAGCTTCAGATGGCTCCTCCGCAACGGGGGCCGAGCCTTTTTCAGATGGTCTCTGCCTGGGCGGACTAGCTTTTCTAGGCGAACGTGAGCGTGACCTAGACGTCACGCCAGGTCTCTGTACAGTACGGGGACCTGGTGTGTCGACCCAAGCACCAGTTACCACTGGTGTCTTGGGATTCAAGACAGGTCGCTCTTTGGGCATGGGTGTAGCATCTACACTACGGGCATCGTCTCCTGTAGCCTCTAGTGCCGGCGCTGGCGCAGGCTCTGACGACCGTTCAGCCTCGTTTGGTTTGTCTTGCTCGTGCTGAACGGTCGAGGGCGCAGCTGCCTCATTGGGCGCCTGGGCAGGAACAGGCACCTTTTCTACAGAAGCCGATTGAGCCTCTGATTGCGCCGTGTCTGTCGCCACCATGTGCGAGGACGTGTTCAGTTGTGCTGGAGGGGCGGATTCTGGTCTCGACGGTGCTGCCTGTCTCGGGCTTGGAGTGTTGGATACTCTAGCTAGCCGTCGCAGTAAATCCTGCGAATCTTCTCTTCGGCTCGGTATGCGTCTCGGGGGGACAACCTGAGGCGTGGCAACTACGTCGTGATGTACTGTAGCTATGCTCTCAACGCTCCTGTACATAGCCACAGGCGAGTCTTGGTTGCCGATGCCCGTAACCGGCTGCGCCTTGCCAATGGACTGCCACGAGTGGGTTCGCGCACGCAGTCTCCTCTTGGGCGACTGAGAGGGCTCGGCCTCCCTCTGCCGTATATCGTCCAGCACCGTGTTTCGTGGTATGTAGGGCGTGGATGCGATCATGGAGGCTTCGTTGAGCTCAAAGGTGAGGTCCCACTCTTGCGACTCGTCGTTGCGTGGAGTGCCCTTGTGCGAGAGCGGGCTGTCTGGCACGGAGCGGTGTGGCAGGCTGGCGGCTTGCTCGTCAAAGTGATTGTGGATGCTGTCGTCGGCCGGGACTGGCGTCTGTGGTTGCTGTTGCCCTTGTTCCTCTTCATAAGTGATGGTCCGCATCCAGCTCCTGTTGGTCCGGCCTTTCCTCCCCCATGTCGCTGGCGCACGCAGAGCCGGATCGCTCCTCGTGCTCCCGCTGCTGCTCGGCGGACTCTGGAATTTGACCTGCGCGTCCGCTCCAGCAGCTGCCGCGCTGTTCCTTTCCAGGTTGTCCAGCGTCAGTCCGACACGGGGATGGGTTCGCGCCTTCTTGAAAGCCTGAGGTCGGCCCCCCAGCGCCTGGTTCAGCCGCCGCTCGTCGCGTGCATTCTGGATCATGCGCTTCTCGAATTCGTCCTCGGCATCGTCTTCGAGCTCGCTCAGCGCAGAGCCAATGGAAGCGGCGTCATGCGTGTCTGCCTGGCCGTCTCTGGTGGTGACGGGCCGTTGAAGGTGGGCGTAGCGTGTGTTGACAACGTTGGCCGACGGCGGGGGAAGTGCTTGGAGGGGCTGGCGCGTTGTCATTTCCGTGCCACGCTGCCGTCGTGATAGAGCATAGTAGTCTGTTCGGCGTCGAGTCGGAATATATGCGGGGCTATTCTATGTTCTGACGTGGTCGCAGACGTCGGCGCATTAGCTTGTGCAGTTGTTGTCATCCGACGCGTCGTGACTTTGACTGGGAACGTGCGCCACCAAAGATCGCCGCAGGCATTCTTGCTCCGAATCGTACATCGCGAGCCTCACATCCAAATGCCATGCACCTTCACATTCAAATGCCATGCTACCGCATCCTCATAACAAGAGTCATTCAACATTAAATTTCGTGTCATCATGCAAGCCTCATGGCTCTTGGTCGTCGATGGCTTTGAGCCTCCTCCTTACCATTTCTATATCAGTATTGCCCTGTTCATCCCTCCATGCCCGCAGTACTTCCTCGCGCATGACCCTCCGCGGCGCTCTTTTGCCTGTGAACAGCTCGAACTGGGCAAAAGCTTGTTCCGGGATAAAGTCCAGGCCATCCATATATGTCCACAGCTTCTTCGGGCAGTCCTGTACTTGCTGCGACAAGGGCGTGTTTAGTGTCTTGTACGCCGTTTCCATCACCACACCACCTGTAGGGCTCTGAATCCACTGCCGTGGAAGCGTAAATTGAGCTGCAGGACCTCCATCTATCGGATCAGTGGGGATACACGAAACGATTATGGTAGGATCCCGGAGGTGCTCTGGCCATGCCTCGTCGCGCCATCTCAATATCGTCAGATTTGGCCGCTTCTGGCGCATCATGGGAGACGCCGTAGTACCATTTGCCGAACTCGAGGTAAGGCGGGAGAAATGCGCGACAAGACTCTCGGCTCTTTCGTACGTCCTGTTGAAGATCACAATGTTCATCACCCCCAGTTGCAGCAGCGCATAGACAGCTGCCCTTGCCATACCGCCAGCTCCGATAATTAGTCCGCATGTCGACGGACGCACTGCATTAGCCGGAGAAAGACCTCGCCGCACGCAAGACCGAATTCCGATCCACTCCGTGTTGTCTCCATACAGAGCTTGGACCGGACCAGACTGATTGCGCTCATGGAAGAGTTCGAGGTCATTGGGAATGCTTCCGTCTTCGTTTCTTCGACGCACGGGTATCACAGTATTAACAGCCCCGATCGCTCGCGCGTGTTGGCTCAGCGAATCCACCAACGCCATCACCTCCATCTTGAAGGGCTGTATAACAATAGAGCCACCAAAGTTTGGTTTGCGTACTAGCTCTTGGAGTTTGTTCACAGATGGGCTCTCGATGCGACTGAAAGTGTGAGGCATGCCGCACGCGCCGTACGCTACATTATGCATCGCTGGTGAAACGCTGTATCCTAGGCGTACGCCAATGATGTACATTTGCATTGGATCAAATGTAAATGAGCTGTAGAGGGCTTGTGTTACTTCTCTGGCAGTGAGCCAGGAGTCGTAAGGATATTGTGCTGTTGACGCCATCTGGTTGGTCTTCTCTCTTTTCGAGGCAGCAACAACAGGTGTGAGATATTTGTTGAAACATGTCGAGCGGCGACCAGCTCGCCCTGTGTTGTAGCATATCACTGGCACTTGTGCCTCGTGCGTTTCCATCCGACTACTGAAGCTGCGAACCGGAACATCGTCGTCGATGGAAGATGCTGGGCGAGTGAGTCGTACGACAGAGCAACCTAAATGTACTGCCTTTTCGTACTGTGTTACCCAAAAATGATCATCCCATGGTTTGTCGGCATGCAAATGTCCGATGATTTTGGTAGTACCACGACTGTTTATTACATCGGCAAGTGCAGCAGCATCTAGCGACAGGTCGATAGATGCGTACTCAGGTACCAGTCGTAACCCATGGTGTACGTGTTCCAAGTAGATAGTTCTGCTACCATCAGAGGTCGAAGTGGGTAGCACATGATATATGACGGGAACTACGGTGCTTCTTCGAACTTTGGATACACAAGCGCTGACGTCGTCCATCAGATTGGTCATAGGGCGTTGTTGACTCAGATCAAGGATGATTTCAAAGGCGTCTGCTCCAACTTCAAGGCTTTGGATATCGGCATCTTCGGCCAATATGTCATCCACAGATACTTGAACTGCACAAGTATATCTACGGAGCTCGGTCGCAACGTCAGAAAGCGGATAACCAGGTTCTAACGGTGGAATGGATGCTCCAACCGACTCGTGTGGAAGCTCCGGAGTCGTTATGAGTGACAAGTACTTGAGGAAGGTCCTCTGCGCTCTCTTTAATGTAAGAAAAGCCGGAGCCACCGGCTGATCATTCGAAGCGTTGTTGTTTGGTGATTTGACCTCAGAGATGTTGTAGAACTCGTAATTAGAACAGCGCCGAAGCATAGGTGCAGTAAAGGCGAGCATGTCGTTGAGTCTTTGCATGTCAAGTCCTCCCAAGTAACTATGCAAACTGGCAAGGTCGCGCAGGACATGGACCACTGGGTGCGTTCGACCAAAGTCTTGTAGTAAGACTTGTCCATTTCTTTCCAGGGAAACGCCGTTGCATACCAGTATCGCACCGTGATCATGTTCAAGGAGGAGAGTTCTCAGCAGCTCTTCCTGACGCAGATTGTAGTTGGCCGCACCGAACTGCTTGCGGTATTTGGCGGTGGAAAACCCCGTCGTTTCTTGAAACACGTCGTCAACATCGATGACGCGCCGTCGGCACGCCATCGAGGCAATGACGGCCAAGGTAGACTTGCCAGTCCCTGGCATGCCAAGGAGCACAATCGAGGCATCGGCCTTGAATGCACGGCGAAGATAGCTTGCAGGAGAGACGGGCGTTGAGGTAGCGAGAGAGGTGGAACGGGTACTAGATGCTGTCGAGGCTGTCGTTGGTCAGTATTCGGCCGAACAAGGTACTGGGCTTGTTCCTACCCATATCGTCTTCGCTGATCTTCCGCCTTTGACGGGGTCCAGTAGTTCTGGATGTCGTGGCTTGCTCTGGGATTGAGCTGTGGTGCCGGCGGTAGAAGTCACTGGTGGCTCCATCGTCCTCGCCCAGAGTCGCAAAGACGCGCTTCCCCACGGCCACAGAACCCATGGTCGAGACTTCCATGGGTACGTAAGTTGTAGTTCCGATCGTGTTTGTTTCTGACACTAGGAGTCAGGATATTGAGCCTGTATCAAAGCTCCTGTACTGCAGAGGGCGAGAGGTGAGGTGCGTAAACTGCGGAGCCGGGTGTGTCTGCGACCTCTATGGATATGCATGGTAAGGTCGTAGACAGACAGTGACAATCAATCAGCCAGGAGCATACGGGAAAAAGCTGGAAGAGTTGCGACAATCGTGTTTACGCGACGCCATGTCGCGATGGTGGTTGAGTGCTGACGAATGATGGTTGTGATGAGATGAGCAACCGCACAGTGCAAGTTCCGGATAAGCCTTCTTCCCCGTCTTTGGCGCCTTTCCGGCTTCGCCTGGACGCACGACAGCTTTGCACTCCTTTACGAGCCTCAAAGACCTACGAGAATCCTATCTGCGGGCCAATTGTCGCTTCTAGATGATACATTTCCAGCCCTGCAGCTGCTAAGCCCCGCGGCGCTGGTGAACGGATCAAACGGTGGGTTCGCGGTGCCTATTACCGATCTTTGCCGTGTTTACTCATTATATAGCAGAAAACAAATACGCGAACCATGCAGAGACGTCATTGGCAATCTTGTCATCCGAGATTAGTTTCGGTACTTGCTCACTTGCCGCCCTTTCGTCTGAATCAGGCTCATGCCTGCCCAAGCTCAGGCAAAGCGTCGTTCCGCACCTCAACCGGAAGAGAAGCCTGCTAAACGGACTCGAGTCTCACGAGCATGTGACCAATGCCGTGTCGCTCGTGAGAAGTGCGACGGAGTACAACCAACGTGCTCTACCTGCTCAGGAACGTCAAGAGAATGCTCGTACACTGCCAACCCTAAGAAAAGAGGCATTCAGCCTGGCTACATTCGCACCCTCGAGTTAGCACTTGCGTACCTGTTTCAGCGGAATCCCGAAAACGAAACTGCCCTCAATGAGAAGCTAGCGCAGGGAGGATCGTCTTCGCTACTGTTAGGTCGTGGCGACTCAAAAGAGTCGAACAAGCTTCACAGAAGATGGCGGAAAGCAAAATTCTACACCGACGTTGACAGGCTACTATCTGGAGGAGAAACTTCGCGTCATGAACAGACTGCAGCAGCTTCACCTCATACTAGTGATGAGGGTTCTGGGGTAGAGGAGGCTTTCGCTGCACATGCTAGCCGTACACAGGATCACATTGGCTACCCACAGGACGATATAGAGTCTCCGAGTCTTGGTCAGCTTGTAGGAGCACCGCCTGGACCACTAGTAGAGGAGACTATCTCAACAACCATGCCGCCAGACAGCTGGAAGCTCTTGGAGGTCTACTTCGCCAATATTCAATCCTGGCTTCCAATCTGCGAGAAGCATGACATCCTGAAGACCGCCTACGACTACCCTACACAAGGACTCTCTAGCAAATCCAACCGGCCCGATTCGGGCTTGTATGCCGAGTTGTGGAGTGTTTTGGCGGTAGCCTCACTATATGGAGTAAGCACAACGAATCACGATCCGTTAAATTCTTCGTCAGCAAGGCCTGCTAAGCTGTATGAGAGTGCTAAATCCCTGGTACCAAACGAACTGGATCGTTTCGACATGGGTTGCATCAAGGCGCTTCTCAATTTGGTCGTGTTCAACATGGCGCGAGGGCAGAGTGGAGAAGCATGGCTGCTTGTTGGATGTGCTTCGAGGGTCTTGGAGAGCGTGAACCAACTAACACTGATGGGCAATCCCAGGCACAAGCATGTTTATTATGGCTGTTTCTTACTCGACAGCATGCTAGCTCTCCAGCTCAAACGGCGTCCACATTTTCGAAGGAGCGATTTGGAACATCTCGGAACGATTGACGAAGACGGCCTGGAAGAGTGGCAGCCATGGTCCGGCTTTCTCGACCCCTCACATGCAGGAAGAAGAGCGCCGTTGCTCTCACTCAGCATTTTCAACAGTGTTATTGAACTTGTTGATCTACTCATCAGTATCGAGCAGCCATCTACAAGGCACATTCACAAGGACGCTGTCGAATGTCTTGAACGGTGGAGGGCGATGCTTCCTACAAAATTAGCTCACATATGCACCGGCAACGGTTTCTCCGTCCTTACTCCACCGGCTGCCCTGCTCTTGGCGACATACCATTACGCCTCATTCGCTTGCAGTCCGTCCGATGCAAGCTTCCACCGGTTATTGGACGTCTTGGATCGATGTTTCGAGCATCCAACTTCCCAATGCCTGCCACCAACAATCCGATGTCTACTAGACGTTGCGAACAGGCAAGCTGCGCAACTTGTTCTGCATGACGTAAATCGCATGCGCCTGGAAAGACTGCGGGAGAGAAACATAGCTGACTTCAATGCACAACACCAGACACAAGTGCTTGAGAGCACAGTCATGCCTCTCAGACAGCATACAACTGATGTACAGATGTCATCTGCAGCTTCATTGCAGACTCTGTTTTCGGACGCGTATCCTATAGCTCAGCCAGCGGCCACCCCTCACCATGCCTTCTTTCCCGGTCCTAGTCACTCGCAAATCGATCCTCGGTGTCCGGAACCCACCAGCGATTTAGAAAGCTTCTTCGACGAACTGGCTTCGCTAGACAGCGCAACCAGATCGGATACCCAACCGCAGTTTATGCAAAATCTAGGTTTCGGTCCAGACGCAAGCATGGCTGATTTGTTCAGCGAATATATACCTATGCAGTCGTCGAGTTTTATCACACGAGACGAGTCCGCGCCTGCCAATCTAGATCAATACAACTTCTACGATGCGAGTTGACCTGGAACCAAGGCACGAGGATGGTGCTTAGACTTGCCCATACGTTGGTCCTTCGCCTTCTACCGTTCATCTTTGAGCTCTTGAACAAATGGATGACGTGCAGTAACATGCATGTAACATACGCACTACGATCAATAGATAGCGATGTAGGACCGGATTTACTACTTCCGAGCTCTACGTAAGGCGCTTTTCCCGGAGATGCTTCTCAATATTCCTTGACGCCGAAGATGCGATGATAGCATATAACGTGCGTCACCGGTGAGATGACTTTGGGGCGTTTTGAAAAGCCTTGATTGGGCACTGTATATTACCATACAGTAAAGGCCGAGGTGCAATGCTAGAAAGCAGCCAATGAGCGGTAACACTTCACATCTTTCCAGACTTCGTACGGCGAGAAGCGACCTGGTTTTACTTCTAGGATGGTTGGTTGGGAGCCAGGATTGCTTTATAAATCTAGGAAGGGATGGTCAGAACGAAGGCCAAAAACAATCGTCTTTTCCATATGGGGATTTCCATATCTCCGTGGGTCTGTAACATTGCAAAGGTCAGAATTGACAGCAGGAAAACTTGGGAGTGAAATGAGAACCTTGGGGTTGAGAATCCGATGTACAAGCTAAGTCGCCATTGCCAAGGCTATGGCATGATGCTCAAGAAGAGCGGAGTGTTATCCTCCATCAGTGTCATGTTGACAAAGCCCACACGCGATTCATGAAAAAGGCCTCAACCGGTACAACTCAGTCGGCATACATATTGCACTAGACACCAGGTCTAATTAGAAAAATTCTATAAATCGCCTTGTCCCGAAGTAAGGAATCCTGGCAGCACAGTCCACGATGCCTAGAAAAAGTGGTACGGAGGTCCGCGCCGTAAGCTTATGCGAGTCAACCTACCAGAGCAGGGTCTGAACTATACAAACCTGAAAGGGTACCTGAGTCTAGTGACAGCCTTTTTGGTGCTCGATGTTCAGGGCAAATGGTACAGGGGTGTGTGTAGACGAGTACGGAGTCGCTTAAGAAGGAGTGATGGCATTGGCCTGTTGCGTTCCTGGAGCGCTTGTGGCAGTGTTGTCTGCCGTGTTCGGGTAAAATACATGTTTCGGTTCGGGCTTGGAGCAGGATGGTCGGCGAAAAGCTGCCGTGATCTCTTTGTTGTTATTGATATAGTCGGGTTAATGTCGGGTTGATTAGAAATGGTGTCCTAGTAGCTAGATGAAAAAGTCAAGCAACGAGCAAGTAAGCACTTTCGTGGGTGATGTCGTCATGTACCGTTGTGAATATTCTTAGTGAAACCTTGGAACACAACAGCTTCTTGGCTTCAGTCTTGAACGTCGTGTAGGCGGCACAAGTCATACTGTTCACGCGTGATGCTTGTTAGAGGATGCGACTATTCTGTCGGTACCAGCCCTAATGTTCCGACAGTGGCGGATAGACAAGACAACATCCAAGGCTGTGTCGAAAAAGACGCGCAATGCTCCATCAGCCACATCGCTCCAGCTCGATCTTCTGCAGCAATGTTCGATGCACGCATCGTATGTGCCCAAGAGACGGAGTTTAGGTACGCGCCCAAGACCTTCGAGACGAGCTCGATTGGGTGATGGTGTCGTCTGCCAAGATACTAGTGCTGCTTACCCCACACATTGTCGGATCGACCGGCGCAGGTGCTTGTTGTACTTCACTTCAGCCCTGTGTCCTGGGTTCAGACGACGCTGACCTTGTCAATTGAACTCTGACAGACAAACTATAGATTCTGCCCAGGAAGCCTCAAGCACTACCAAGAGAATCTGCCACTACAGATGACACTGTTGGCAGGAGATCAAAGAGCAAGAGCTGGATATACTCCAGAAACAAATATCCACGGGTGATCAACAGCCTCAATGCCGGCATGCCATGCCATGCCACATGAGATGCATGCGGAGAATGCTAGCCAAATTCGATCACGATACATTGGTCGCATCTACAGCTTCAGCTGTGTCATAGCTCCACTTGCGCGATCACTTGGCAAACTCTTTCCAGTTGTCACTGGGCAACGCTGAGAGCTACAAGCTTCGCCCTGGACGACCGTGCTACGAATAGACCCTTCATTGGTCAACATGGGTTCCGGACAGAACTGGCCGGTGGCGTTTGGTTCGAGATGTGCTTGGAAGAGCAATGCCAACCCTACTTGATACCTGGTGGGACAAATCGTCTGTGGCTATGTGCATGGGTGCCATAGTACTTATTACCCAACTTCCCCTCTTGTAGTGAAGCATCTGGAAATCATCCACCTCATACTACCTTCTTTCGTTCCATCCCAGCATCGATCACGTAGTAACGTCAGCTTGAACTCTCATCATCATGCTCAAGCATCTCTCTATACTTGCCCTTGCGAGCTTCGCGCTGGCTCAGAATGAGACCGTTCCGGACCTTGCAGCTGCCTTGAACTCCACGGATGAGCTTTCAACTCTTCAGTCGGTCATTCCTGCGGGCGTACTGGAGACATTGGCTGGTCTCACCAACATCACTATTCTCGCCCCCTCCAACTCTGCTTTTGGAAAAATTGACAACGAGACACTTTCGGGACTTACCTCTAACGAAGGGCTTCTCACTGCCCTTTTGCAATACCACGTGCTCAATGGCACATTTCCTTCCAGCGCCATCACCAACACGAGCGCTTTCGTCCCTACCGCGCTGACCAACCCTCTTTTCACCAACGTCACTGGAGGTCAGGTTGTCGAGGGTGTAACCAGCGGTGACAATGTAGTATTCTACAGTGGTCTCTTGACTAACTCTACTGTCACAACAGCGGTATGTGATCCTCTCTCTACCTCCCCATTTCGACTGCTAATAGTCCCAGGATGTAAACTTTACTGGTGGTGTGATTCACATCATTGACACTGTGCTGGCTATTCCCGAAAACACTGCCGACACACTTTCCGCTGCTGGACTCTCTTCCCTCCGTGGAGCCATCAATGCGACCAATCTATTCGACACCGTCAACGACACTCCCGACATCACTATATTCGCCCCCAACAACGAGGCTCTCCAGAACATTGGATCCGCGCTTAGCAACCTCAGTACCGAGGACATTACCAGTATTCTTACTTACCACGTTGTCACACAAGGCGGTATTGGCTACTCATCTTCTCTTGAGAATGGCACTACTCTCACTACTGCCAACGGCGAGGACCTTACCATCACCATCGGTGACGGCGGCATCTTTGTGAACAACGCTCGTGTTGTCGCCTCCGATATTCTTATTGCCAACGGTGTTGTTCACGTCATCGATGAAGTCTTGAACCCCTCCAACGCTACCGTTGCTGACTCTACTTCTGACGAGGGTGAGCCTGCGTTCGAGGGAGCCTCATCTGTTTCCGACGTCCCGTACACCAGTGGTCAGCCCACTCCTACTACCAGCATTAACCAGGAGGCTACCGAGGCTGCTGACCCCACCAACTCTGCTGCTTCCAGTACCGGTGAGAACGCAGCCCCTAGGCAAACCGGTGCCATTGGTATGGGTGCGCTTTTCGGCGCCGCTGCTGTTTACTTCTTGTAAGCCCAGCATACTGTACAAGGGCTGTCGCGTAGATGATATCCATGAGGATGATACACGAAGAAAGATCGTTATCGCGTAATGTAATATACCTGAGCGATACATTTGCTCACCCAGTCACTTTGTTAGACATGAATTCAAATTATGCTTTTTGTCGAAAACTACAGAACGACGTGTGTATTTGTGTATTTGACACTTTCGCCGTTCTGTTCCAACTAGTGATTGGCTAATAGTCAACAACAGCATTTGCAACAACGTGGGCAGATGCTTTGGGTTCTTCTAGGATTTGTAGCTTGATGTGACAGTTTTCTCCACCTCCTCAAGATTAATAGCTTTGTTTCATCTCGGAAAACTTACCCAGTAGCACACCAATGGCACAACTGTCTGATGAGATGATGACGTCTTGCAATACACCTGCTGCATTGTTCACAAGGGCCAACTCCCTGCTATGCACAAAGGTCTACGACATAACGCGGTCCAGCCAAAAGAGATGAGATCATGGGAGGTGTCTGATGACTGGAGACCTTGCGCAAAACCTTCTTCGGTTGCAATTCAACCGAGACAATTCGTCCATGTGGCCTTGCATTTCGTGCCTGCTAAACTGGTCCTTCACGAACTGTGCCACAAAAAGTAGCGCTCAAGCCACCGCACCGGCTGCCCCATTAAAACAGTTTCGGCATGCTCGGAGCTTACAAGTTTCCATGCTAAGGAACTACTCCGGCAAGGATTCAAACGCTAAACACTCACGACATTTTAGTGCCGCATTCAACGCCTACTGCATAGGGCAATTTAACTTCTGGCGGTAGCTCAAGGAAGCACTTAGGCTTCGTGAATCCTGTCGCGTATCAATGCCGGATCCTGTTCACCCGCGCGATGATGTCGACACGGCTGCCCCCTGGATGCGTGAACCCCCACTTTCTGTGATAAAGCAAAAGTGAGTGCTTATATGAAGTGTCACCATACCGGTAACTGCCTGCAGTTGTGACGGGCTGATATCAGGAATGGCATCAGGCACAAGGGTCCCGTTGTACGCAGATGTATTGCTCAGTTGTGCGAGCGAAACAATGTCGGATCCGACTAGAAGGGCCGTCGAAATTTCGAAGGAAGCGGGTATTGATCCTTCTATAGCACGGACATCATAGAAACATCAACGCAGGAATGACTTTGGCAATCTCCAAAAACCAGCGAGAAATTGTGCTACCATCGTATCGTACACGATTCTGCTACCGCTGAATATCTTGCCAGAAGAACCGACAAAAAGCTAATGTTCGGGCCTCCACAACAGCGGATGCATGCAGTTGCTTGGGATAGGCCCTAGTGTTTCGCAATGTCCGTGCTTTCGATTGGCGAAAGGAATTCGAAGATCAGAGATTGGATCGCCAACTAGGGCCGTGATGGTGCCGGGATCTCATTCGACCCTTTCACACTTCTCCAAGCCTTCCACACCATAAATACATCAAGGTTTGCCTCAGGCTCAAGACAACAACAACAACCATACCTGCTCGGTGCTTAGGAGAGGTATTGTCTGTATGACTTATTGAGAGTGTGCGCTGTAGAAACCCGTCATAAGGTCGCACAACCATAGCACAACAATAACGACCAAGAGAAGACTTCTCGTTCCTGGTCCCGCAATCTGTCATTCCCCATATCCGCGCTTTCGGTGGCGCTAAACCCTTGCCAATCCAGCTCAGGATTCGTAATCTCCAAAAACAGCGGAAGGAATCGACCTGTCGAACCTTAGTGTTGTCGCCATGACACGCTCGTGGCGTACATGCATTTTTCTGATTGAGCCGCTGATCTGGTCCGCTGCAGATTTAACATGCCGGCGTTCAGCTCTAAGAGCAGGGCAGTTCATGATTTGTTAACGGCATTATGCTCGGTTGATGCCCGTGCGGAGCGATATCCAAGTGGGGTGTGGGAAATATATGAGTGTTCGCAGAGCTGAAACATTGCGGTCCGTCTTACACGCGCTTGGGTAAACTGTTCATGGTTCAACCGATGCGACACCACACCAAATACCGTACACTCGACACTTCCGCTCATTTCTTTTTCAGTCCTCAGTAGCTGCGGCGTCGTTTTGATCAGGACATCGCATCATGTTTCGTCTATCAAGATCTCGGAAAGATAAGGAGGAGAGGCATCCAACCGACGTGTAAGTTTGCTCGAGCAACGCCATTTATCCCTAACACATGCAATGTGGAGGCAACAGGGCGAAACCACTATGACACTTGAAGTGTCTTCATGGTACTATGTTGAAACACTACAGGCGGCTCATCACTAACATGGTGTCATATCAACTTACTAACCATCATTAGATCTGAGCCGTCTCGACCAAGATCCATCAATGAATCCACCAATCGGACCTCTACATCATCCAAATCAGTGCCAGTTCCAAGGGCAGTTACACGACCAGCGGGTCCTTCATTCCATACTGAAAGCTCAATCCTGGGCATATATCAAACCGTAGCCTATGATGCTTGGGATGTGCCACGCCTGACTAAAACCCCATGGGAACTCGAACGAGCCAAGTGGAATTCAACACAAAGACACTCAAGACCCCAATATCGATTTCCTGTGCAAGTTTTCAAGAACCTCCCTAAAGAGGTATACAACTGCATAGTTGCGCAACTTGAAAATATCTATCAAGACCGCGACCAAGCCTGTTCATCATGCTATTTACGAGACCTTCACAGCCTTTCCTTGACGAGTCGTGCATGGGAAAAGGCTGCAAGTACAACCATGTACTACAGAGCCCTAGTACTTGCTAATGAAGAACATACTGGGCTCCCGAAGCTCAGGATCAAAGGCACAAGTAGACTTAAACTACTACGGAGGACGCTCCGCGACAACTCAGGATTAGCTCGACGTGTGAGAGAATTACACATGCTTGGCTTCCAGTCGCTCTATCAGAATGCAACCATCGAGCGAGAAGAGATTGCGAACCTGGTAGCTTCTTTGGTCATGGCCTGTCCACGCTTAGAACGCCTGGTAGGGTTTCACGTCCACTCCTCGCAGGCATTTGATCGGTTGTCACATGCGCTGTCAACAAGACCAAATCTCAAGGAGCGGGTGTTGATATTGGCTGATACAGATATGGAGACGGGGGTAGACGATGATGAAGAGACGCTAGGAGGCATATATATTGCCGAATGCGACCCAACCGAACGCTTCCTTGAACTCAGTTCTACCCATTCCGCGCTATCTACTCTGGTATTGCATCAAGAGCATGGTCGGCCTTTGATAAGCCTAAATTTCCGAGCTATCGTTGGGACTTTTCGAAACTCTCCCTACATGCGTCATCTTGTGGTATCTGGACTGGCGGCGAACTCGTTTGCCAGCATGGCCCTCAACGCTATACCGTCTAATCTAGAGTCTCTGCGCCTTGAAAATCTCCCCGGCATAACGGAAAAGAGCATACAACGTTTCGCTATCTCTCAGCAGGCAATTTCCATCCAGAAGCTGGCACTCATAGACTTGGACATTGAAAGTGTTCTCACCATAGCAGACATACTGTCTCCACATCTTGCAAGTCTAACAGAATTCTCACTTGTTCAAACAAGCGCCCCCACCTTACTGTGTCGAAGCTCGGAACCTAGTTTTCGATCGCCGTCGGTTCGATTTATCCACTGGGAATTATGCTCTGAGGCTTCTCCTCTGCCTTCGTTCGTTTCGCCTTCATCCATAGAACTGCCAGAATCGCGACCATTCCCTTTTACGACTCTCGAACCAATCGCTTGCCTCGCGACGTCTCTGCTTGCGGCAGGTATCCAGGCACACACCTTCCCATCGCTCCGTCGCATTCGCATACCTCATGATCCCCAAGGCGTCATCCAATCGCTCTGTAAGCCTCTTGCAACAGCACTTCTCCCGTCCGATACGTCCAAATTTGCGACTGCGTCACGTATCTCCACTTCAGACAGGTTTTCTATTATGCTAGAGGAGCCTGCTACATTATCGCCCAAAATGCATGGGTCCTTTACCTACAGGGCGACGTCGGCATCACGTGTAGATTCTGTAGTCGGCTCTACAATGTTCGATCCAAGTCCTACAGAAGTCGTCCTTACGCCGATGCGATCGCGTCTCGTAGCACAGTCGCGTATCCTTGCTGCTAGGAAGAATGCGACCATGGTCATTCGCGTTTTTGACCCCGAGGGTGAAGTGAGAGTGAATAAGATTATCGGAGGTCATATCGGCCATATAGACAGTAAAATTACTTACGACATTAAGACAGCTGGGCGGAGTGGATGGATCACAGGGATAGCTGACTTGGTCGGCGACAAAGGCACAGGGCTACTTCGGTGTAATCGAGCAAGTTGTGGACATTTTGTCAGTGAAGGAACCGGACACAGCGTCTTGATGGCTGAAGATCTCTTCTGAGGTGAGATGTTCTTTTGGCGGATCCCGAGATCATCTTCCCTGCTCTCGACCATTCACTGGTATGCTGAATGCTTCAACTTGTCAGCTTGCTTATGCGACATTACACGATACCCAGTTTTTGTTTGACCCAAGCATGAGTAATGTCTAATGCGGAATCAGACCGCGTATTTTGTACTATCAGAGCCGTTGCAAACGTATCGCTTACAGGATGCATATTTGATGAAGAGCGCAGGAGGCCAGGTAGTAACCTGAGCTGTAGGATAATTAAATAGGATGTTGATAATTCTTCGCTCACGCATTCAGTAGACCATGCGTTTTCCAACATGCCGACGCTGTGGCCAACGCATCGCGATCTGATCACGTCAACCGTTTGCTTGACAGGGGTGCCGGGAATGACGGCCGACGTGTGCTTGATAAGATATTCGGTCCGAATCCAGATAATCGCATAGTTGGTGGTGGTGGTGGTGATTGTAATTACGCTGAACTGGAGCCAATCGGAACCATGCCTTTCCTTGCGCGAATATCTTATTTGTGACAACCAGGATAGAGTGTACTTGACGTATGGTGTGGAGATGGTATCGCGGGATGGGGTTTGATTTGCGCATGTTGGCAATAAGCAAGCACATGCGATTGTGAATTATTTTTGACATTTCCAAGGTTCCATGCAGATGTTCATATGAATTTGTCCACCGGCTCCTCTACCGGGTGACACCATAGGTAGGTATCGCTTGATTTCCGCTCTTCTCGTGGTTGCATGTACGTCAGCATGAAAAGATATCCTCCACCGCGTTAAAGCTGGATGATCCTCGGTGCGGGAGCGCCGCATGCTCATTGGCAGGTGAAGTGATCAAAATCTGGTTGTGGCTCAAGCATCTAGCATTCATAAAGCACACTAGTCCGGATATGGGGATCAGTATCGAAATACTCAGACCGCTACACCCCTCTCAGAGGCAGCGTTTCGCGTATGCGTGCAGCCTACCCATGTGGAGTGGACAAAACCTCGACAAAGATGTAGCGAGGTACTTCCAAATACGTGGCCTCCATTTGTAAGCTTCGCAGTTGGTTCGACACCACGTTGTTTACCGAGCGGTTTCAGCTCGACAGTAGGGATGGTATGTTGCAACGGAAATCTGTAGAAATGCATCTGAGGATAACTAGATTCCGAGAGACTGGTTCGTCGAAGCTAGAACATAGTGGGACAATGGTTGCAATGTCAGGATATAAGGGCGGGAAGATACTTGGCCGGGCCACTGCGGCTTCCGCGGAGAGCAAACTTCACAAAAAGGCCAGAGCTGTCGCTCCCTGACAGATGCACCTGCTCAGCTCATACAACACCCTGGAAGCCCTTACCGACCAAAGGATGGACCTCTTCCTGATGCCCACCCGAAAGAACTATCTGTCGCGAGTGGGTCATTTAACCACGGCAGAAGCCGAAGTCCCCACGCGTGCCCTCTAGATTACCGGGATCAGCAAGGTGCAAAGCTCCAACCAAGATATGTCGTTCTCAGGTACGGATACTATCATCGTCTTGAGGATGTAGATTGACTCAAAGCCAGTTGCGATATCGAGATATGCGCTGTAACCGCGAGCGTTAAAATTTATCCAACCAAAAGCATCGAACGACTCGAGTCGGTTCTCGATCATGATCATCATTGGCCATGGTGAAGTTCTTAGCGGGATCGCTTTTGTGAAGAGTGCAGACGTTCCACCGATCGCCGCACCGGTACGATTCATCCGGTCTGGCCTTGGCATCACAATCATCAAAGTGGATACGGTAGAGGTACGAGAGCCACATAGCTGAAGGCTGGTAGTGGAGTTCGGGGCTGGATTGTTTCCGCGGACTTGAACGACTGTTATATGAATAGCCTTGCGCTGCCTAGAACGCGTCTGGTTCTTTTCAGTCAAGCTTGCACCTTCTTGCAAGTATTGAGGTATGTTACATTTTGATTTTGTTGTCCTTTTACCTCAATCAATTATTGTACCCAGAACTTACTCTAGGATCGTCGATCATTGAAACTGATCCCTCAAATGCGGTTTTCACTGACAGCCGCCCCGTTAGATGACCAACGCCCAAAACTAAACGATAGACACACTAATCATGACCACAAAATGCGAAAACAGGTCTTGCCGAGAAATCCCCACATTGAACCAAACTCCGGAATTGCAACCCGAACGGCCCGAAACTCTACGACAATATTATGCTACCGGCTTTACTGGAATGTGCCCCTCTAGTTGAGGCATAATCTCAAGAACCTTTGGGTCGACTGTCCAGTTGCTCAAATCGGCGATGGTACTCTCAAACAGCGGCGTCATGCGGGTGTACCCTGATTCGATATCCCAGTAATGGCACGCATCGTCCGCATATGGCCACGTAACACCGATGAGGCCGACAATATGGGCAACTGGATATTCCTGGGGATGTTGGTATAGTAGCTGGCGAAGTTGAGGCCTGTAGAACTGTTAGTAGGAAGCCTTCGTCAAAGAAAGAGTCTGGAAACATACCAAGGAACCAGATCAATGAGCAAGTCATATGGAGATGTCTCCTGCTTCCCTACTGGTGGCATCAACCATTCCGGATTGGCATTCATATTCTCCACACTTGGCCAAATGAGATACTGTAGATGCATTAGCTACGACTCGGCGCCACGGAAACGATGAACTTACCCGCATCAGTTTGGTCAAAAGCCATGTGGACGCGAGTCTAACAGGAAGAGGAGACGCCGGAAGCAGCTTATTTACTGTTCTGGAACACCATGTCGAGACTGGCTGCGCATCCTGCGGGTCTAGGAAACCTAGTAAAAGAGTGTCCACATCGATCTCAGACCTTCCAAATATCTGTACCTCGCTCCACCCATTCGCAAGTAGATCTCGTTTCGTCCTCCGATAAAACGCACAGTCGAACCCGAACTTGTTCAAGGCGTTCGCCGCAGCCTCGAGGCTTAGTGGGGATGGGTTCGCGGGCACGGCAACATCAACGGCATTGTCATGCGAATAAGCCAGTGAGGACTGGCTTTGTTCTCTGCGTAAGTACTGTCAGCTGTCGTTTGTAGACATTTTGACTGATCATTCTCACCTTTCTTCTCGAGAGGAACTGCCGTAAGATGAGCCCCCCATAGGATGCGTATGGCCAGTAAAAGGCTCGCTGCTGTTTGGAGTCCCGAACGAATCGGCATCTGGGAGTGCTGGTGTCGGACCCAAAGACTCCTGCTTCTCGCTCAGCGGCATCCCAGCCGTAGCTGGAAACATACCTACCGAAAGTGCCTTCTTGACTTCTTCGGCTGAATGATGTGCAAATCCATTCTTCTCAAGCTCGGACGCCCAATTCGCTGCCGACGCGCGATCCGGTGCCATTGCCAGCAGCGACACAACGGATTTCATATCGTCCAACTCCTTGGCCAGTCGCCTGACGTGAGCCCTCAGTTGAGTTGTTGTTTTACCATCTTCTGCCACATCGTAGACACAGGTGAGGTTTTTTGATTGACAGGTGTTGCACTTGGGCCTCACACCATCACACTGAACCACATGTTAGTCTACTCATCCCAAGATCGATGAAATGGACATGTACCTTGGATTTGCGTTTTCTGCAGCTCTCACATGCTATAGATGTGATCTTGCCGCGAGGGGTTCGTAACGCATAGGTACCAGCGATCGGAGACTGGTGCTGTCCTCGAGCGTTTGCAAGGGCGCCCCCAAGTCCCTGCTTGGGTGCCAGCGGGGCTTTGTGATTTGCAGCGGCGGACGCTGCCAGTGGACGAATCACTAGATTCGTTTGGTTGGTATCGAGGTGGAGGGGCACTTGACTTTCGTCCCATTCAGAGGGCTCCTGGCTAATGAATTGTTAGCGAAATCCAGGTCGAAGTTCTGAAATTGCAGTTTCAGGTCTGGATGCATCCTGGTGGTTGCGCATTCGGTCTGCGCAGCTTGTTGCGTAAACACGCATCGATATGCGCGCCTTCGATGGTGCTTTGGACCCCGCGCCCGCAGCCCAAATCTGGCAACCCGGAGAGCAGTGCCGAAGAAACCCTTGGATGGGTAGCAATGCACGGGTCATCCTGACGCCGCAACGGGCAGGTCTCTCAAATTACCGCCATGATAATCAGGAGACTCTGAATGGAGGACTTATTCTCCGTCGCCAGTAGAGCTTGCCGAAACGCATAGCCACGGGCGGACGTAAGACGAAATGCCGATCCTTTCCTGAGAAGAGTACTTCTTGGACAATCTCTCACGATTCCCGTATAATTCTTGGCATATCCGGATCGTACCGGTACTTCGATACCTGCTCTGTCTTTGTGGTCGATGATGTGGACTGAGCCGTCCGCAGGTCTGAGGAAACGCCATCGCTCGTCGTACTGAAAGGCCATCTGTCACGCTCCGGGCGTTGGTTGGGTAATTCGACGAATCGTGGTAGGGCGCCAGGTGGGCGCGAGATGTGTCCTAACCGGTCCAGAGAAGGGAATCGATTGCTGTCGTGTATATGATGGTGGGGATATTCTGCAAAAACTGACATACTCACATTTGGATCCCTTGAGCTTGTCCAACAGCCTCCGAGGCACGACGCATCAAGCGGGGATTTGCGCTACCTTGCGGAAGTCCTTCTAAGGTGTCAGGCAAGCTGCCACTGCCATACCAGTAGTTCAATCCTGAGGTGTATATTAGTGGGGGATCAAGAGCTGGTCATACTGCCGACGTACCCGGAGACGAATTCGATGATTGTGCCGGCATGAATGCGAGCATATCTCAGGGCGGAGTTATCAACAAAAGGAGCTATGTCGGAGTAAGGTGGTGGAGGGAAGGATTTGCTTCTGCAAAATTCACATGAAAGATCCGCAATGCATATCGGGCATTAACTTTGTATATCCTCTACTAGAGCACTGAGCCTGAGGTTCATTAGTGCCCGGCGAACTCCTATGCGGAACTGCTGACACGCACATAGAGCTGGGACGAAGTTTCAAAAGCGTCGCCCATCTAAACACCAGCTTTCGGATGCAACTGGATCTAGT